TTTATAGTAGTCTGTTTTAAGATGATGGTTGCTTAAGTTCAGATGCATTCCAAAAGCACTACAGTTTTTACTCGCACCCGCACACTTATGTTTTTGACATCATATTTCAAATCTTGTGCATGTGTGAGTTCCTTGGTTTATTACTGTATTTACACATGCTCTTACTATTTTCATTTTTTAACATTCATGCTAACTTGATAATTGGTTGATTTATTACATTTATGAAATGTTTCCCTTTATTATGTGAGAATTTTGCCTTCCTATACTTTCTTATATTTAGTTTTGGCCTCTTTCTCTTATAGTTGTCCCTTTAACATGTCTTGCAATGCTGGTTAGGTGGTGACAAGTTCCTTTAGCTTTTGCTAGTCTGGGGAACTCTTTCAGCTCTTCAATTCTGAATGATAATTTTGCTTGATGGGGTATTCTTGCCTATAGGTTTTTTTTCTTCTATCACGTTGAATACATGGTGCCACTTCCTTTTGGCCTGCAAAGTTTCTGTTGGAAAATTAGCTCATAGTCTCTTAGAGAAGCCCTTGTATATAACTAGCTGCTTTTCTCCTGCTGCTTTTAAGATTCTCTTTATCATGGACTTTTGTCATTTTTATTAGGGTATGTCTTGGTGTGGGCCTCTGTGGGTTCATCTTGTTTGGGACTCTGTGCTTCCTGGACTTGGATGTCTGTTTACTTAACCAGATCCGTGAAGTTTTCAGCCTTCGTATCCTCAAATAGGTTTTCTGTCCCTTTCTTTGTGGTGCCCCTGTGGTTGGAATGTTGGTATGCTTGATGTTGTCCTTTAAACCGTCTTCATTTTTAAAATTTCTCTTTTCTTTCTGCTATTCTGGTGGAGCGATTTCCACTAACTTGTTTTTCACCTCCCTGACTTGTTCTTCTGCATCAGCTAATCTGTTGATTCCTTCTAGTGTATTTTTATTGCAGTTATTGTATTGAGTTCTGATTGTTTTGTCTGTTCTTCTCCCGAGTGCACTGAGTATCCTTATAACCAGTGTTTCAAACTCTCTGTTTCATTGGTTGCTTGTCTCTGGTTCATTTCATTTTTTCTCTAAGGTTTTATCTTGTTCTTTCATTTGGAACATATTTCTGTGTCACCTTATTTTGCTATCTCTGAGTTTATTTCTGTGAATTAGGCAAAACAGTAACCTCTCCTGTTCTCAAGGTAGTGGCCTGTGTAAGAGCTTCCCCTTCCTAGACCTCATGAGCTTGGTGCCTTCTGGCAGGCCAGCTAGACGTGGAGTTGGCTGTGGCAGGCTGCTGCAGCTGCCATGGTGGGCCAGCAGTGGCTGGAGCTGGAGCCAGCTAAGGATGAAGTCACGGGCAGTGCTGGGGTCAGGCTGCAGGAAGTTCCAAGGGCAAGCCACACACTGGGGTTTCCTTGGCAGGCTAGGTGGAGCTGTGGTTGGGGTGGGTTCAGGCCAAGGGGAGTCCTGGGCACAAGCTGCAGTGGGGCTTGCAGCTGGAACTGAGGTGGTGGGATTTGCAGGAAGTCCTAGGTACAAGTGGCACCAGGCCAGGAGCTATATAACAAGGTAGGTTAGAGCCTGGAGTGTCCCTGGGCAAGCCACTACAGGGACACCTTGGCAGATGGGCTGGAAGCTGGAGCTAGAGAAGGCTGCCATAAGGTAAGCCACATCAGGGCCCAGGGCTGTAATTGGAATGGGCACAGGGCTAAGGGGAGCTCTTAGGACAAAGCCTAGCCAGCATCCTGAGCTGTGGCTGGAAAGGGTACAGTCTGGGGGGGAGTCTCAGGGACAATCCAAGGGGTGGGTATGAGCCTAGGGCCTGGTGTGCTGTCTGATGGCCTTGGCTGACTGGCTAGAATACCTGGATCATGTTCTTGTCTGTGAGTTTAAGGTTAAAGGGGATCACAACAATTGGTGCTCCGTATACTTCCCACAATGGAAGAGTGTCTGCAGCCCCGCTCCTGTTTGACTAATGCTCTAGGGTTGTTAAATGAACTTTTCTTCTTACAGTCTAGGTGCCCTGTACACCACTCTTGTGTCACTATGCCCCTGGGCAGGAGAGTAGGCGGTCCCTCCCTCCTGCAGGTGGTGCACTGGGAGTAGGGTTTCCACTGTACCTTGTCAGAGTTTCCCTACCCATTTCTGTGTGGTCTCTCTTTCTCATTTGCTGTGCAGAAGTTGTTCCGTTGCCCTCAGTTCTTGAGAGGAAATTGCTCTGTAGTTGTAAATACAGTGTGTTTATGGGAGGGAGTGTGTTCATTGTCCTGCTATGCTGCCATCTTGGACAGAATTGTGGCCAGTTTTTAAAAGACGGTTTTGGGCCCTGGCTGGTGTGGCTCAGTGGAGTGGATTGAGTGCCGGCCTGTGAACCAAAGTGTCGCTAGTTCAATTCCCAGTCAGGGTACGTGCCGGGGTCACAGGCCAGGTTCCCAAGAGGGGGCGCAAGAGGCAATCATACTTTGATGTTTCTCTGCCTCTTCCTTCCTTCCCCTCTGTCTAAAAATTAAATAAATAAATAACTAAGTAAGTAAACTTTAAAAATGGCTTTGGGGAAGTGGTACTGTATTTTGCCGTGTATAATTTTTGAGGGAAAAATAAGGATGTGCATTATACATGGGCATAATTGATTACATACCCTGGGTATAATCATCCTGTGTATAATGCTCAGAAAACCATGGGTGTGCATTTCACGTGGGAGCACATTTTACATGGCAAAATATAGTATTTAGAATTGTCTTACATTTTCATTACATAGGAAATAGTTTCAGAATATATATTACAGTATTATGTTTTGAAGTACTTTAACAATTCAAATGTATTATCAATGCAATATATTGATATGTCTTAATATTTTTTATTATTCTTTATAGTCAGATACAATATAAGAATGAGTATTAATTTATTTGACTTTTTTCTAGACATTTAAAAAATCCTGGCTTTGCCACTTAGTAACTGTGTAGACTTGGGCATGCCTGCATTTCCTCCACTGTCAGATGGTCTAATAGTATTATTCACCTTCTAGAATTTTAATTGAGTGTTAAATAAGTTAAATATTAAATGAGCTAGTATATGTAAAGCACTAACAATATTGCCTGGCATGCAGATGCTGTATAAGATTGAGTTGTTAACTACTTTTCTAGAAAATGAAATAAAGAGAAATGAGATGAGATTATTGGAAAGTCTGAACATTTGTGGGTTTTATGTTTGTCTATCTAGAACATATAAGAGAATCAACTGAAAAGTTCTTAGAACCAGTAAACATGTAATGGGGGAGGGTAACTGTGAGGCATTTATATCGATCATAAGCTTTTCTAGCAGTAACTAGTTATATCATCAGAAAAAAAACTCCCATATATATGTACCAAAAAAAAATTAAAAGTGCAATAGTCCTACCTTATCCAAGTCACTTTCTTGGTTCCAGTTACCCAATTGCAGTCCAAAAATATTAAATGGAAAATTCCAGAAATAAGTAGCTCATAACTTTTAAATTGCAAACTCTTCTCAGTGGTATGATGAAATCTCCTGAATCATCCCTTTGTCCATGGTATCCATCCTGTATATACTGCACACCCATCAGTCACTCAGTGGCTGTCTCAGTTATCAGATCAACTGTTGCAATATCCCAGTGCTTTTGTCCAGGCAGCCCTTATTTTAATAAAGGCCCTAAAATGCAACAGGTAGTGATGCTGGCAATTCACATGTGCCAAAGAAAAGTTGTAAAGGGCTTCATTTAAGTGAAAAGGTATATATGTATAGGAAATAACACAGTATGTATAAGGTTTGGTACTATCCACGGTTTCGGGTATTCACTGGGGGTCTTGGAATATGCCCATCGTGGATAAGTTGGGACTCCTGTAATATTAGGGACTTATATGATTTGAACTTAATTCCAATTTAAATTTTATGCTCTTCTGGAAGTGTTAATGAGCAAGAACATTTTGAGAACAAAGTTTAATAAGGGCGTACGTACCATATTATTCAGTGTTGAAATATGTTATAAACCTGTACTAATTAAAATGGCTTGGTAGTGATGCAGCAAATTATAGAGAAATCAGTGACACTAATAAAGATCTAGAAACCCAAGTGTATATAAGAGTGTGTAATGCAGTAAAGATGGTGTTTTTCTAATCAACAAAAAGAGAAAGATTAAATTATTTTTTAAATGGTTTGGGGACAATTGGTAGATATTTTGGCAGGAAAAATTAGATCATAAACATTATATTACATTATATTATATACCAAAATAAATTGTATTACATTGTATACCAAAATAAATTCCAAGGAAATTGAGAATTTTAATGTTAAAAATAAAACCGTGTGGAATACTAACAGACAATATAGGATTAAAAGGGGAAAAATTTCTAATCATACACTAAAAGTGGGAACTATATAGTATAAGATTCATCAATTGAGTTACATAAAAACAAAGAATTTCTGTACATTAAATATATAAATAATATTAAAAGGAAATAATCAATGATAAATATTTGTGAGGTGAGAGACAAAGAATCTTATAAATCTAAATGAAGCATTTATGTTAAGCAAAACATTAAGAAGCAAAAATAGTATTTTCTGTGCTTGGGGGAATAAAGATCTATGAATAAGAATCAGACTGGAGGATATATTCCACAATTGTTAATAGCAGTTTTCTATTTTGATTAATACATGGTTTTTATCTTTTTTTTACTTTTCTGTATTTTGTAAATTTTCAACAAAGAATATAAATTGCATAATTAAAAATAACATTTAAATAAATTCTGTCTGCTGTATTTTGAAAAATATTACTTGATGTCTAACTTTCTGAATAAAGGAATGGTAACTAGGTTTTCTCTTTTCACAAGCCTCGGAACAGTGGAATCCCTTAGGATAATTAAAACTTAGAATTATAGTTCATGATCACAAAACATAGGAGACAAATTCAGAAAGAGTTTATTTTCATGCTTTTTATTTTTGTTTACTGTTCTAAGGAGAATTATTAGACAGTAAATAGTACTTTCTTGGTTTATTTTGTTTTGGTTACAGACTAGAAGCAGCCAAAGATGATTATCGAATACGCTGTGAAGAGTTAGAAAAGGAAGTCTCTGAACTTCGGCAGCAGAATGATGAACTAACCACTTTGGCAGATGACGCTCAGTCTCTAAAAGATGAAATAGATGTTCTTAGGTAAACAATCTTCCCATCTTCGCAGTCTCAGACCCCTCACCACCCAGAGCAGTTCTCCCACCAGTGTGACCAACTCGAGGTTCTCTGAGCATGGCAGGGTGTTTCAGAGCCACACCACCTGGATCTAGATCTCCATGCTGTCATTTATTTAACTTCCATGGAACCATTTCCTCATTTGTGAAGTGGAACTAACACACATCCCTACCTCCGATTCCTTTGTGGAATTAAGTAAATTTATGTTTGCAAACACTTGGAACAGTATCCAGCAAATAAGTGCTGTATAAATATTTGTCAAATAAAGTTGCTCTCTGACCGTCACTTTATACTTGTTCTAGCTCTGGAGCTTTTCTTATTACTGCTCTTTTTCTTTCATTTTGACTCCTGCAGTCACTTGGTCTTCCTTTTTATCAGATAATGCCCTGCCTGACGAGGCTTCATATCCTTGCTGGACCTTTTATCTTCACCTCAAATAGTCTCTCACTAGGTGCCTCACTGCCTGCCACCTCATTTTTCCACCTATCCAGTTCTAATATAATCTGTCCTCTCTTGGCTCATTCCAACCATCTATCTATATTTTACACGTTTGCTTTTTGAATACTGAGAACAAATAGAGAAATTCACATAGTGAATAACATAGTGGTAACATAGTAATATACTTTTGTCCTACTACGAATTAATGAGCTTTACTCTTCTTCGCTGGGTTCTTTCCACCAGTCCACCGTTCTACTGCTCACCAGTAGATAGCCCTGTCTCCCATTGCCCCCATAGCTTGACGTGTTTCTGTAACTCTTCTCACCTGCATGCCCATCCCACCTTGGCCCTCCCATGCCTTGGCCTCAGTAGATGACATTGTCTCCTGCTGCATGGAGGGAAGAGGCCAGGAACTGCAGACACTCTGTGTCCTGTATCTCCTGCACTTCCTAACTGCCCTGCATTCCCACTAATCTTCTCTTTTTGCTTCTGGAATATAGACTTGTTTTTCTTCCTCCTGTCCAGTGCTAACTTCTGTGCTCTGGGTCTCAATGCTTCTCACTTACACAGCGACAGACTGTGTTACAATCAGTTACCATTTCTCTTCACATTTGAATTTTCCTTCTTGGCATATACTTAGTATACTTACGTTTAGGTCTCTCTCATCTTAGAAAAAGACAGAAACTTGTTAGTCTGTCCTTCTTTCCAGAACAAATTTAGATTATACAGAGTGAAATTGATGTTCTGTCCTTAACCTCCTAAAAGTTGCCCCCACCTGCCCTAACTACTCCACTGAAACAGCTGTTCTGTGGCCACTAATGATGTTCTAATTGTCAAATCCTTTGGACACTGCACAATTTATTTTGCCTTTGTATTTTTACTACGTGTGTCTCTGCTGGCTACCTTCCCCTCCCCCCACACACACACAGACTTGCTTTCCTTAAATTATATAACATTTGTCATTACAGTTTTTGCTGTAACTGGGCTATAATTTTTAACCTGAGCAAAACATTAACCTGGAATCGTCTTTGTTTTATAATTTCATTAGAATGTGTTATTATCTGGCAATCCCCCTCAGTTTATTTAGCACTATCTGTAACAGTTTTATAACTGTAGATGTATTTCTGATTTCTGATTTTCCATCTTATTCTAGACATTCTTCTGATAAGGTGTCTAAACTAGAAGGCCAAGTGGAATCATACAAAAAGAAGCTAGAAGATCTTGGTGATTTGAGGCGGCAGGTTAAACTCTTAGAAGAGAAGAATACTATGTATATGCAGAACACTGTCAGTCTAGAGGAAGAGTTAAGAAAAGCCAATGCAGCTCGAAGCCAACTGGAGACATATAAGAGACAGGTAAAAAGAGCAGTAACAGAGTTTCCAAATGACATATTTAAGCAGGTTCTCCATTATTACACTGTGGCTTCTCAGAAGTCTGCTGACTTTGGTTTTTATGGTACTCTGATTTTTACCTGTGAAACTTAGTTCTTCTCCAGAGCTCAGAGATGCGACTCTATGGAAGATCCTTTTATTGCTTTATTGCTTTTAATTTTTTTATTTTATTGCATAATACTTAAGAAATACACAAAAGTAGAAGAATAATATGTGTCCACGCTTAAAAAAATAAAACATACTCTTCCCCTCATTATAGTAACCACTGTGCTGTTGTGGTTTTCATTACTATGCATCTCTCTATTCCAGTGATTTCCAACCATTTTCATCTCGTGGCACACACAAACTAATTACTAGAATTCTGCAGCACTCCAAAAAACATACTACATTTTTTCCCTATCTGACCAAAAAAAGAAAAGGTATAATTTTGATTCATTCACACTGGAGGGCTATTGTTGTGTTGGCTATTGACATTTTTTATTTGACAATCTAAGGCAGGGATGTCAGACTCACTTTCACTGGGGGCCTCAATCAGCCTTGCGGTTGCCTTCAAAGGGCCGAATGTAATTTGGGAACAGTATAAATGTAACTGCTCCTTAGCTGTTAAGCGAGAGCTCGGCACTGCCGCTGGGTAGAAACACGGTGCCAGAGCAGATAAAACGAGGTAGAGGCCTTGGTTTGCCACCTGTGCCTCATGGCCAGGTATTGCACATTTTAAAATTTTTGAGGCACACCGGTTAAAAATCGCTGCTCTATTCTGCTGCTGCATAAGTATATTTATTAATATGTATCATATAAAATTTATAGCATGTTGACATGTTTTAAATCTATACAGCGTAACTGTAAAAGTAGGTTTACAGCTATGAGTACACAGAACAGTTTATTCTTGTATTATTATTTATTATTGTGTTGTTTTCTATATGAACAACTGTAAACCTACTTTTGCTCCATTCTGTGTAAGTGATAAATTGAAAGAACTCTACTGCAGTTTACTTTTGCTCAACAGCATATTTGTGAGATTTATTCATGTTGATAGGTATATAGTTTTATTCCATTCATTGGTACTGCTGTGTAGTATCTTATTAAAGGACTATACCACAATTTACTGATTTTTCTGTGGAAGGACAGATAAGATGTTTACACTTTTTATTTTAGATTACAAGAAATGCCACTGTGAATAAATAGTATTGAACATTACCTCTTCTATACATGTGTGAAAGTTTAGCTGTGTGGAATTTCTTAGAATATGTTCATTTAATTAGATATTGTTAAGTTATTCTCCAAAGTGATTAATGTGGGGGATAATTGAAATATTTTTTACCATAATATTCCTATCAGTAAATATAGTATCTTTCTGTTTATTAGTTCTTCAATATCTTTCAATTAAGTTTTATACTTTTCTTCCAAATATCATGCACACATTTTATGTATTTGGTCTTTGTAAATACAACTAGCAAAAGAAAGGGTACCATTTTCAGTTTGTTGCTCATTTATCTGATTGATACTGATTTTTGTTCACTAACTTTGCAACCTTAACGTAATTCTCATATTCTAATAATGTCTACTGAATCTTTTGGTTAAGTGACACACAAATAAAAAGCAGTTTTATTTCTTGTTTTTTACTGTATTCTCTTTTTCTTTTTAATCAGCAGGTCTGACCTTTAATGAAATGTTAAATAGAAGCAAAAATAGGCCCTGGCTGGTGTGGCTCAGTGGGCTGAATGCCAGCCTGAGAATCAAAGGGTCGCCAGTTGGATTCCCAGTCACGGCATGTGCCTGGGTTGCAGGCCAGGTCCCCCGTAGAGTGTGTGCAAGAGGCAACCACACCTTGATGTTTCTCTCTCCCTTCACTTCTCTCTACAAATAAATAAATAAAATAAAAAAGAAGCAAAAGTAGTAAACAACTGCTTTTTGTTGATTTTATGTTTTCCACTGTAAGAATTTCCATAGTTTTTTGTAGCCACCTTTTACTAGGATAAAGAAATTCCATTTGCTTAGGGTGTATATCTTAAGAGTGAGACTGGTTGCCTCTCACGTGCGCCCAACTGGAGACCTGGCCCTTGAACCAGCAACCTTTTGGTTCAGAGGCTGGTGCTCAGTCCATTGAGCCACACCAGCCAGGGCTTAAATGGGTGTTGAATTTAATCAACTACTTTTTCTGCACCTATTGAGAGACTTCTGTTGTGTAGATTTTCTGTGTTTAAACCATCTTTGCATTCCTGAGATAAACTTAATTTGGTCACTATGGATTTATTTGTTGTTTTTACATTGTTAGATTTACTTTGTTAATTTTACTTAGCACATTTTGCCTCGAAGTTTTCTATTTAATACTTTCCTTACCCGATTTTGGCATCAGAATTATACTAGCTTAATAAAATAAGTTGGGAAAGTTTTAGTAGATCAGCCTTGCCTTGACAGGTTTTTGGTGGATACATTTTATCCCCAACACTTTATTATGAAATTTTTAACATATAACAAGGTTGAAAGAATTAATGAACTTGATTGAGAATTGAGAAATAGCCCAAAATAAATGTAGATGAAGGAAATTATAAATGAGATGAAAAGGTGTTAAATCAAAAGGAGAAATGATCTAATTAGAGTCCAGAGGAGAGAACAGGACTTGTAGAAAGACATTATTTGTAGAAAGACATTAGGAAAAGATACCTAAAATTTTTCAGAACTAATAGTGGACATCAGATTTAGTATTAACAATGAATAACAGAGTAAATAAAAGATACGTTCACCTAGAAATATTGTAGTGAAATCGTGTAGTACCCTAATTCTCTGATTCTGATCTGAAGCTTAATATATTTTATTTTTCAATGATAATATTTTTCTTTCTTCAAGTTGTCTTTGGGTACACTTTCAAGACAGCCTGATGATTTTTAATGGTCTCTTATTCCTTTCATAATTTAGATTTCCTTTATTTATGCTTGAAGTATTAAATTTAGTATTTTATATTTGCTAATTATAATCTGAAATTCTTGAAGGTCTTATTCTACTGTTTTGTTGTTATTGCTGTTAATGTTTTTCTGCTGACCATTGTTCATAGTGGCTTATTTTCTTTTTGTCTTTTTAATTTTGTCTGGTTCGTCTTTATCTTGGGGGCTACTGGTGGGCCTGGGTGGAGGCGGCATTCCTCCAGACGATGTGTGTTTTGCTTATGCCAGATTTTCCGCAGCATTTAACAACCAGGACTATTTTATTTAAAACATTTTATTTTAAAATCTTCACAAGGTTATGTTTATTGATTTTAGAGAGGGGAAGGGAAAGAGAGAGAAACATCAATAGGTTTGCTTGCCTCCCGTACACACCCCAACTAGAGATTGAACCTGCAACCAGGTATGTGCTGTGACTGGGAATTGAACCGAAACCTTTTGGTGTATGGGATGACCTTCCAACCAACTTAGCCCCCCAGCCAGGGCAAGTCTTTAAAATTAATTGCTTGCTTAGCATCGACAGACAAGGCATGTATGTGGCAAAATTTTAAACACAAATTCATGTGTTAACAGGTCATAAATACAAATTTTCAAGTTATACTTTTTTAAACCCAGTGCATCCACTTTAAGAAAGGCAGCTTTCCTTATTGAGTTTTCCAGCTGATGGATTCCCACCCCGCCACCCCCCACCTATTTACTCACCACCTTTCAGAGCCCAAGGTGGTTTAACAATCACCTGTCTCCCATTAAATTTAAAGCTCTGGGTTCCTGCTTTTGGCAATTGGCACCTCTGGTTTTCCACATGTACTTTCCATTCCAGTTAGCGAGTAAGGATTTCATTTATTTTCTTGTAAGCTTACCTACATAACTGGATTTTTTTTTCCTAGCGTTTCTTTTGCTTTATGCTTAAAGGATTTCAGACTATACAGTTAACTGTATTACAGGAAATGGAAGAACCTTATGTTTTTTTCATCGTTGTAAACATTGTAACTCTAGATGATCTGGTTTTAGAACTCATAGCACCAGATTTTTGTTCCTAGTTCTCTCCATTCAGTTAGGCTGCTGTATCATATATTTTAAAAAAAAATTTTGTGGGGACCCCTGGCTGGGTGGCTCAGTTGGTTGAAGTGTCATCCAGTGGACCAAAAGGTTGCAGGTTCCATCCCTGGTCAGGACACACACCTAGTTGTGGGTTTGATCCCTGGTTAGATGCGTATGGGAGGCAACTGATCAGTGTTTCTCTCTCACTTCTATGTCTGTCTGTCTGTCTCTCCCTCTCTCTCTCCCCTTCTCTCTCCCCTACTCTCTCCTTCTCTACCCTCCCCCTCCCTTCTTCTCTACCCTCCCCCTCCCTTCTTCTCTCCCTCCTGTACTTCCTCTTACTCTCAAATCAATAAACATACCCTCAGGGATTTAGAAGAAAATAGTGATAATTTCAAATGTCTCAAATTATAAAATTAATGGTACCTTTCTGTATCAGGTAGTAGAACTGCAAAATAGATTATCTGAAGAATCGAAGAAAGCAGATAAATTAGATTTTGAATATAAGCGGCTAAAAGAAAAAGTTGACACTCTTCAAAAAGAAAAGGATGTGAGTATATATTAGGCATTTTGGTTTTGAACACTACAAAAATTAAGGCTGACATTTAATTCTTGTTTTGACTATATTAATTCCAACTATTTATAAATTTAAAAATTAGAGATCCTATTTATTTTTAAATTTAAATTGAAGATTTGCATTTGTTTTAGAAATACATCTAAAATAAAAGATTAAAAGAATGTTTTTACTTTGATTCTAATTTCTTTTATATATATTTATAGTTCTGTTATCATTGCTTCTTTCACATTGTTTTGCTCATGACTTTGTAAATGTGTGTATATTTTCTGTATGATTATATAGAAGATATAATTCTTTTTGTTGTCAGCATATTTTGAATCTTTTAAAAATATTTTCTTTTTCATGACTTTGAATATTTAAATTCTTTGATTTTTTGTGTTTAATGAAAAGGGTATATGTACATAATTAGGTACTTACTGTTAAGGGTCATGTAGACGGTTGTGTTTCATACGTTCAACTGTGGGTAGCATATTGCTTGTACACTGTAGACACTCAGCATTGTTAAATGGAAAAAAATTGTAATCTTTCACCTTCTATGATCTTTTCATAGAGGATCAAAACATCCATGTCCCCTACTGTTTATCATTTTATTAGGTAAGGCAAAGACCACTAATGAATAAACTCACAAAACTTGCAGCTAACTTTCCTTGTTTTTAATCTCGCCAGAGGTTGAGGACAGAAAGGGATTCTCTGAAGGAAACCATTGAGGAGCTTCGTTGTGTGCAGGCTCAAGAAGGGCAGCTCACAACTCAAGGTGAGACCATCTCAGGAGCCCGAGCAAGATGATTTATTTCTAGTTGTATCAGTATAAATATTAGAATCATTTTAAGATAATTGGACTAATAGACGAAAATGAAAAATAGATGAAGAGGCCATGAAATTCATACAGATTTCAGACTGTTACCTAGATACTGTGGCAAAAAGTCAATAGTTATGGGATCAAATTTACTTGTCTACTTTATATTTTAATTATATTTAAATATTTGATTTTATTAGGTCAAAAGTAAACATTTCTTTAATTATCTCTGTTAATAATAAACCTGGACCCCTGGCTGTTGTAGCTCAGTGGATTGAGCTCGGGCTGCGAAACAAAGTGTCGCAGGTTCAATTCCCAGCCAGAACACATGCCTGGGTTGCAGGCTATGGCCACCAGCAACCGCACATGGATGTTTCTCTCTCTCTCTTTCTCCCTCCATTCCCTCTCTTAAAAAAATAAATAAATAAATAAATAAATAAATATTTAAAAAAATAATAATAATAAACCTGGAAATTTTATTCTAGAAAGTTTCCCATAACCTCTTAAAAATACATCAAAGTGATTTTTTTTCAACTGATATGTGGAGTTGTTATAATTTATTAAGAAACATTTATCCAAAGAGAAAAGTATCTTTCTCACAGGGAATCACTTAAGACTTAATGCTGCTAAGATGATAGCACTGCTGAAAGCGGTCTGTGGACTCAGTGCAATCCTTATTCAAATACCAACAGCATCGTCTTCAGATACAGAAAAACCCATCCTAAAATTCATATGGAATCTTGAGGATTATCCCCAAATAACCAAAACAATCTTGAAAAAGAAGAAAAAGTTGTAAGACTCATACTTCCTAATTTGAAAAGTTAGTTTAAAGTGGATAATCTAAATAGTCATAAGGGAGACATATGTAGACCAATGAAACAGAAAAGAGGACTCAAAAATAAACCCTCACGTACGTGGTCAGTTGTCAACAAGAGCATCAAGACCATTCAGTGGGGCAAAGGAAAGGCTTTTCAACAAGTTGTGCTAGAAAAACTGGAACCACATCCAAAGCCGTGAAGGTGGACCCTCATCCCATATACAAAATCAGACTCAAAATGGGTCAAAGACCTAAATGTAAGGGCTGAAACTGGAGAACTTTTAGAAGAAAACAAGAGGAAAACCATTGTGACATTGGATTTGGCAGGGATTCCTCGGAACTGTTAATTTTGATGAAGCCCAATTTATCTCTCTTTTCTTTTGTTGCCTGTTTATGTTTTGGGTGATGAGTTTTGGAAATAGACAGCGCTGATGGTTCTACAACATACTGAATGTACTTACTGTCATTCACTTGTACACCTGAGAATTGTTAACAATGCTATAATAATAATTTAAGGCAACGGTGACATGATTTTTTACTTGACTAAAACAAAAATTTTAGCTGTTAAGATTAATGCTCATGGGAAGGAGGGGGGAGGGCTGGGGGTGGGCTGGGATGGGAGTAAAAGACAGAAAACTGTACTTGAACAACAATTAAAATGTAAAAAAAAAAATTAATGCTCAAAGTAGGATTTCATACGAAACTGAAAGAACTAGTTGTGCTCTCTCTCACCCTTGCATTCACGTTTACGTATTTATAGGGTTAATACCTCTGGGAAGTCAGGAATCTTCAGACAGTCTGGCAGCAGAGATTGTTACACCTGAAATCAGGTAAGGAGATCATAAAGTTCACAGTCACACCGCACTGTATTTCTGGAGATAACAGACTCTTCTACAATACCAAGAGGATCATTTCCTTTTTTTTATTACTGATACTTTCAGCATGAACTCGATAGTGAATGTCCCTGATTTCGCATGTTAGATGCTTTTTCCAACTGGCCCAAGAGACTTGATCTTCTTATTTTAGTAGGACAGTGTTTTGTATATACACACAAACTGGTACCTCGGCTGGGCACCTTTAGCAAACATTTAACAATAAAACCAGTTGACCCCAAAACAAAGGTTATATTTAGCCATCAACCTGCAAAATAATTAGTTACTAACATTGATTTTTTAATGATGTAGAATGATCTGGGAAAAATAAAATGCAGTAGACAGGAGGAAATATCCCTCCCATCTCTACAGCTCTCCCTTCAGTGGTACCTTACAGTTTTATTTAGTCATAGCATTCTTAAAATTCCATTTATTTCAATATGTACCTGGCTTTACGTAGAAGAATAAAAGGTTGGTGGGGAGGCACCAGACATCCAGGAGAAGGAAAATGCTGAATCTCAGTATTGCTTTTACCTTCTTCGAACTTATTTTCCCCCTTTTTAAATTGACAATGGCCTTGACTCTTTATAATTTCCTTAGGGTTATTAAATAATATAATGGTTGTTAAAGAATTTTATAAACTGCAAGTTACAATAGGTGTTCAAATAATTGTGGAATAGATGAAAACACTATTAATCAATTGTTGTTGGCAATTATTTGAAAGAAACAAAGGGAATGTAATGCAAAACCAGCTCTGGAAGCATTTGGTATGCCTTTGTCTTTTCTGCCATCTGACATGGTATTTTTATTGGACCCACAAGATGTGTTGAATGAATGAACAATTATTATTTATGAATATCATAAATAGTTATATCCAAAACACAATTTTTAAGGAAGTTTACAGTTATTGCAGTTGGATTTTTAAACTGAGGAACGATGATAAAGACTCAACAAATAAAATGGCTTTTTTGAGTATAATTCAATGCATATTAAAACATACTCTGTCTAGAAGAGCTATCAAGATAATGAAATGGTAAAATGGATGAAAATTTGCAACATATGTTACAGACAGTGGGCTAATAGGTTCAATACGTAATGAAATGTAGCTAAGTGATACTTTTCGCTGATGTTAGGGTGGGGAGAAATTGGAAACTCAAACAAGCAGTAACTGTAAAGTAGTACAACTTTTTTAAAGTTAATTATTTAATAATTAATATATAATTGACATATTAGCTGTGTTGGTTTTAGATATACAACATAATGATGTGATATATGTATATGAGGTCTGTCCGGAAAAAGTCCAGCCATTGTTATATAATGAGAACCTGGCAGCCAAGGCAAGTGGACTGGAATGGACATACGTGAACAATGACAACTTCACTGTGCTAGTCAGTGGGGGCAGTAGATGCCCTCGAGGAAGCATGTGTACTGTGTGGCCGTCACATTCAAAATGACTGAATGAGTAGAGCAATGAATCTACATCAGATTTTGCGTTAAGCTTAAATATTCCTGTGTCGAAACTATTCAGGTGATTCAGAAGGCTACAGCTATGGGCAGCTGGTGATTGGCAGCTTTATCACCACAACGTGTACCTGCTCATCCATCACGCCCTGTGCAGTCTTTGTGCAAAACATCAAATCACCCTTGTGACTCAGTACCCTTACAGCACAGATTTGTTGCCCTGGTGACTTCTGGCTTTTCCCAAAACTAAAATCACCTTTGAAAGGGAAGAGATTTCAGACTGTCAGTGAGATTCAGGAAAATATGAGGGGTCAGCTGATGGCGATTGGGAGAACTGTGTGAAGTCCCCAAGCCTACTTTGAAGGGGCTGAGGTGTCATTGTCCTATGTACAATTTTCATATATGGCTAGATACCTTTTGGATAGACCTCATATATTGTGAAATAATTGCCACAATCAGTTTAGTCACCACGCATAATTACAAAATTATTTTTCCTGTGGTGGCACCACCTTTTTTTTTTTTTTTTAGCATTTTGACAAAAAGTTTATGTTGTCTAAATGCGCCTATCTTTTGACCCAGAAATTACTTCTTTGGGAATTAATCCTAAAGAAATAACCAAGGAAATACACAAAGGTATAGTTATAAAGCTGATTATTATTAGCATGTTAAATCTCAAAATTGGGAACAATCTAAATGCAATTGGGTATTGATTAAGTAATGATTCATATATGCATTTTAACATGACAATTAAAATATTGAAACATATTTACTAACATGGGAAGACTGAAAATTTAAGTGTAAACAGCAGATGCCAATGTAACATGTATTGTGTGATCCATTTCTTTAAATTGTTTTCATGGGTGTAGGTGCGCATAGAATCAGAAGGCTGTGTTTCAGTGGGAATAATTCTGCACCGTAGGGTCACGGAAGGTCTCTTTTTTCCTCCCCCTCCCCCTGCAATGGCCATGTTCACTCGTTAGTGAAACATGTGTTGACATCACTGTTGTCAGTGCAGAGAACAGAGCACGTTCTGCATGATTGCTGGAGTTGGGCCACAGATTTGTCTTTCATCTTTTCACCAGCAGTTTTCACCAGCAGAAGTAAAATTGCTTTATAAGACTCATGGTGTTTACAAAATAAGAGCAGACTGTTTTGTGTATGTGTTTATTTTGTTTTTGTGTTTTCTTTTTCCATGGGAAACACTGCCTTTTGTAGTATCTGGTATGAGTATCATCGTAGGGCCCTCAAAAGAGGACCCTATGTAAACTAAATAGTGAATTATATTTTCAAGTAGATCTTCAGTTGTATCTCCACATGAATTAATATTCAGTTACATCATCCCTGCAGTAAATGTAGCGGCCAGTTTTATGTGCTGTTTCTTTTAACATCCCTCAGTGGAAGCTGATCCCTCAAAGGCATAACAGAAGGAACCCACAGCAACACAGTCCAGTAACTTGGCTCTGATAATCTGGTTTGTTACAAAAAATACAATTTGACATATCTGTAGGAATGGGTAGACTGAATGTCTTGAAGGCATTCTTCCTTGGGTATTATATCTTGCCACCAAATGATTAGTAATTTAAGAGTCTGACATTCAAGATCATTTTTTTGTGTGAGAACTAAAGAACAAATACATAAATGCATTTATAGCTTAAATATGTGTATTAGAAAGGAAATAGGCTTTTAAAATCTCTTTTATTACAAATCATGATATTTGGAGATTTATCTTCAGATTATCCATTGTAAAAAAGAAAGTATTTAAGACCCGAAATGTAATGTGTTAGCCAGTTACAACAGAAGCTACATTCATTGCAGGTACTTTGTTTTTAATTTCTGTTCTATGAAATAAATGTGTAAGTGTATATAGTTGGATTTAGATAACTATATTGTATTAATGCACCAGATAATAGTTTTTCTTTTGCTCATTTAGGGAGAAACTTATTCGTCTTCAGCATGAGAATAAGATGTTAAAACTTAACCAGGAGGGTTCAGACAATGAAAAAATTGCCTTATTGCAGAGCCTGCTGGATGATGCAAATCTACGCAAGAACGAACTGGAGACAGAGAATAGGTGGGAATGTACATAGGCCGCTGCATTTAGCCACAGGTGTTCTCTCCTTGTCTTGATTTTGATTTCCTCGAAGACGTGAATTGTATTTTGAGAAGTGATAATGTCTTATTCCATTTCCTTGCAAGAGTACTTTAATCTATTTCTCCATTTATGGGCAGGCTTGCCGAAAGTACTCTGCCTCTTTATAATAATATTTCCCTCTTTATTTCTTCAAGCAAAATGATGCCGAAGCCCTATCATTTTTTCCTTCTAATCATGAATTAAAGCTACTTCAAACTTTTAACACTTTCATCATTATGTGTCTTCTTTCCCCATTACTTGGATTTTTAGTTGCTTTCAAGTCTTTCCAAAGAACATCTTGGTGTGGACTAACTGATTATGTTTTATGACATTTACAATGGCCTGCACTTAATAGGCTTGCAATATTTGTGGACTGAGTAATTTCAAAAATGGCTAGAATGGATAGTTGAAATAGTCTTACAGTTTGATACATATTTCCATATTGCTTTCTGAAAAGATAAGACAAACTTACCACTAGTAATATATTTATGTACCTTTTTTCATACTGAATACGGTTTGTCAGGTAATTCTTTCACTGTTGAAAACCATTCAGATATCGTACTTCCTTTTCACTTCGACTCTCACTAAATTATAGGACATAGGTTTATGATCAGAATTTCTTGTAACTTCTTGAGTAAAAGAAATGTCTTCTTAAACTTTGTTTGAATTCTAAGTACTCATTGCCCTGTGTTCTTAATTCAGGTCAGTCTGTCTTTTACTACTGCCATTTCACTAAATTATTTCTTACCGAAATACCCAGTGGTCTGTTACAGGGCCAATCTAGTGGGAGCAGTCAAGACTATCTTTCCTCATCCCTCTGCTATGTTCACTGTTGTGGATCATTTTCCTCCTTCCTCAAACTTTTTTTTTTTTTTTAATTTCAGTAACACCCTCCCTAATGTCTCTCCCGATTCTCTTACTGTGCTCCAGGGTGAGGTTCCTCTTTGTGCCCTGTGCTTGGTGATCTGCCATGGACCACCTTCTTCCTCTTCCACTTTTCTTTACATTCTTTCTAGTCAATATTCTAAGTGTTAGTTTTCATTCCATGTATTCTTGTGCCTTCCCAATACATTTTTCTCCTCTATTTCCTTCTATTTTAGGCATGTTTGGTGATTGTAATAGCCTCCTCTGGGCCTTCATGCCTGCTCTTTGACCTTTTTTATGCATCTACTCATACCAAAATGACATTTTCTAAAATACTGTCTGATTGCATATCTTTCTTCTTGCAATCCTCAACATTACCCAAGACCTAGGGAATCAAACTGGTTTCCTGAATGTTGCGTCATAATGACCTAGAGAATTTATGAAGATCAAGTTTCAGAATCAGCATCATTAAAGACTGGCTGGGTTATTCCAGTTCCAGCCAAATGTTAGGCCATATTATAGGATAAATTCCAAATGCTTTTGCACGCCACACAGGGTTGCACCAACCACTCGTTCTCTTCTCTGCTCTCATCGTCAGCCATTCTTACCCCTCATAACTTCTTCACTGTCCCACTGCCGACCTCACTGTGCCCTCTCATTTCTCTGTGTACTTTGGACATACTCAGTTCTCGTCTTGAATCTCCTTTTTTACCTTTAACCACATACTTTATTTATTATTCTCATGCTAGTTTAAGTCCCGCCTGTCCTGTTCCTGTACACAGGTAGGTGCAGTTCTGCTTCTTTGAGCAGCCCTCATTTTTCTGTACATCTGTGCCCTGTGTTGAAGTATTGATCTCGCATTTTATTTATTTACGTTTTGCCCCCCTGCTAAATTCTTTGAGTGCAGAGATCTTTCTACACTAGTGCTGAGCATAGCGCCTGACATATAGTTTGAATAAACATATGTCAAAGTGAATTTCAGGTAAATAGATAAGCATAGGTACATCAGTTCAACAGAATGTATCCACAAAACCGCACATTGAAAATCATCATAGAAATTATCAAGCACTATGAAACATAGTCAAAAAGTGAGCTACTACTACTATAGCTTTAGGCTTTGTTTTGCTAATACACTGTCTCTCTAACCAGTCTGACAACCTAAGGGAAATGACGTAAGTCAGAATTTTGAAAATTAATGTACATTCGATTTCTAGGCTGGTGAATCAGAGACTTCTGGAAGTACAGTCCCAAGTTGAAGAACTGCAGAAATCTTTACAGGACCAAGGATCAAAGGCAGAAGATGTAAGTTTTACTTTGTACCAGCCATGGTCCAACGGTCCCGCAATGCTAACAAAGCCTATTCACTTTTGGGTTTTTCACTGATGTCCTCTATCAAAATGATTTATAATTGTGTTGCTTGTAGGAAAGAAAGTGTTTTCCTTTCACTAGCATTCCTTATTAAAAGAGCCAGATGGTATTTTATCTCTTTCAGATTTACTCTGCTGGGGATCAGAAGTTCATTTGTAGTTATCACCTAAGAAATTAATTGAGCTTTATGTTTTACAAGTGCTCAACTCAGTATTTAAAGTATAGGGTTTTCTTTGTGGCAAAAAAAAAAATGCTGGTAGAAAGCATATTTAAATAAAAATTTCTGATGTGAAATTGATATTTAAGAAAAATGTCATCCCTAGAATCACATCATCTCTAAATTCTGAGTCCCTCTTGCTACCCCTAATAACACACTCACGTACAAGTTCACTGACCTTTTAAAATATTTCCTTAGCACTCGTGTCTGTTGTGGCCCTGCCTGCTTGACCAGCACGCTGAAACCTAGCATATCGCACATGTGTGGAACTAGCACCTGGGTCTTTCTCACCTCCTCATGCTCACTGTGGCACAGTGCTCGTGTAGCACGAGTGGGCAATCAGCACAAGTGATCAGAGTGCCAGTGAATCATATTATGCCTGTTCCTTATATGTAATGAGCAGTATACAGTAGAGCTGTGACTGTCAAGTGCTCAAAAATTATGTAAAGAGGGGATCCCTAAATTTTAGTGACCGATCTTTGCTACAGGCAGTTGGGTTTTGGTTTGTTGTTTCCCGTTGCCAGTGTAGTTTGCTATAAACCCTGGCTTTCGAGTATAAGCCTGTTTGGCTGCTCCCACTGGTAGAGTCGTTTTGGGGGTCAGCGTCAGCATCAGGTATGTCCCCCATTATCAGCTGTTGAACACAAGAGGATTCACAGGAGGGAGAGTTAAACTGGCACAGACTTAAACCCCCGGCATATTAGCTGTAAAAAGTCACTAGTAACCTAATTTGAGAAGTGTCATTAGATTTATGAGCTTGTATTGGCAGCGTGCTCTTGTTTGCAGTGGTTTTGGTTCATTCTTAATGAACGTGTTGATAGTGCTTCGATTCCCAGGTTCATTTCCACTTCCTGAAACTGTCACCAACATTTAAACTACCCTGCTCCCCATTAAAGTGGAACGAGTTTGAAGTGTCATGGTTTACTTTTAACACGTGCTTTTATCCAGAACGCCAAATCATAGGGAGATAAAGCAAAACCACTTGTGTATTAAAATGTTCAGTATTAATAAGCCTAGCTAAGAGTGTCCTAGAGATGAGCCAGAGTGGCTAACATTTCTTAGTTCAGTGAAATCTCTAGGTCTCTCACACGGAGGTAAATGTAAACTTAATTTTGATAAACTTCTTTGGTGATTTGTTGTGGCCCAGAGGAGATGGGCCTGTGGTACATAGAAAGTAAAAATGGCAAAACGTCAGTGTCAGCTCAACCTTCCTGCTGTAGCAGTAACTTTTGTACTTGATTCTCTTACATTGAAAGATGCCTAAAGAAATTTATTCTGTAAAAAGTAATTTTGCATAGCCTGGTTAAGTATTACTGTGGTAATCAAATCTAATTAAATATGCTGTCTGCCATTACTTTAAGAGAACGTATTTCAGAAGTGAAATGCAAGTCCTATAAAGCACGATTTGCCCAAACTGGACCGTTTATTTGACTGCCCAGCTGCCCATAAGATGTCTTACTCTAAATTCTTAGAAATTCTCTCAGATCTCTTTTCCACATCTGGGGAATACTCAGCTAGCAACTGGCCCTGTTCTGATGATACCGCAGAACGGTTTAGAGAAGCAGTGGGTTACGGGGCCAGGGGCTCCGTCCCTCGGCAGACTCCGATGTTTCTGTGTCCTCGTCCACTAACCTACCATGCGGCCTCCCAGGAGTGCGTAACGCAGTGAACAACCTGCCGAGTGGAACTGGTCCCCTCTGAGGAACCACATAGTTTCTACTCATTTCTGTTACCCAAAGCACAGTCCTTTCAGTAACCTTAAGTTAGAGTAGGATGGTTTGCATATTTTTATTATTATTTTTATGTCATTTATTTTTAGCATGGAAGCAGAAAAGCATTGTTATATCCAGTCACATGGATAATTTGAGCTAGCCACAGTGTATAAAACTCCAGAGAACAAGACAGGATGAGGAGACCATAGAAGAAAGAAAAATGTACATTTTTGAAAAAATGCATATCTTTTACTTCTGTTCATGAATTACTAAATCGTTCCTTCTATTGGCTGCTGTGTTTGCTTCATACTAATATGTCCTCTCTGTCTCTTGGCATGGTTTCTGCTCAAGGCTATTGTAAGTATGGCTTCCTATTCATTTCTATATATTGAGCAATTTTATTATTTATATATTATCTGCCATCATAGTTGATGGTATTAAAATTTTAAATTATGGGAATTTCATGCAAAATGAACGTATGAATATAACCTGCCTTAGAGGTTTGTGTGCTTCCCGGATAAGACACTTAAAGGATATCTGCCCCTTGAAAACTGCTGACCGTCACCCCCGTCTGACCATCTTCAGCTCTCAGACGGGCTAACAGTGCCTGGTGTTGTGGGGTTAACGTGAGACAACGTATTTGACATGCTTTTGTGCAGTGCCTGGCACATTAACCCCTCATTAAACCATTCTTTCACTATGTGTTATCTCAGTTAAAATTAGTTTTGCAGAGCCTAATCAAAACATAAGTGCAAAATTAAAGTTAAGGTATTTAGAAAGTATTTTCATTTTACCCTGTGTGTTAAAGAAGGAACAAGCATAATTGGAAGTTAATGGGGTTATTATCTTTTTTTTATATTTGGGAGAAGCAGTGATAGAGGTCTTGGTGGTCCACTGATCTAGCTGTAGCTAACATACCCAGCAAAGAAATGAATTTGAAATATTCCAGATCTGTGTTAGAATGGACTTGAACAAATAATAGTTACGGTAATCATTATCAAATAGGGTGAGTGAAAATCGAAGAACTTAGTGTGTGGAGTTTTTTCTTTTCATCACTGCTATTGATTAATTGAACAATTTGTTTAATAAGCCTGTTATTTGGGTTTGATGGAATTAATTATGTTACCATTTATCTCAAAATGAAATGCTTTGTAGAATTCACTAATTATATGTACCTTACAGGTGTTAAAAGTTCAGCTATGAAACCTAGTGGTCCTATATATGCCACTATTCTTTATGACTATTTCTAGGTCACTTCTCATCTCCTCCTTTTTAGGAGACTTTTTTTTATTTTAAATACCCAGTCAAAGATGCATTTTCTAGCATACTCAATTCTTTGTAGCTATAATCCTGCATAGTCCCATACCATCATACAAATTATTTGTAACCTATATTTGTGCATATTTGTAAGTTGCTGATTAAGTCCTAAGTCCTTAAGGAAATTGATTCCGTACTTCATCACAAAGTGAAGAAAACAGTATAAAAAGTAGCTAATGGAAAGCCTGTTGTTATTAGCAATCTTCCTGCCTCCAGAGCCCAAGGACATTATGTCTGCACATACGTGGCTTTTTTAGTTCGTTTTCCCGACTATAAATACAGAATTCAGATGTGCAGCTTCTGGGTATTTTATAGTGATTGCTGTCACTTATAGGCTGCTCTCTTCCTTATCAAAGTGACATAAATTTGGGTACATTGTGTGTTTTGAGCTCTTTGACCAAAGAAATTACTGAGGGCTCACTCAGAGTTAGTTACTACTGTGCTCTTAATTTTTAGAAAATAATTGTTAGTAGTAAAAATGTTAATAAATTATTTTTATTTTCTATTTCCAGTCAGTTCTTCTAAAAAAGAAACTTGAAGAACATCTGTAAGTATAAAAGCTATTGAGGTTCATTCTCTGTTATTTGGTGAAACAAGTGTTTTACATTAGGTGGTTACAGAGTGTCCAGGCAATGGCTTGACCGTCTGTCCCTTGAAGATATAGAACATTATAAGACATATATTAATAGTGTCTAAAGGGTCTTCTCCATCCAAGAGCCTCACATCAAAGCAATGACTGCTTTAGAGCTGCTTTCAAATGAGATTAATGGGTTTTATAACTTCGTGACAGGACTTGTAACCCTAGTTAGGAGTTTGAGACACTCTAGATCAGGAGTCAGAAACCTTTTTTTGTAAAGGGCCAAATAGTAGTTACTTTAAATTTTCAAGACATAGTCTTTGTCACACTCCCTTGGCGCTGTAGTTGTAGCTTAAAGGTAGCCTTAGATAATATGTAAACAAATGTTAGTCTGTTCCAATAAAACCTTACATAAAAAAACAGGCAGCAGGTTGAATTTAGCCCACTAGCCATAGTTTGCTGACTCTGGAGTATGGCCAGCTGAATGTTCCTTTTTAAGTAAAACATTTTTTTTCCCTCCCTGGAGGACATGCTTACTGATTTTTAGAGAGGGGGAAGAGAAGAGGGGAGAGAGAAACATTGATGTGAGAGAGAAACATTGATGTGAGAGAGAAACATTGATTGGTTTGCCTCTCACAGGTGCCCAGACCAGGGACCAAACCCACAGCCTAAGCATGTGTCCTGACCAGGAATTGAACCCACAACTTTTTGGTTTACAGGACTTTTGTGTTTCATAAAAAGTATTATGAAGCTTATCAGTAGCAGATTATTAAACATTTCCTTAAGTTGCAGACATATCTGAACATGACTTTTTAATCGAAATGATGGAGTAAATTTCAAAATATTATGTTTTCTCATGAAAAATCTTCATCCATCTTTATCTTTAGCTGAGGTTGACAAGTTAGGAATGTTTCATGACTTTTCTTGCAGCCAGTAACAAGTTTAATCCTTCCTATCACTTTCTAGCAAAACTCTCCTTGTAAACATTGAGTACAGGGTGGCTGTGAATTGCCAGCCTGTTAGAATGTTACAGTGTTACACTGAGTAAACCAGGTATTCAGTAGATAAGTTTGACTTTACTGAGATCAGACAGAAATTCCACAGTTTGGCTGTTTACCTCATGCTTTTTTTTTTTTTTTTTTTCCTTTTCTTTTTTTTAATGTGGGGAAGGTAAGATACTCCTTGCAACTAACACTTGCAGGCAAGTCTAACAGTGGGCAGAATTTTAATGTATTAGAACAGAGAATGTTACCTCCTGACCATTGTGAGGTTACCTAGAGTCAAGATTTAGTGCTGAACTCTGTCCTTTCTTCATTTCCCATTCCTTTATTGGAAAAAATACAATACGTGTTGTTTCATAAAACTATGGTTTGACCATTTTTTGTGTTCAGTCATTGTTCAGTCATTGACATGGTAAAATCGTCAAAAATAATTTATTAAGAGATGAAGCCTGTATTCATTTCCTGTGGTTGTTATACTTCCACAAATTAGGTGGCTGAAAACAATAGAATTTTATTCTCTAATAGAAGTCTGAAATCACAGCGTCAACAGGACTGGTTCCTTCTGTAAGTTCTAAGGGAGAATCTGTTCCAGGCCCCTCTCCCAGCTTCTGCTGGCTGCCAGCAGCCCTTGGCTTGTAGATGCATCACTCCAGTCTCTATCTTCATTTTCATATGGCAGTCTTCTCTCTGGATGGCTGTGTCTTCTTATGGCTCTCAGGGATACCAGTCATTGGACTCAGGGCCCACCTTGATCCAGTACGACTTCATTTCAACTAATTATGTTTGCAAAGACCCTGCTTCCAAATGCTACCCTCATAGATACTGAGGAGTAGAACTTTAGCATGTCTTTGTGGCAGTCACAGGGCCCATGGACATCTTAAAAGACAGTCAGTCTTATACAAACCTAAAACGACAATGGAGACCATTTTACACACACCAAATTGGTAAAGTTCAAGAATCTGACAGACCAAGTATTGCCAAAGACGCCGAGCACTGGTGATTCTCATGTGCTGCTGGTTGCAGTGTATAGCGGTTTTCTGATTACACCACGACGTGCATGTACCCAGTGACCCACAGGTCCACTCCCCTTTATGTACCCTTGATCGGCAGTCTTCAACCTTCCTCATCCATCACATGGCACACACAAACTAATTACTAAACTTGTGTGGCACACCCAAAAATATATTTTTTGCTGATCTGACAAAAAAATCAGTATAACTTTGATTCGTTACAAAAAATGATGGTAATTACCTACATTTTTGCTCCAAAGTGACTTAAAAAATCAGGTGTCCATATTTGTATATCAGGATGTCTCGTAAGATGCAACCTTATTATTTTTTTTTTTTTTAGATTTTATTTATTTATTTTTAGAGAGGGAATGGAGGGAGAGAGAGAGAGAGAAACATCAATGTGCAGTTGCTGGGGGCTGTGGCCTGCAACCCAGGCATGTGCCCTGACTGGGAATCGGACCTGCGACACTTTGGTTCGCAGCCCGAGCTCAATCCACTGCGCTATGCCAGCCAGGGCTATCAGATGCAACCTTATTATGCAACCTGTCCAGTAAGACGTGACTCTGTTATATGACTAATAGCTGTTGTTGTGTTGGCTGCTGTCATTTTTTTATTTGACAGTCTAAGGGAAAAGAGGTCAGTGCCCCTGACGAAACAGTCAGGTATTGCATATTTTAAAATTCTGGCAGCTACCAGTGGAAAATCATTGCCCTGTATACCTAGCGATGCAGTTGTCCAAGTGTACCAGGAGACACATGGAGGAAAGTATGGAAGAATGTTGTTCGTCACAACAGAAAGTAAAAACAATATAAATGCTCCTGGTTATAAAATGATGGATAGAATGAGGTGGTGTATGCAAATAACAGAACACTAATACAGCGATAGAAATGGGCAAACCAGGGCTAACACAACACAGATGCCTCTTAGGAGTGTAATGTTAAATAAAAGGTAAACGCCACAGAATTATACATACAGTGTAAGTAAAGAATAAATTTAAAATTGGGCTAAGTTAAGTAATGCATTATTTAGGAGTACAAAGATCTCACAAAAATCATTGGAATGATTGAAATTTTGAATTTTGGTGACCTCTGGCAAAGAGGATGGGGAACACAGTTCTGCGATAATTTGTTTCTTCGCTCAGCTTAGTTTTTCTTGTTCTTTATATAAATTTGTGTGTGTGCATGTGTGTATACGGAGTAGAGCAAAAGTAGGTTTACAATTCATATGGATAATACAGTAATTAAATAATAACCAAAGAATAAAGTCTGTGTTTTGTGTACTCCATTGTAAATCTTTTACCCCACCCTGTATGCGTGTATGTATGTATGTGCCATACCTTCAAGAAATTGTTGAAAAGAAAAAGATTTATTACTCTATTGTACATTCAAAAGACTAGAAATAGAGAAAACAAAGTACTCTTTTTTCTGTTTTTCTATATTTTGACAGCCTTTTTTTCTCTTTCAAAACACAGAATGCCATGCTAATTAGTGTATAGAGAGAACTACACATATATAAATACCAGGAAAAAACTTTCAGTTAATTTATTTTTTCATATTTGTATTGGAATATAGCTTAAATACAGTAAAGTACTTACAAATCCTAATTCTTACGTCTACAAACACCTTGATGAACGTTTTTCTACATACATAGGTAACCCAAATCAACATATAGAATATTTCCAGCAACCCACCAGAATTTTTGGTTCTCCCCTTTCATTGATTGATTACATCCCCCAAGTAGCCACTGTGCTGCTCTCAATCAGTTTTCACTAGTTTTGTCACTTTCTGAACTTCATGTAAATGTAATCATTCTGTGTGGATGATACCAGCCAGCAGTATCATCTCGGCTGCGGATGTTTGTCAAAACATGCTAAAAAACATACACAGAGAGTACGAGGTCCTGTGGGAGAATAGGAACATAAGGGCCACTCCTCACGTGGGGAGCACCTTGGCCACCCTCTCTCCTGGAGGACGCCATGGCCACTCTCTCTCTGGTGGGGAGAGTGCCTCGTTCCCCCACCGGGGAGACTTTTTATTGGTTTCGTTTGCATAAGAATTCAGGTAAAAGCTCATTACTCATTGCTAGGAAGTAAGGATCAAACAATAGATAACAAGGAAGTCTGAGGGCCTATTTTGAGTCAGGATCAAAGAGCTGTAAAACTTTAAGGAACAAACTTACTTCTTCCTTGGACCCTTATCATTCAACTGAGAGCATTCTAAACAAAGCAGGTTTCACAGGATCTTACATAATCTTTCTTAGGCCTGATCACCCAGGGAACCTGCCCTTTTCAGCACAGGGCTGCACCACCCTGTCATTGTTTCAGGCTTAGGTGGAGCAAGGGAGCTTAGGCAACCAAGAGATAAGGAGATTTTCTCCCAGATGATGAGGACTCAGGCTATATCAAAGCTGAGGAGTGAGGGTCCATCACCCCCTTTTGCTGTAGCCCCCAAAGTCCTTTCCTGGGGGCCTCCCATGTGATTGTGCCTGTCTTAGGTCGTTTTCCCCTTGGGGAATCTTACCCGTCATTGGCTAACCGACCAAGCATTGGGATTCAGTTTTGAATGAAGCAGCGCTCCTGCCAGGGAGATAAGCTTTTGTCTCCTTGCTGACACACTGTCCAAGGCCACTCCCTCAGCCTTAGCCTTGGCGGGGGAGAGGGGGTGGTTACAGCTTCTGATACCAGGCAGGGCAGTTCCCAACAATTCGGTATTGCCCTCTTGTGTCTGACTTCTGTGTTCGACATTCTGTTATCTCTCCATGTAGTTGCACGTATCCTTTTTTACAGCCCAGGCATGTGCTCTGACTGGGAATGAAACCGGTTCGACCCTTTGGTTCGCAGGCCGGGGCTCAATCCACTGAGCCACACCAGCCAGGGCTATATCCTTCTTTTCTGTTGCCACAGTGTTCTTTCTGTTCTTATTTTTAGAACTTCACCTCTTTTCAATAAGATTTTGCATTGTAAACCTATGCGAAGTTTTCAACTTAATTTTTACAATACCATTATTCCCAAGGAAAACATAAAGATCATCAAGTTCTTTGTGGCCTCTTGTGTGGGCTTATGTAAAAGAAGTGACTGCTTCAAACTCTCAGATTTTGTCTCTATTGTTTAACTTATTTAAAAAAATCTATTAAATTCTGTTGGATTAGTTGGATTCTTTTGTCTCTATTGTTTAACTTATTTTAAAAAATCTATTAAATTCTGTTGGATTAGTTAAATTAGTTGGATTAGTCTTTTCATCTTTGTTTTGTAGCATTCTGTGTTATGCAAACATTCCAAAAATAAAAAACGTGCATTTTTCAAGTGGAGAAAGATGCGTGATAGCAGCAGGTGACACGGTGTTCAATGTTTTGTCACAGAGAGAAGCTGCACGAGGCCAACAACGAGCTGCAGAAGAAGAGGGCCATCATCGAAGATCTGGAGCCCAGGTTTAACCACAGCTGTGAGTTTCTCCTAATTAGCATAGTTTTAAGTTGGTTAGTCTGACATTATCCTAAGGATGAGTTTATATAAAACTGTTTATTTTAGAAATAGGCCCTATGCCATATTCTAGCCTTTAAAGGGTTTGCTTTATTTATAAAAAGTATATAATCATCTTCACAATATTTCTTAAACTTCTAATTATAGTTGTATTTTTCCTTAACAATGGATGCTAATGAATATTTTATGAAATTATTTTCATAGTGTAATTGAATGCTAAGTTAGTCAAACTTTTACTTCTCTTGAAGTTTTTACACATAAAATGTGTACATTAATGACTTCACTAACTCTTTTGTGTGGAAGTTGGAGCAAGACACAGACTTGTACCTTTTTATTGCAATAAAATATATATAACATAAAAACCACCATTTAAGCCATGTTAGACGTACAGTTCAACGGCATTAAGTATATTCACGTTGTGCAACCACGCGCAGTTACTCAACTGCCCAATAAAGTTCCGCAGCTACCATCATCCCTAGAACTTTCTCATCTTCCCACACTGAAGCTCTGCGCCCCCAGCCCATTAGCCGCCACCAGTGTGCTGTCTCTGCGAATTTGACCGTTATAGTTATTCCCATTCATATAAGTAGAAACATAACAATATTTGTCCTTTCATGTCTGGCTTATTTCACTTAGCATAATGTATTTCATTTTTACTTAGTATAATATCTCTGTTTTGTAGCACGTATCAGAATGAAGGCTGAATAACATTCAACCTTTGTGTATCCATTCATCCATCAGTGGGTGATTTTTAATGTAAGCATTTTCATACTGGAGTTTTTGTTTATAAGAAAAGTTTTTTATAAAAAGAATTATGAATTACTTTTTTAAGAATTATAAGAATAGATCAGTGGTTCTCAAAACTATTAACTACTTACTATTAGTTGAAATATTTTTAAAGTTACAATCTAAAAAAATTATTTTTTACTGTTTCTTTTGCAGCCTTAAAAATTGAAGAATTACAGGAAGCTCTACGGAAGAAAGAAGAAGAAATGAAACAAATGGAAGAACGATATAAGAAATACTTAGAGAAAGCTAAAAGTGTAAGTATGCATTTGTGGGCATGTCATTTCACTTTCTGATCGTGTTTCACTGACTCCTCACGCAGAGAAGCAGAACAACAACTACCAAGAAGAAAATGAACCTTTATGTGGGAAATAAGTGGCAGTCACCACCTTAACTGCTAATCAAATGACCTACACTAACTGTAGGACAGCCACATCTTGTGCCTTCTGATGGAGTATCATTGCCAGTAATACTTAACCTGAGTCTAAGCCGTCTCCCAGATCTAACTTTCAGGTCCCAGGGAGAATGAGGTTATTGTAGGAAGTTAGGCAACACTTTCAGGAAACTATCACATAAATGCAGAGTCTGGATAAAAGTCTGTGTCATGAAAAAGAAATAGGCGTTAGAGTGGGTGGGGCGTGGGGGACACAAGAGACTGCTGTAATTTTTAAAAGCCCAAAGGGATCTAAGGACCAATGTAATACATTAATCTTTGGGTCCTGGATTGGGAAAGAGAAATCAAGTGTGGAAGTACAGTAATTGGTGAATCTGTATTAAAGGAAATGGGTTTTTATTGTTCTGCTGTTTCAAAGTTTTCTGTAGGTTTGGTTATTTTTGGTGGTAGAACTGTTGGTCCATAAAGCAAAAATACCTTTCCCAGAAGGTCTGTAGTTGGCCAGCTGGAACTGCATCACATGCCCACGCATAAACCGAGCCGCTGGCAGAAGAGATGGGTCACGATGATAGGCTTTTAAACCATCAGGACCCTCTTACTAAGTACACGTGCTATCAGAAGCAGAGGGCTGGCCGACCCAAATCGGAGGAGAGGGGAGGGTTGACAGCTGTCAGTAGTGTTTGCAGTAGTAAAACATGTTCATTTCAAGTGACAGTGACTTCTTATACTTGATTATTTTCCATAATTAAAAAGGTTACAGTAACTGAATATTATTTCATACATTCAAATTTTAAGGTATCCTTGTAAATTTCATTTTCATAAGGTTTATCTTCCATTTTTTTAAAAAATAAGTGCTTCCTTAGATGTTACATTTTTCAGTTTGAAATTTAAATTTTTTCTTTTGTTAATTTTCACAGGTTATCCGTACCTTAGATCCTAAACAGAACCAAGGAGCAGCACCAGAAATACAAGCTCTGAAAAACCAGCTTCAGGAACGGGACCGACAGTTCCATTCATTAGAGGTAGTTCACTGTACTATACAATAGGGCGTTTGATTTTGTATTCTTTTTTCCAGAAGACTTTATATGTGCTGTTGTCTCCATTAATTTAGACAGTTAATTGTGACTGTTTTACTGATATGGAATTGTTTTTCATCTCTACTTGTTTCTCTGTGTTTGTTTTTTTAGAAAGAATATGAGAAAACCAAGAGCCAGCGAGAGATGGAAGAGAAATACATCGTCAGTGCCTGGTACAACATGGTAAGACAGTGACCTTCAGAACACTGCAGGGTTCAGCGAGTGTGGAATGTTTGTTACACACCTCTGCTGTAGAAGTAATTCTGCCCAGTGGATCTGAAAGTAATTGCTGTCCTAACACACACTAACAAAATTTTAATGCTGACCTTAGGACCAAAAAGCAGAAAGGAGAACCACCACACACAGCAATAAGGCATTGTAAACACATCATTATCCCTACAGAATGGAAAGATAAATGACAGTCTGATTTCTCTCTCTCAGAACCGTTTTCGTCTAGGGGAAAGGGACTTTGATAATATCTAAATACTGATGTTACTTTTGTGAGACTATTTCAGTATCTTTGCAGGAGTGGTACTTACACTGAGTATAGTGTAGCTGTCTCATAGGGTTTGGAAAGTGTTTATGGTGGCTAGCCCCTGAACGACTGGAGGCTTTGAAATTGGGTTTTTCAGTGCACACATAAACTTTAGAAGTATTTCAGGGGATAGTAAATGCTCATCAACATTCTGGGCTTCAATAAGATTTAATGAATATGAATAGCTGTGGATTTTGAAGAATGCTATACTTTTTTCCTAAACATTTTGTCTTCTTTTTCTTCTTTGTCCTTTTCCCAGTAAGACCACTTCTGCCTTTTCAAAGTGTTAGTTGCCTGAGAAAGGAAATTAAACCAGATTCCTTTCTTCAACCCTCTTTGACCTTATAGTTGTGCTACTGGCACAATACCATTGTTACAGTTACAGTCGATACTGTGTCTTAAAGGTTAGTGCCCAGGCCTCCTAATTATGTGATGTGATCTTTGTCAAAAATTTACACAATTTCATGATATGTCTACACTTATATTTGCTTTGGTTAAAACTACATGTTTAAGATTTTATCACAATTTAAAAAAAAACAAAAGAGAAAATCATTGGCTTTAGAATACTATTACTGTTAACAAATACAGGTTTCTTGGGCATTAAAAAATGGAGCCCTGGCCAGGTAGCCCAGTTGGTTCGAGCATCATCCTGATACCCACCAAGGCTGCGGGTTTGATCCCTCAGGGTCAGGGCACATGCAGGAGTCAGCCCATGAGTGCAGCAGTGAGTGAAATAGCTTCCTCATTGAGAGGGCTCGCTCTCGCCCTCTCTCTCTCTTTTTCTCTTCCCCCCTTCCCCTCCTCTCTAAAACCAATAAATTTTAAACAAATTTTAATAGGAAAATGACTATTTAAGGAAGTTTTCCAGGACCCAATCTTGACTTCACCCATTCTGTTTGCTCTTTATCCTTCTCAAAGTTAGTAATAGCCATCTTGGAGCTCTGCCCCTCAATCCTTATTGGTAATTTCAAATTCTTGACTGCTTTTGATGACTTCACAACTGTGTTTCTTATGGAACTAAATTTATTTATCCTCTGAACAGTATTAAAGAATAGTCCTAATTTTCAGCTCCCCAGAGAGGGAAGGAATAACGCTGAGTAGAGAGAGTCACACCAGGTATGTTCAGATAAGATAGCCAGTCACAGCTTCACACACACGTTCAGACGCTCTGCATCTCACTCACCTGAAATGAAGATGATGAGTGCTGGGCAAGGTATTAAGTGTCTCAGAGAACGGCCTTCTGATGGATACTGAGGTCTTGAAAGTGTATGAAGAATTTGAATAAATTGCTTGAAATGCAAAAGTGAAAATATAGTATATTTTGTTTTTATTTTTTAAATTTTATTAAAAAACAGTGTATTTTAAATAAAATGTTATTGTTAATATGCGTAACCAAATTAATAAATAAACATTGCCAATAGATATTTGCTAATTTTATTCAGATCCTTAAATGCTTTGATTTCAAATGGAGTGAAAAAGCTGTGCTGGATTTTCTTATAGGCAGAATGGAGGAATGTGTTAATGTATTTAGGTATATATGGTGGACTGCAATTCTATTAAAAATGCAAAGCCATGACTAGCATTTTTCCTAGACACTAACTACTAATAGGAAGACTTGCGTTTTAGTTGTCTGTTTTCTGTGCTGGTTTGTCCAGTGCATTCTGGGAAGGCTGCATGACTTTTCACACAGCTCGGCTCTCCGCCCCGACTCTCCTCCTGGCTCCCAGCTGCTCATTCCTTGCTGCCTTCCACTATCTCCCATCAGTTTACTCGTCTCCAGGCACTGGTGAGATTAAACAGCCCCTCTCAGTGCTTACTTAATGTTTGTCCAGTGAGGGCTCTTCTCTGACTCATTAAATGAATACCAAAACCACTTTTGTCCTCATCTGCTGATAGGCTGGTCATTGCGGTTATTCCTCTGTGTTTAGAGAGTGCACCCCAGAGGTTACTTCCCTCCTGTTAAGGTGCTCTGGGCCCTGCAACTGTGGTTCCTCTCCCTTCTAAGCTAGTAGACCATCCTCCAGTCTTCAAGAAAGACCCCTTGCTCCCTATTGGGCCCTCTGTTTTGGGCTGGCAGGAATTTATCTTAATTTGTTTGAGAATACAAGTCCGCCTGAAGTGAAGAAGAGCAGTGTCGTGGTATGTATTGTACCCAGTGTGCCTTTCCGCCTTAAGAAACAGCAAATGTACTTGTGGTTTTCCATTCTGAGTACGCCCTGTGATTTCCACAACCCCTTGTGAATCAACTGCTACCGATCAACTGCACTTTTTCTTTCTTGGAAAATCACCTCATACTTTGATTTGAAAGGGAAGTGTGTATGATTGAGGATGGGTACTGTATTCCAAAAATCTGTCTCTGTTATCTGTTGTTTTGGTTATTGTCAATTCAGAAATCAAACCTTAATTTTTCCAAAGGAAAATGTGTACCTAATTGTTGGAATTGAAATGTAAATAAAATTTTAATCTGTAATGAGCAGAATTAACATTCCTAATTGTGCCTTGTGATGCAAAGATGATGAAAAATCTGCATGACAAAATTGTTGTGAAATTGTCCACTATTTTTTAATTGATTACTTTTTTTTTCTGTGTGATACAGGGAATGACTCTGCATAAAAAGGCAGCTGAAGACAGACTTGCTAGTACAGGTTCAGGGCAGTCATTTCTGGCCAGGCAAAGACAAGCAACCAGCACAAGAAGGTCTTACCCCGGCCATGTTCAACCAGCCACAGCAAGGTAGACAAGTCTTGCTATTTGAACAAAAAACGCCCTGCATTCAAACATACTTCTGTTATCCATAACACCATTTCAGGAAATTCAGCCAGCTAATTTTTTTTCTGTGTTATGTTAATTACTTGTTTCTCATTTGAGAACTTTCTCTCTGTATCTATAATGTTTTAGTTTCTTGGTCTTTTATTTTGTAGTCTTTTCAGTTTCTTTTAATGTGCCAAAAAAATTTTAAATGCCCAATTAAAAGTGTTGTATAACAGTGTAGTACATTTCTTTGTATGAAAATGTCCTTTCCCCAATGGTGTAAGCTTTGTAATGAATTAGATTTTCTGCCAATAATTGATATACAATTTATATTCTTTGTTGTGCCTCTGTGTTACCATGCTTTACAAGAATGTCTTTGTTTAAAGGGAATTAATCTTTATATATTAATCTGTGTTTTCAATTGTTTTCCAAATGCACTTCAGATAACTTGCATATTTACTATATAAAATGAATGGTTGGCAAGTGCACTTTTTGCAAAGACATAAATGCATTGGCAGAGGTGCTAAGTAGATCTTACCTAGGGCACCTGATACAATTATTTAGAGGGAAAAAATTAGTTTTCACATTGTTTTATAGGAAATTAAATTTGTTCGAAGATTTGGAAACTATTTTTAAAACATAAATACATAGAATTTTATTATTTCCTGCTATCTTGTTGCTGGCAGAAGTGAATGCATTGGTTAGGTTACTAGGGGGTAAATTACAGAAGAGAAAAAATCAGGCAGTGCATTAATTTTTTCCTTATTTTGGAATACCATAGTACCTGAGGATCAGATTCTGGCAGTGTGGCTGGTACTCTGGTTTCAATTGGCCTCCACATCTTAGAGACCTATTTTTTATATGCTTACAAGTAATAGGTAGCAGTACCTTCGGGGCAACTTCTTTTTTGACTTGCATCTCATTGTTACTTACTTGTTAATATAAATACTTCTATTTCTCAATATTTCCTAATACTTAACATCTTAATATCAGTCATTAAGATCAATAAGTGGCTTCTTACATGTGATGTTGTAATAGGTCTCTTTCACATTTTTTCTTAATTCTATGTATTAGTCCAAGAATTTGCTACTGAACAGATTCTCTTAGGTATTTGGTTGCATCAGAATGCTTAGATATGTTTATGGGTTGATTGTAAACCATGTTTATTTACATTGGTAAATGGTTGTCATGTAATAATGACTGTAAAGCACTTTGACTACAGCAGGTGCTATATAAATGTACAGAATCACTTATCTGAAAATGAAATGCCTCTGCCTGACTTTCCATGTTGACTTAAGTGTTTGATCCCCATTTATATTTAAGCTTCCCTCCAGCCTTTTTCTTGCACCCTATAGCCCATTTTTTAAAAAAGCAAAACATTACTTAAATTAGATCAATTTTTTGTTTGTTTTTGTTTTTAGATAGGTCACCTAATAAGAGGATTTTATTTCATTGCACTTGCTGTTTAGAAGTTCAGGTTTCATTTGGTTCTGGATATTAAATACAAATTAGTAACTTTAAATCAAGCTAAATGTAATTGAGAATTTTCAGAAACTATATTCAAATGTTTGATTTTAAACTCTTCCATTTTTATAAGAAAATTGACCTAAAAATTAGTAGTATTTTCATTTGCCCTCAGAAATCGGACTTGAAGAAAGTATTAGAATATACACAGAAATGACTTCATGCATTGTGCTAATTTTACACTAAGAACAGAAGTCTAAGCACAGTGTGAATGCTTCTGCCTGAAATGACCACAAAGCAGGAAGAATTAGTAATAATGGAGAGAACCACGTGAGTAGAGTACAGTGTGGGGTTTCAGGAAGGTAAGCAGACCTAATCAACATAGAAAGTTTTGACAATAAGAGATCAAAACCCATTTAGGGCGGTTCTTACTCCCAGCCCTCATTTTACAAATAGCATTAGGGGCCAACTGTTTTAAAACAGAGTGTGAACACTAATCTTGGTAAAATTAAAATAATTGGGAAATTATACCCCCAGAATAAGGTAGATGAACATAAAAGAGTCTATGAACTATTTATTAAAAGGATTGTATCCCATAAGATAAGAGGATTTAATTGTACTTCTTAATTATTTACTGCCCAGTCCTGATCTCCAGCCCACCCACCAGCTCAGATACACTTCTCTAAATGGGTTGGAGAGGTGCCAGCCTTTTAAAGGATGTTTTCCTTATTCTTCTTCTTCAGCATCTGTTGCATGCTATTATTTTGGTATTTTACATTCATAACTTTCACTCTCCTTTACCTTCAAGGTTTAGTACATTACTTTCATTATATAGAAGAAATTATATTACTAACATTCTATGATATTTTTTTAAGAAAGACAGGAATAAAACTTAGCCCTAACAGTGACAACTCTGTTTCTCTTGTCCAGCTCTGGGGAGGATTTATGAAATTTCTTTCTTCTGTAATAATTAATAATTTCCCAGGAAGCGTGTGACGATGCACAGTTTGCAGGAAGGTGAAAGACCCTGGCACGTTATCGAGCTGCGCGCTGTGCTGCGCTGCTCATTCACAGACTACTTACGTAACACAGGCGCTTCGGCACAGTCCGCTCCGGAGGCGGAGCCAGTCCTGGCCTCTGCAGTGGAGTGAGTACTACTGTACTCACCGTGCTCACGGTAGTACAGTAGTACTACCGTGCTACTGCATTAGGCTGAGGTGGTCCATCAGTCTAGTGCCCATGTTCCTATAAACAAAAAGCGTATTTGCTGTTTTTCTTCCAATCAGGTGTTAAGGAAATGCGAAGTAAACTAAGGAATAGTAAAGCATAACATTTGTGTTCTTCAGTGTATATTTAAGAAGTTCATAATGGGGGAAAAAATCCAGCAAGTATTGTAGTTTACCACATCTAAAAAGAGAATGAATAATACAGTTGAACTTAAAAGAACTTCCAAAATTTCATCCATATCTTTTTATAATTTGCCTAATCACTTGTTAATAACCAAGAAAAAGAAGTCCCTAAATAAAAGACCCATGTTCCAAAATTGATCAAGATTGAATTATTTCTGTTAGATAGCCATAGCCTAGTGAAATTGGCTTAATGGGATACTTAGATTATAAAAGGAAGCATTGCCTGTAATTTCATTGAGGTTTTATTATTTTTATTTATATAATAAAAGCTCAATTGTACAAAATTAAGCTAAATGTTATCCAGCCAGAGACATAAGCCTGTATATACACTTCATTAGTTTTCACAAAGGTGTGAAAATTCATGCTGTCCAAGTAGATGAGCAGTAAGTTGGAAGTGAAAGCTGAGTTGAAGACATGTCATTTATGCTCTACTTTCCCCACATCTCCTTGTCCAGAGCAGTTCTGTCCAGTCTTGTGAACTGATGACACGAGCTATTTCTGAGAGTCTCCTGCACCCAGGTAGGCATCCTCTTTCAAGATAGCCATGTTAAAAACTTGAAAACCTTTACCCCAGTATAAGAATTATCTTGAAACAAAAATACAAATTTTGAAATTATCTTAACTCTCTGCATTCAATCTCCAGTTGTCCAGATCTCAGACTCCAGGAATGTTACAGTTGTCCTCAGCTGGAACATGTGAGCTTTATCCGAAAAGGCATCCCCATCCCACAGGTAGTACAAAGTCCGCTAGATCACAGACACGTGGGTCAGAACACCTGTGACCTTGCAGGGACAGCCAAGTACTTGGCGTCTTGCTTTTGCTAAGGGCAAAATAACAACATTAAGACAAAATGTTTTTTTTTGTTGTTGTTGTTGTCTGTTCATTAAAGTATGGAAGGATATTTTGACTGTTTAGCCTGACGTTATAAAGGGACCCTTTCCCTGGAAAGGGCTGTGGAACTGACTGACGTAGCTTTGTACTCCTTACCACCAGAGAAGCCGGTGCAGCGCCCCAAAGTAGGGTGAAACACTGCACTCGACAGAAGTAAAATGGGCTACCAGAAACTTCTAAAATCACTTTAACATGCTTTTTACTTTTACCTTTTTGTAAGATAAAAGGGCTTTCCATTCAGTAATGATCATCTCTCCTCCTGCGGTTCCCACCGTCGGCAGGCAGCTGGTTTTGGTGGTCGCACAGCCCAGCTCCATCACGCCGAGAAAGCAGTGTCAGAGCCTGTCCTCTGCCGCTGGAATGACGGTACTGTTTGTCTCATGGAGTCTGTGTGTGAGGAAGGCCATTCTCGATGTATCTGCCACCCTAGTTTTTACTTTTTCTATAAAGCATATTTAAATAGTAAGTGGTGTAAGTTCCTTCTATTGAAGCTTTTGAAATGGTTTTATTACCTCATTTGAGCACAATGATGTTAGGGTCTAGTTTTGCAGGAAATATTATTCATTTCTCAGAAGCCTAAAAAACATGAGAGAATTTGTTACGCAGCTAATTTCTGCCCTTCCCCTGTCCTTTCCATCATGGACACATAAGTATTTAGCTTCCTTTTTATAAAATGAGGGACAGTACAGGTGTGATGACATCCATTTCCTTCACATCATTGATTATATTCTTGGGAAGCATGTACCGATTATTTTGTTTTTAAACAGCCCTTTATCAATCCAATTCACATTTTTATCTTTTTAATGTAAAAACTTATGAAATTTATATTTAATGTTACCTTTAAAGAGCAATATGGAAAAACTAGAGGCCCAAACCTAGTTATGGCAAGTATATGAGTTTCGGCAACTGTGGGGAACCTATAAATATTTTCTAACAATTATCTGTCAGCAATTATGTTATGTCTCTTTTCAATATTTTTCTGTTTTTCTGACATTTTCAAACAATATTCTGTAAGATAAGTTTGTATGCCATATATAAGTGAGGATAGAAGTCTGAGAAAGTAACAGAACTGTTCTTAAGACAAATTCATTCCTAGATAGTAGAGTGGATTATTGGGATAAGAAATGACCTAGTTCTAGAACATTTCCAGGCAGATAGAAGTATAATACAGTCAAAACTTACACTGTCTTAACCAGTGCTCCTAAAGTAATAGTTTATATAAAATTTCTGACTTTGTTATGTGATTATTCAATAAAAAAGCAGACAAAGGTATAATTTATTTTCTAATTATCCTTCCCTTCAATGGGCATAAATTGGGCATACCATATTAACTGTATATGTTATCATTGGGATAACATATACATATAACATATAACATTGGGATATCATTGGGAGGGGAAAATACCTGTTTTCTTTTTGAAACTGTTAACCCATTACTAACCCTGAGGTCGTGACTTAAGGTCATTAAGAATACTGTGATTTGACAAGATGAGAAGAAATCTGTGGGGCTGAAAATCACTACCAACTTCCTTACAGTCACCTCGATCTGCTGCTTTAGCCAGTTTACAAACCATAGGCTCAAGTTTATGTCCCCCTTGATTATACATAGTAGCCCCACAGAAATATTTGTTTAAAGTCAAGGCAAAAATAGTTTAAAAATACATATTCAAGGCGAGCCCTTATGTTCCTGATACATTTTCACCAGGCTCTGAAGGAGATGTTTAGGATCTGAAGATGAAGTTATCAGAGAGGGTGTCCCTGGCCTCAAAGGGGTGGGTCCCTGGGGTTATCAAACATCCTGCATTATGTCCACTCAGAGCTTAAAGGAAAAGTTAAATGTCATGGGAAGAACAATCTCAAAGTGAGAAAAAGAAAACTACCAGAGCATGCTGAGGCTTTAATAATGTACAGGGGAGACGTCTGAGCCGGCATTATCCCCTTTGAGATTTCTAAATTGACAAAAAATAATTAGGAACTATATTGTGAAATTAATAGAAGGGGCTCGTGTTTATTCTCGGTGTATTTGTCAACCTGTGTTCAGTGATTACTGTATATACACTCTGTCGTGTTTATTTTGTATATGTCACTATTAGAATTGAGTATCTTGATATTACTTACTATTCTAATCATTTATGTATTATTTATACTTCACTGCAAGATTCACAGCACTTTACTAATATTAGATGATTATTTTCCTTAACTTCCTGTGGCATGTTTTATTTATCTTTTCCAATGGGGTCCTTTTCCTTATTTTGGAGCATTCACTACGAAAAATGTAAAAGATTGCCCAAATAAATGGGCTTTGTACTCTTCCTGAAATTTTTAAAGTCAGATCTGAAGTTCTAAGTTTGGAGATCTATTTGAAGTTGGGTTGGGGCTACTAAGCATGAATTACGTTTTATATTTCACATTAATCAAACTCTTATGTAAGTTAATAACTAATGAAACGAAGTTCTCTCACATAAACGCCCTTGAAATGTTGTTTTCTGGAGTTGGAGCAGTAAAACGTGAATAATCATCTGGTGAATCAAAAGATGTTCTTACCTTTAATTTTCCTGTCACCTAAAATACAAACCTACAGACTGTCCTTAACATTCGTAGTTTCTTCATCATTGCATACACCCAAAGGCAGGAAAAGAAAGCCAAGTTCCATGAGCTATTAAGTCAGAGGATCTGGAAAGTGGTTGGGGTGGGGTGATGGGAAAAGGCAGACCCCAAAGATGGCAAAACAGTACAGAAATATTATTAGTTCTGTTACAACAGATATACTTTATGAAGTTGGTCATTTTCTTGAGTTCAAATACAGCAAAGTTTTTGGCTTACTAAGGGATGTTTTTAAGATTTAGGACTCTGCCATTTGTAACTGGAATATAACAGTATTCAAATCATAGTCAAAAAGTACCAAAATATTTGTTGTTATATAAGCATCAACATATGATTACTGCCAAACAACAGGAAGATTTGCTCGTAAGAACATTCTCTTAGTTTTGTATCATTTTGTTTTCAGATGAGAGAAAGGTTTTTATAGTGTGAAAAGTTTCTGTAGTCTTTCTTCAGCAGTCCCCACATCTGACTGATAGGCTTTGCCCAGGCAGGTCCTAGAAGAGAGCAACATGGAAAAGCAGGTCTAGACTCTGACCTTGGAGAGGAGAGCTGCGCTTTGTTCTCCCAACGCAGAAAATCACGTGCACGTGCGTGCGTGCGTGTGTACACACTTGAGGACAGACCATGTTATGGATGTCTACCAGTTAGTAGTTGAATGGATAGGTTCCCTTCAGATTGTCTTTATCACCCATTGACTTCTTGTTAATCTAGACAAGAGTAGATTTTAGACTTGCATTGTCCGATTCATTAGCTGCTTGACCCATGGCAATTAAAATTAAGGTTAAAATTAAATAAAAAATCAGTTCCCCAGTCACCCAGTCACACTTGAAGTACTTCAGTGACCGCACTTGGATGGTGGTCACCATACTATACTGGTCAGAACAGATCTGGAGCATTTTCGTCCCTGCAGACAGTGCTTTCCGCCAGCGCTGTCACCCTCAAGGGAAAATAAGGACACAACAAAGGTGTTCGATTCGTGTACGATAGCTCTTAGATTTTACTGTAATAGTTGATTTGAATAAAGCTATTTTTCTTATTAAAATTAATCCCAGCCCTTTTAAAAACCTTGGAAAAATCAAAACCCCATTCTTTGAAACTAATTTTCAATATATATTTTTAAACAGATTCTCAGCACTTTACTTTTCAAGTAACATAATTAAATCATTTCATAAGTCTTAAGTTAGTATCTTTAAGAGTTTTTATGTAGTGCTTTAACATTGATGATAGTTTACACTGATTGAGCAGAAACTGGTGAATGCTTATTTATAAGTAAAAATTTGATAAACACCATATCCTTCTATTTGGTTACATTTAAATCTATATAGAGCTAATGAAAGTTGCCAACAGTTTTTTTTCTATCCCTAAGATCATATTTGATTATCTTCCACCTTAAAGGTACATCATATCCAAATAATTTCTTTGTTTTTCTTTAGTTTCTTGCTCTTAACAAGTTGAATAGTGAATCAAGTTAAATTTATTGTATGAAGCAAACATTTTATTCCAGTGACTTAGTGAATGAAACATTTTTTAATATTTATTAATTTACTTGGCCTATTACTAATGCACTTAACATAATTAAATGGTCTATACAAATACATTGTTGAGGTTTTTAATGAAAATAAGAAACTAATCATAATTCTTTTGAATTCAGTTTGCTACTTAAACTATCCTGTTATGAATTCATGATGCTTTTTGTCTTTTTAAGAAATTTTATCAAGCAACAGACTTGTTCCAGTAGTATCAATTTCTAAGCAAATTATGATGAAACTTATTGTCATTCAGGTTCAGATTAGTAAACGGTGTAATTTGAGTTTTTCATTTTCTTGGTGGCCTAATTTACTGTGTTCTACACAGACTCATATTAAGGGAAATTTTCAACATGCTTGAAATAAGAAACAGCATTTTAGTATAAACACAGGAAATGACTGTACATAAATACCAATCAGTGATTTGAGGCCTTCTAATCTTCCAGTGGTAGCCTTTTGTTTTTTAAGAGCCTTAGTTATTTAAAACTCAGAAGCACCAAAATGTCATTGCTGTCACTGACTTTGCTGCTTCCTGGTTATTTGTAATTCAAAATGCTTTGTACTCAGAAGAATCATTTTCAGGTTTGTCTTGTTTTGCCATGTTCATGGCTTGACAATTGCCCTGCTATTTATAACACCCAATTTTTGGTTGTATGATGAATGGTAAAATTCAAACATATCTAATAATTTGCCTTATTTTGATTAATAAGTTCTGTCAAAGATTTGGGGATAGTAAGAGGCTTTTTCCCCCCTACAGTATTTTTTAAACTTTTCCAATGAGCTGGAAAACACCTTAGTACATTAGAGGTGGAGTTGTATCAATTATAGCCCCAGCTCTACAGCCTTATACTCATGTCTTAAGTATCACTGATTGTTCTGTGAATTGTTGTTAGTTCCACATTTGACACTGTAGTCACCCACCAAAGTTTAGCCTTTGCAAAAAGTATATTGCTAGGTATAGTCTTATTTCTGATTGACTATTGATAATTTCACATTTCATTCTTTGTCATTGTAGTCCAAAAATGAAATCCACATAGGACTCTAAATTTCTCACTTTACAAGAGGAGTCAGTACAAATTTAGCAACATTGGCGACCAAGCATTTTTCCATGTTTATCAAGTTTACCAACCATTTACTGTGTGTTAGATTGGTGGATTTTCTCAGTTTTTCTGAGGTGAATGAGTTGGTAGAGAATCTCAGTAAGAAAGTTTTACTAAAGTTGTAAAAATACAAAGTTCAAGAAACCACCAGAATATTTTTAATTTCTTTGAAATCTTATATTGTATTTCCTTTTGATATCACTTACTCATTTTAATTTTATGACTGCCAACTTGTTATGGTATTAATTATATGTATATGTTTATATGTATGCATATATTATATGTATATGAAGAATAAAGTTAAGATTTGGTCAAATTATATTTTCCCATTCAAGTACAAAAATGTTTTCAAGGCTGCAAAAAGTGTACAGTTGTTAAACAAGTTGTAAATAAAGACTTGTATAAAAATTCATCTGAGTTTTTTTCTACTTTAAACCATAACAGAGTTCTGGCTAGTGTGGCTCAGTGGATTGAGTGCCAGCCTGCGAACCAGAGGGTCACTGGTTCAATTCCCAGTCAGGACACATGCCTGGGTTGTAGGCCAGCTCCCCAGTAGAGGACATGCAAGGGGGCAACCACACATTAATGTTCCTTTCCTCTCTCTCTCTCTCTCTCTTCCCCTCTCTCTAAAAATACATAAATAACATCTTAAAAAAAAAAAAAAGATTGTAGGCCCTGGCTGGTGTAACTTAGTGGACTGAGCACAGGCCTGTGAACCAGGGCATCACCGGTTTGATTCCCAGTCAGGGCACATGCCTGGGTTGCAGGCCATATTCCCAGTATGGAGTGTGCTAGAGGCAACCACACATTGATGTTTCACTCCCTCTCTTTCTCCCTCCCTTCCCCATCTCTCTAAAATAAGTAAATAATATCTTAAAAGAAAAAAAAGATTGTAACACTTACTGAGTGTAAGTCAGGAATATTCTTTGAGTTTTTTTCTAGTACCTATGATAGTTTATGTTTTGATTGAGGCTGGTACTTAATGTTTGTAAACTGATTGTCCAAAGTTCTTAGGGGCGAAAGTTAATCATGGCTTCTCCCCTCTTAGAGTTACATTGACATGATCAGCCTCACCACAGGCTGTACAGCAAGAACCAGTGGTGTTTACTTTGTTTAACAACATGAAGTATTATTGTTAGCATTCCATTTAAACAATAAGTGCCCTTTTCCTGCCTTGTAGACCCTTACAACTCACCATTTACCCTCCCCACCCTAAACACTATTGAAATATAGCATCTTCACTGTTATGTAAAGTGGTAGTGGCAGTGTGGAAATTGATTACATTTACATTAAAATAATCAGCTAAGTAATTCAAAAGTGAACTTAGCACCAAGATACTAGTATACACATAGCTCCTTATAATGTCAAAAAGATGTATATAAGTTTATTTATATATATACACACATACACATACACAAGCATGGAGGTAACCATATTAAATTTAGCATTTATTGTCCCAAGTATTTAATATTGAAGCACATGAGAAAGGTAGGTTGAACCACAAAAATTAAACCAAAAAATGCCTTTGCCTTCAAAGATGTGTGATTAAATGGGACACAACACAGAAAAGTTCCCAAACAGAAGTATCCCAGATGACCATCTACCAGTCTGCTTTAAGAACATCTATACTACTGTTCTGGTTGTTGCTACATCACAACCCACTCCAAAACTGAACTGCTTTCAATGGGATGTTACTTCTCTCAGGCCTGGAGGCAGGCTCGGTTGCTCTCAGATGGGGTCCCTCATTCAGCGGGAGTTAGGCGACGTCCAAGGCCAGAGTCACCAGAAGGCTGTCCTCTCACACGTTGGGAACCCGGACTGATTTGGACGGAACTGGTATTACATGACATGTCATAGGGTCTTCTTTAAGAAAAGGGGAAAAATAGATAAAAATATGAGCAATAAAATGACAATAAATGCCTATCTACCAACAATGAAATCTAAAAAACAGGCGAACAAGCAGAACAGAAACAGACTCATAGATACAGAGAACGTTTTGACAGTTGCCAGATGGGAGCGGGGTTGGACGGATGGGTAAAAAGGTGAAGGGATTAAAAAGTACAGCCCTGGCTGGTGTGACTCAGTGGGCTGAGAGCTGGCCTGTGAACCAAAAGATCACCATTTGATTCTCGGTCAGGACATGACATGCCTGGGTCTCAGCCAAGTCCCCAGTTGGGGGCCTGCAAAAGGTAGCCAGTCGATGTTTCCCTCACACATTAATGTTTGTCTTCCTTCCTCTCTCTAAAAATAAAATATTTTTTTAAAAAAGCAAAAATTGGTTATTACAGAATAATCATGGGGATGTAAAGAACAGCATGGGGAATATAGTCAATAATCTACTAACTATGGTGACAGATGGGTGCAAGATTTAATGGGATGATTACATAGTAAGTTATGTATTGTCTAATCACTGGGGTGTATACCTGAAACTAATATAATAATGTATGTCAAATGTGATTGAAAAAAAACTGATTTTAAAAAAATAACTATACCTGGCTGGCGTAGCTCAGTGGATTGAGCGCGGGCTTCGAACCAGTGTCACAGGTTCGATTCCCAGTCAGGGTACATGCCTGGGTTGCAGGCCATGACCCCCAGCAACCGCACATTGATGTTTCTCTCTCTCTCTCTTTCTCCCTCCTTTCCCTCCCCAAAATAAATAAATAAATAAAATTTAAAAATAACTATCATTAGTCAGCAAGAGGAGAAATTAAAGTGCTTGTGTTGTTGTGGAAAAGAGTTCCTCAAAAGTTAAACAGCCCTGGCTGGTGTTGCTCAGTGGATTGAGCACTGGCCTGCGAGCCCAGAGGTTGACAGTTTGATTCCCAGTCAGGGCACACGCCTGGGTTGAGGGCCAGGTCTCCAGAGGGGGGTGCGCGAGAGGCAACCACACATTGATGTTTCCCTCCTTTCTCCTCTCTCTAAAAATAAATAAAATCTAAAAAAAAAAAAAGTTAAACAAAATTACCATATGATCAAGCAAGCCCACCTCTGAGTATATACCCAAAGGAAGTGAGAGCAGGGACTCTTAACATATTTCATTATTCACAACAGCGAAGAGATGAAGACCAGTTTCCATGAACAGATGAGTGGGTAAACAAATGTGGGCTATACATACAATGGAATATTATTTAGCCTTAAAAGAAAAGGAAATTCTGACACATTCTACAACATGGATGAACCTGGAGGGCATTATACAAGGTGAAAAAAAAAAAACAGTTACAAAAGGACAAATCCACAGGATTCCATTTTTACAAGATACCCAGCAGCATCAAATTCATAGAGACAGTACAATAGCAGTTACTAGGATCTGGAGGAAGGAAGGAATGGGGAGTTTTAATGGGAACAGAGTTTCACTTTGTGAAGATGAAGAAGATGGATGGTGGAGATGGGCAGTAGCAATGGTTGCACAACAATATAATGTACTTAATGCCACTGAACTGTACACTGAAACATGGTTAAAAACAAATGTTATTGTAAGGAGTAGGGAAAAACTTAGACCATGAGAAAATAGGAACCTAGCTAGCTAGAGCCAGGAGATTACTAGGTTAATGAATAAACATCCTGCCTTCCTGCCTTATACAAGAATGCTTGGTTTGAAATTCCCGCGCGCTGTCTTTGTAAGTGAATTGCTAACTGCCTCGCCTGCTTCTGTATAACGCTTGCTTGCCCGCCCCTATATAAGGACTTAGTTGTAAGCGCTCGGCGTGGCTCTCGTTTGCAGCTCCTTGTGGGCACTGTGTCGCTGGACACTGAGAGTTTGCCCCTGCGCAGGTTAAACTTGGCCAATAAAGTAACATCTTTGATACCCTGAAAGTCTCCGATATTTTTTCTCGCGTTTGCTGGATGCTACAGTTATGACTTACCACAATAAAAATTAAATCCCAAGTTCTTAGCAGTGTCCCTGGCTTCCTCTTTAACCTCACCTACCAATCCCCTCTCCTCACTGACAGGGCTTTAGTTCTTGGCATGCTTGCTTAACCCCCAACACTCTAAGCATACGTTTTCTTTCCCCTATTGGGTCTCTGCTCAAATAGTTCCCACAAAAGTCCTTCTGACTACTGTAGAGCAGGGGTCACCAACCCAGGGACCACAGACCAGTACATGTCTGTTTCCCATTAGGAACCTGGCGGCACAGCAGGAGGTGGGCTAGCAAAGCTTCATTTATAGCATTTATAGCTGCTCCCCATAGCTCGCATTACCACCTGCGCTCTGCCTCCTGCCCGCATTAGATTCTCACAGGAGAGTAAACCGTGCAGTGAACTGTGCCAGTGAGGGATCTGAGCTGCATGCTCCTTAGGAGAATCTAAAGCTTGATGATCTCTGGTGGAGCTGAGGCAGTGTTGGGGAGTGGCTGCAAATATAGGTTATCATTAGCAGAGAGGTTTGACTGCACAGAGGCCACAATAAATCAGTTGCTTGCAGACTCATATCAAAACCGTATCAGTAAATGGCAAATGACAATTAAGCTGCATCTGGTGGTAGGCTATAAAGCCATTCTCTCCCACCCCGCAGTCCATGGAAAGATTTGTCTTCCACAAAACTGATCCCTGGTGCCAAAAAGGTTGGGGACCACTGCTGTAGAAGGTACAAAATAACTTTGCCTCTACCTTTCTGAATTCATGGTTGAGTCCCCTGTAATAAAAGACAGATTAACAAGAGAAAAAAATGGTTTTATCAACATGTATACTTCATGTGTGCCTGGGAGAGACCTAGGGAAAAATTAGTCATTCCCTGAGGTTGCTTAGAATTCAAGCTTAACTGTTATACCATCTTAACAGGAAGAGCGGGTGCAATGTAGACCTCTTAGGGGAGAGTAATTTTTAGGACAGAAGAATGAATCCGTAGAAGAACTGATGGGAGACCTGAGAGTTTGTGACAAAGTTTGCCTGGATGTGGTGTCCAATTCTACACTCAGAACTCCTGGGGAGGGGATTTATGACAAGTTCCTTTTGGAGGATCTGTCTTCAGGCAGATAAGGAGGGGGAGAGGTCAGCATTCAGAGAAAAGCTTGTCTGTGCATTTGCTGTTGTGCAAGTGCCTACTGCTCAAATATGCCAAAGCACTTTATTTTGAAGCGGCACACCCTCAACACCTACAGACATATATTAGAGTGGTATATACCACCACCCTTCACCAGAACGTAAACTTCATGACCACAGAGACTTTATGTACTGCAAAGAGCAACCTTGGCACAGGATAGGTAGTCAATAAATAGTTAAATAAATGTTTACATACACATACTATTTCTATATCAGAACTTTTAATTTCAAAAGACAAAAACCCCGAATTACTTAAATTCTGCGATATAAACTCAGCATCCAAAAGAAAAAAAAATGTGCACGAGGAACGTAAAGAACCTTACAAGGTTAAGGTAGAGGCCAGTTCCCTCCAGATGTAGGACGTGTGATTGGGCCTTGAGCCGTAGGGCAGTGGCTCTTATCCCTGGCTCCTAAGACTGCGAACAAAACGAGAGGAGAGCCATCTCCCCTACTGAGGGGATCTAAGCAAGGCCCCAGTGGCCAACTACAGGCATTTGGGAAGACGGAAAGATGAAAAACCCAGAGCCCCTAAGGAGAATGGCGCAGTCTCGCCCGCAGGCAAGGACCCACAAAGGTCCGCCAAGGCTAGGGCGCCCGCCCGGGACGCTCTGGACCGCATCTCTATGGTAGGAAAGCAAGAAAAGCGGAAGTGGAGCTCGTGAGGGGGGTGGGGAAAGGGAGGGGCGGGACCGCGGGGGGGCGGGGCCTCCGCCGCCAACTCGGCTGCGGACCGAGGCGAGATGGCGGCCACCGAGGGGGTCGGCGAGGCTACGCAAGGCGGCGAGCCGGGTCAGCCGGAGCCGCCACCGCCCCAGCCGCAACCTCCGCCGCCCCAGCAGCAGCAAGAAGTGATGGCAGCCGAGGCCGGAGAAGCCGTGGCATCCCCTATGGATGACGGGTTCCTGAGCCTGGACTCACCTACCTATGTTCTATACAGGTAACTCTCATGGCAGGGCCGCGGGTTAGGAACCCCTCCCCTCGAGTTGGGGGCTCCCCCTGAGCTGCGGTTCCCGGGCGGCTCCTTCTGCCTCGCCTTGTCCCGCCGAAGTTTCCGCGGCCTCGCTGTCCGGCTGGCGGGGGGCGCGCTCGGCCGGGTCCGCGCTCCGCGGGGTCAGGGCCCTCCCGCGGCCCTCGCGCTCCCCGGAGCCCAGGCTGTCACCGAGGGACGGGAGAGGCAGGACGCCAGGCAGCGCAGAACACTGGAGACCACTCTCTTTGGCTGTGTAGGTGTCGTGGTTCAGGAATTTAAGAAATCTCCCGCTCTGCTTCATACTCCCACGAAGATAGCCTGATAATAATCTGACTGTATACCGAAGGACGGGCACATTTGGATAATTTGGCAAGGAATAGTGATTTAAATAAGGTACAGATTTGTTCACTTTAAAGACAAGGTGTAAGGGCTTCCCATGGTTTGTTCTGCTGAAATGGAGAGATCTAGTGTAAGATCTTTAAGGACTAGGACATTTTCATTCAACATTTTAGCATCCAGCATCAGCCAGACACCTAGTTAAGGTTGTAAGAATGGAAAGATATTTGTTCCTTAAACTCTTATATACATTTCTGCATCACCTCGTGTATAATACAAGTGATGTGTAGTAGGCAGTGTTGGGTACCGCTGAAACTCTTGCCTTTTCTCCCCATCTTTGCCAACACCCAGTCCTCCCTCATCAGCTCTTTGTTTTCTTATAATAATGCTGGTTCCCTAGCTCCAGTTGAACCTGCAGAGTGACAAGAGAGAAGCCCTTATGTCTTATTTTTCTTTTGTCTTATTGTTTTTCTCCTGCAGTAGGCAAACTCATTGGATTGCTTATTTGCCTTGTTTTTATGAATGAGTGAAAATCACTATCAAGATTTTACTGTTTCATTGTTAATGTTTTACTGACTTAAATTGGTTGGGTTGGCTCCATAACCCTCAAACCTCCTCCCTGGGTTGTGAAATACTCAGCTGCTTCGCTTGGACATGTCTGATTTCCCAGTGACTAAGTGACAGCCTAACCTTTTTCAGGCTCCTCCCCAGGCTCCAGGTCTCACACCTCGGGTGATTGTTTCCCTGGTATAGTGGACACAATGTCAGGGTTGTCTGGATGCTACAGAACCTTTGTTGTCAGCAGCTGATCAGTACAGAGAACCAAAAAAGTGGGTGAAAGGAAAAGAAAATAAGTAAAAGAGTATTTAAAACAAATTTGTTCACATTGGGCAGTTCACACAGAAATGTCTGTAGGTATCCCATTGTTGGGATTGTAATGTTATTTTAACATTGATAATGAGATAATTCATTGAATACTTACTATATGCATTTATTACATGCTACATTGCCATATTTGTAACATAGCATATAAATATTTCAGCATAATAATATTATGTATTTGTTAGATGCTATATGCTTATTATTATGCACATTTTAAGTGCTTAACGTTATCTCACTTAATCCTCCAAACAGCTTTCTAAGTTTGGTTGGTAATAGTATCATCTCCATTTTATAAATGAAGAAAGTGAGGCCCAGAGACGTTAAGTAACTTTTTCAAGGTCGCACAGCTAGTAAGTAAGAGAGCCAATATTGAACTTAGTTGTCAGGTTCCAGAGCCTGCTGTCTCCTCACTGCTAGGACTGCCTCCCAGCATACAATAAACTAGTAGTGTTTACTCTGCTTTTAAAATGTTAGTTCCTAGTAATCCTAGTAAATTGTTACTCAAATTTTTTAAAAATACTAACTCCAGAGTCTTATTACATCAATGAATAGATTAATTTCTAATTTAGAACTGTTGTGTACATGCTGCAAAAACATGTTTTTCTTACATAAAAATTTTAAATTAAAGTTTAATATGTAAAGGAAAGTGGCAACACTTGGTCATGAAGAATCCAACCATGGTTACATTAAGATGCTTATGAGTTACTAGTATTAATGTAAGTGTATTTGTTGCCATTTTAAAAAACATTGGGGTTCTTTTTCTTATGTGTTTGAATATAATCACTGAAAAAAAAATGTATTTCAGAGACAGAGCAGAATGGGCTGATATAGATCCAGTGCCGCAGAACGATGGTCCCAATCCAGTGGTCCAGATCATTTATAGTGAAAAATGTAAGTTTACTTTTATTGGGAAAAGGTCTGTAAGTCAAGCTTAGTAGCTGAATTGAAATTCACAACTATATGGCTAGATAGATGACAGATTTTTGTCTGATAAAGATCTAAATGACTATGATAAGCTAGCTTTGTGTTTGTTTGTAATTTTCATGGTTAAAAGTTTTATTTTTTCCAAAGAGTGGACATAATCTAAGTAATGAATGTTATAATACATAATAGCTACTGTGTTACTGTGTTTTTCATTAACTATTTAATCTACAGCATAAATGAATTACTGTTTTATTTAGAATAAACTTTGGTTGCTAAAACATGAGCATTTTGAAATATATTTCAACAGTGAGTGTTATGCTTAGTTGGAACACATTTACTGATAAAAAATGAATGGATTGTTTTCTTTGACAAAGTATCATTTTTTCATAATGAATGTTATGAAAAAAATAAATGCTTTATAAATTGGAGGCTGTGTAAATGTAAATTGTTAGTTGTTCTTCTTGAAAAGAAAAATGAATAGAAATGGAATGCTAGTTTTGTGTGTGTGTGCATATATATATTTCTTTCAGTTAAGGCTTTGTTATCCAAGATCATTCCTGTGTTACAAAAGGCATTATTTTTTTCTTGATTATTAGGTAATGCCAAGAAATGTTGGAAAAGGAAGAATAATGGTCTGAGGGTTTGCCCTACTAAATACGAAAATATACTACTACAAATAATTAACTTTTGGAATGGGAACAGAAATAGATTACTAAGGAATCTAAAAATTCATCATCAGTATAAGTGGAACTTAATATTTGAGAAAAAAAGAACATCTCATACCTATATGAAAAAGGTGGATTAATCAGATAATGGTTTTGTAACATTTGCTATGCATTTGGTAATATGCAAAATTATACTCCAGTCTCGTATCTTACATAAAAATAAATTACAGATGAATTAAAGTTTCAGAACAAAATTGTAAACATACTAGGAGCAAGTACTAGAGAATAATCTTTCATTCTTACAGTGAAAAGAAAGTAAGCATGCTATAAAACTCAGAATTGATTAAGGAAAAGATCAGAAGATATAAAAATGCAAAACTTTCACACTATGAGAGATGTTATATGTGAAAATATAATTCACTAGAAGAAATGCAAATATCTGCAAAACGATGTTAACCTCACTGGTGATCAGAGAAATGAAAACCACAATTTTTTCAGATTCGTAAGGTACCTATAACAAAGATACCAGAAAACTGATACAGTCATATGTTTCTCTTGGGGTTAAAAATAATACCATGACAAGTTGAAAAGCAAGCAGCAGTGTGGGAGAAGAAATACCATACAAAATAGAGGATTGATGATTTAGAACTTTATAAGGAATTCCTACAAAATGTTAAGGAAACAAACTAGTAAAAAAAAATGGAGAAAGGGCCCTGGCCGGTGTGGCTCAGTGGATTGAGTGCTGGCCTGCAAACCAGGGGTTCCTTGGTTTGATTCCCAGTCGGGGCACGTGCCTGGGTTGCAGGCCAGGTCCTCAGTGGGGGCTGCGCGGGAGGCAACCACACACTGATGTTTCTCTCCCTCTGTTTCTTGTTCCTTTCCCCTCTAAAAATAAAGAAATAAAATTTTTTTAAAAAATGGAGAAAGGGTATGAACTGATGATTCACAGAAGAGAAAATTTCATTATCTATTAATTGGGGGGAAATCCATTATCACTAGGCATGAGAGATGCACATTAAAATGGGAATGTCATTTTCTACCCATAAATTAAATGGCAGAGTAAAACTGTGATCTCAGGTATTAGGACATGTGAATAGGTACATACATTTCTGATGGTAGTTTTCATATTTTAGCCATTTTGGAAAGCAGTGTGGTATATCTAGTAAAGCTACCTTGAAGTGCTGCTTCTGTGATGTGTTCTTCGGTCACTCTGGCATATGGCACCAGAAGACACATACTAGGAGGTTAAGAGTACATGCCTCAGAGTCAGACCAGCTGGTTCAGATTCTAACTTCATTTTATTGGCTCTACAACCCTGAACAAGTTATTTAATATTTAACCTCTGTGTACCTCTATACCTCCCCTATATCCATGTTTTGGAGAATGGGTAAAGGAAATATATCATTGTCATGCGATTTAATACTGCATAAGTATTAAGAGGATCTAGATCTGTTAAAACATGGGCAGATCTCAGAAATAATGTTCAGTTAAAAAGACACAAGTTTTAGAAACTTGTGGCTGTGACACTAACGTATTATGGTGGCATTCACACAGTCATTTGATTTGCTTTTGCTTATTGTTCAAAATCGGTGATTTTCAACCTTTTTCATCTCATGTCACACATAAACTGAAATTCTGTGGCACACTAAAAAGCATATTTTTTGCTGATCTGAAAAAGTAGGTATAATTTTGATTCATTCACATCTGACAGCTGTTGTTGTGTTGGTTGTTATTTACGTATTTATTTATGTATTGATAGTCTGTGGCAAAACTCAGTGCCTCTGACTTAAATAGTCAGTTATTGCATGTTTTAAAAATTCTTGTGGCAGACCAGTGTGCCTCAGCCTACTGGTCGAAAATAGCTATTCTAAAAAATGCAATAAAGTAGCTTTCCTTATAAGATGTAACAACATATTCTAATGGTAGTTTTAAAGAAGGAAGATAGCCCTGGATGATGTGGCTCAACAAATTGAGTGCTGGTCTGTGACCTGGTTCAGTTCCCAGTCAGGGTATGTGCCTAGTTGCAGGCAGGATCCCCAGTAGGGGGTGCACAAGAGGCAACCACACATTAATGTTTCTCTCCCTTTTCTCTCTTCCTTCTCCTCTCTCTAAAAATAAATAAAATCTTAAGGAAAAAGAAAAAGAAAGATAGTCCTAATGCAGTTTTGTGCTATTTACAGTTAGAGATGTTTATGATTATTTCCGGGCCGTTCTGCAGCGTGATGAAAGAAGTGAACGAGCTTTTCAACTAACCGGAGATGCTATTGAGTTAAATGCAGCCAATTATACAGTGTGGTGAGTAATACACATTATTAACATTTCCTGTTTGAACGTCTTGTGTTTTAGTTTGAATGGCTTTTCTTTTCCTTAACTCTAATTTTTATCAAAATAATTCACATCAGTTTCGAAGTCAGAGACTGAATGAGAAACAGCAACTTCTGCCTCATTCTTTCCATCTGGCAGAGTCCCACTCCCTAAAGGCAGTAACTCTTGGCCATTCTTTCTTGAATTAAACTGTGTATTCTAAATAATATGCTCAATTGTTATTTTTTATCATTTTAGACATTATTTATTCCTTCTGTGGGAGAAACAGAGTTTACTCTCCACTACACTTCTTTTATTTATAAGTAACATTTTCTTAGTAGTTTTAAAAGTGAAATATGTGAAAATGTTTGTAATAGAATTAATTTATTACATAAATAGTTATCTAAATGAACAAGCTGTACTGTACAGGGAAAGAGATGTTTTCAATTCTTGTGTAGTACACCACAAGTAACCCCAGGGTATTACTTACCTGAAAATAATCATTAGTTGGTTGTCTTATCTTAACATTTCACACTTACTGTCTTTTGCTATTTCTACTTCAAAATGCTTTATTCTTATGGGAAACGGTATAAGAGTTCTTCAGAAAATTAACAACAGAGCTGCCGTATGATGTAGCGATTCCACTTCTGGGTATTTATGTGAAGAAAACAAAAACACCAACTTGAAAGGTTGCTTGCACTCCTGTGATCATGGCAGCGTGACCCGGAGCAGCCGGGATACAGGTGATAGATAAAGCCTCGGTGCACACACAGGCTCGGGCAGAAGCAGGCTTACAGTTTTGAGGATGCAGAACAGTTTAGTCTTGCATTATTATTTATTAATTATTGTATTACAGCTGTAAATCTACTTTTGCCCCACCCTTTTCCCACAATGGAATATCATGTGGCAATTAAAAAAGAACGAAATCAGCCCTGGCTGGCGTAGCTCAGTGGATTGAGCGTGGGCTGGGAACCAAAGTGTCCCAGGTTCGAATCCCAGCCAGGGTACATGCCTGGGTTGCAGGCCATAACCCCCAGCAACCGCACATTGATGTTTCTCTCTCTCTCTGTCTATCTCCCTCCCTTCCCTCTCTAAAAATAAATAAATAAAATCTTTAAAAAAAAAAAAACGAAATCTTTCTATTTGTGACGATATGGGTAGACATGGAGAGTATTAAGCTAAGTGAAATAAGTCAGACAAAGGCAAATACCATGTGATTTTATGTGTATGTGGAATCTAAAAGAGCAAAACAAATGAATAAATGAAACAGAACAGAAACAGACCCATAGTTATAGAGAACAAACTCTGGTTGCTGAAGGAGAGGGATTAGGGAGATTGGAAGAAGAAAATTATTTTTATCCTTTTTTTAAAAGATTTTATTTGTTTATTTTTAGAGAGGGGAAGGGTGGGAGAGAAATATTGATGTGTGAGAGTTACATTGACCTGTTGCCTGTTGCACACCCTCTACTGGGGACCTGGCCCACAGCCCAGGCATGTGCCTTGACTGGGAATCGAACTGGTGACCTTTTGGTTTGTAGGCCAGCATTCAATCCACTGAGCCACACTAGTGAAGGTAAAAATATATATATTTTTAAATGCTACATTATTCCAGTCACCAGATAGTTGTATGAGTTTGGACAACCACAAAAAAAAAATTATATAATTATGTTGTTGTCTTGCAACTTTATTTGATACCGTGGCAGACAATTTATATGGAGTAATGAGACTGAATGCTTGATATTTGTTGTAGGCATTTCCGGAGAGTTCTCTTAAAGTCACTTCAAAAGGATCTGCATGAGGAAATGAACTACATCACTGCAATAATTGAAGAGCAGCCCAAAAACTATCAAGTTTGGTAAGATGCAAATAGGAAGGAAACATGTTACTGTGCTAATAGTTTCTGGGTATAATCTCATGAGATTATAGGGGATTTTTTGTTTCTTTACAATTTTAGTACTTTGCATTGGTGCTAATGTTACCTGTCCCATAGGGTTGTTGGGAGGATTAAATGAGACAGTTGTGTGTAGTGCTTGAAGTGGTGCCTGACCCATAGTTAACACTCAAGTGTATCCACTATTTAGAATATCGACAGCATGTAATATTGCTAGAGTCAGAAAAAAGTTTGAGTAAAAAACTTAAATGTTTCCAATGTACTAAAAAATGACTTTCTGGTAGTTGACCTTGTATTCATTTGTTTATTCAAAATATTTATACTGATGCTGGAGACACAAAGGTGAAAAAGATACAATCTAAAAGGAAAAGCGAATAATCAAACCAGTTGTTTTATAGTGCAATATGAAAAGTGTAATGGTGGTTTTTCACAGAGTGTATTTGTTCTAGAAATTAAGCCTCTAAGTTATCGTAGACCAGAGTATGTATTATTTTGGGGTGGGGGCAGGGCAGGGGAACAGAACACAATGGGGAAAAATTACAGAGCAAGCGGACAGAGAAATAAAGAGTTTCAACAGTACCGGGGTTATAGTGAGCACTCCATGAATGGAAGCTGCTGTGGCTGCTATTGTGGTGCGGGGGGAGGAAGGGGTGGAGTGGTGGTCGGGTGGTCGAGGTGCTGGCAGAGAAGGAAGATGACGAGGTGGTAGTGGTGAAGCTAGTGCAGTAGAAGCAGCAACATGGTATCATCAAGCACTATCTCCAGTTTCTGTGCCACTCCCTGCCTGTTCATAATGCAGGACTTAAACATCATTTTATTTTTTTCAAATGTCATGACCGACACACGTGTCTATACTTTATGCCTGAGATTTAAGGATAATTTCTCAGAGGACGGGCCTCTGAGGCAATGAAAATATTCCAGGGAGATGCATGAAAGAAAGCACAATGTATCAGAGAATTATGTGATTCCATGTGATTAGAGTAAATTCTGGAGTGATGGGATAAAATCACAAAGAGCCTTGTGAACATTGATAAGGAGTGTGGACCTAATCGTAGTGGCAGTGGAAAGTTGTTGACAAATTTTAATTAAGGAAGTAAAATACTTAGGTTTGTGTCTTAGAAGTCTTACAATTGTAAGTCTTAAAATTGTAAAGTTGTGTGTAGTGCTTGAAGTGGTGCAGGGCGGACCACAGATGAACTACGTTTGCAGTCCGGTCGGCCGTCGCACTGGTACGGGCCAGGAGAGAGTGTGGGTGGGTATAGGAAAGACAAGGATACATTTGAGAGAGCCTTTGGGGACCGAAGCAACAGTTTTTGAAATTTAATTTATTGGAGGAGTGATAGAGAACAATGATGTCTATATGTTTGGCTTGACCACTGGGTGAATGGTGGTGCCAGCCACGATGGGGACTTGGGAGACAAAGCAGCACATTTGTGGGGAAGAAGGATGGACTCAGTATTGGACAGATGGAGTTTACTGCACTTAGGGAAAACCTGTGTGGAGTAGTCCAGCACACGGTTCAAAAATGCTCATGTGGAGTTCAAGTTATAGCTGTGGGTGAGGATGCTTAGGGAGAGGTAGAGGAGACGGTTGAGGATAGAACACTGGTGAGTGAATACTGTCATTTAAGAAGTGTTCCAGGATGACTGAGGAAGGAAACCAAAAGTTAATGTCACCACAGAAACCAAGAGGGGACAGAGTTTTAGGAAGAAAGGAGTGGATGACAATATCAGCTACTGTGGAGAGGTCAAGGGAGGTAAGGACTAGAAATTGACTAGTAGATTTGTTAATTAGGTGGGTGCTAGTGAGAGACGTTGGCATGAGCAGTCCTCCTGCCAGGGGTGGGCTGGTGCCCAGGTGGGCAGCAGGGACGTGGTGGGAAGAGGAAAGAAGCCACATAAGTGGTTGAATCACAAATGGGAGATGAGGGTTGGCTATTGCAAAAAGAAGACATAGCAACTAGCGAGCCAGGGCTATGTTTTTCTGTTTTGGTTTTCCACCATGGAAAACTCCTCTTGACGAATTTTTAATTTATCATAGTTACTTGCCAGAATAGAAATAAATTCAATTCTGCCCACGAACTGCTGAAATGAGCATTTATTTGCTTGCATGGTGACACTTTGGACTGCCTTTGGGAAAACTGACAGCCTATTTATAATCAGAGGAGCTTCTAAACTTGATAAGACGGTATTACATTTCCTATAGTGTCATTATGCCATCTGGGAATGTTCCCAAAATTTTTGACAGTTTTATGGTTGTCAGAAGACTACTATGCTTCCAGATTTAGCTTGAAATAAACCTTCTTTAAGCCATAAACTATTTTATTTCATTTTACACAAAAATCACAAATCACTATTTTATGTTTTTCAACTTAGCGTTCTGAAATTTTTTCTCTTAAGTGTTTCTTTTGTGTTACCTTTTTTCCCAGTAGTCTTGAGAATCAGAGCTGAATATCTGTTTTACTTTCCATCACCTGGCACAGCACATGCAGCCAATACTTCAGCTCTGGGTAAATTAACACAAACCTTTTCTCCCTTCATCCGTCTTTAGGCATCACAGGCGAGTGTTAGTGGAATGGCTCAAAGATCCGTCTCAGGAGCTTGAGTTTATTGCTGATATTCTTAATCAGGATGCAAAAAATTATCATGCCTGGCAACATCGACAGTGGGTTATTCAGGTATTGGCTTTCTTATTACAGTGTTTTGAGATTATTTTTTTAATTGAATTAAATTATTAAAATTAGTATTAAATTGTAAGTATACTTCTGAACTGAAACACACATATAGATCATTACACACAATGTGTATATAATTATTAATAGTAATTAAGCCCTGGCTGGTGTGGCTCAGTGGATTGAGCACTGGCCTGTAAACCAAGGGGTTGCTGGCTCGATTCCCAGTCAGTGTATATGCCTGAGTCACAGGCCAGGGCCCCAGGATGGGGCACACGAGAGGCAACCACACGTTGATGTTTCTTTCCTCTTTCTCTCTCCCTTCCCCTCTGTCTGGAAATAGATAAATAAAATCTTTAAAAATAATAATATGATAATAATTAAGATACATTAAGATTATCTGGCATCCTTCATGTTGGTTAACCTTTATAATCTCTTGAGATATGTTGGTGAGTGGCTTCATATTAAAGAAGAATAGTACTACTTACTATTTTCAGATCAAATTTGCCAACAAACTGAATTTTAAAAAGACTTATAATTTTTTAATATAACTGTGTGATTTTTATTAACAAGGGCATAGTATACACTAAGATTTTTGCATACATAAATTTTGGAATATGATTTTACAGTAAGTATTATATATTTTATTTCTGTTCACTTGTTAAAATTTTATGTTAAATCTTGAAGAGAATGGCTATGACTCCCACTCTGGGCATCTAATTTATTCTACCAAACAATTCTGCTGTTGTTTACTATGGATTTTCTTCCCAGTAATTGCTACTTTCTGCAGTATTCATCATACCAAGAGTATTTAATCAATTTTTTAATTTAAAATTTTAAACTTTTCCAACTTTGAATAAAGTTATTTAAAAAATATCTTTCTAAAGGTATTCAGTATTTTTATTTTTTATGAAATTCTTCTCTTTTGTTATCAAATAAGAAATATAACTCCTCTAGCTTTTTCATAGTTAATGTCCCTGACTTTTTCAGCATTTGTAAGTCTTGGTCATGCTATTCTTTTTTCAAATTGGCTTTATTGAGCCATAATTTAGAAAAATTAAAACAGCTTTATAATGCAAAAAATTTATGCCTAAATCTAATTGTGTATATTTCTCTACATGTATTTTAATGTAATTTTGTCATATATATGCATTTTATTCATTCATAACCCCTTTAATATTACACATTAATGTTAAATTGCATCAAATTAGCATGCTAGAGTTAATAATTTTCTTACAAGTTTGTTTTTCCCCTCTAAATTTCACCATAACAATATATAAATGTTTAGCTAAATATGCTTTGTTTTGCTTTTGATTTAGTTCTTTACAAAAATTCTTGGCTCACATAGTATAACCTGCCTCCTGTTATCTAAATTGCCCCTAGGAAGATGGTGCTGAATTCCAGGCCACTTTAGCTGCTCACTCTTCCTTGTGGCCGTTCCCTTTTCCTTGAATGCTTCCCTTTCCCACTGCATGTGCTCGACTGGCACCTGCTGTCCTCCTCCAGGTGTGTGCAGAGTCCGACACCTTCTGTTCACCCTACTTAGCTTTGTTGAAGTTTGATTTAGTTATTGTTTATAAATAATGGTATGTTTCTAATTGGATATTTTACCTTTTATTTTCTTTTAGGAATTTAAACTTTGGGATAATGAGCTGCAATATGTAGACCAACTTCTTAAAGAGGATGTGAGAAATAATTCTGTCTGGAACCAAAGATACTTTGTAATTTCTAACACCACTGGCTACAATGATCGTGCTGTATTGGAAAGAGAAGTCCAGTTAGTAATCTCCTTCACTTGCTCACTCATTGAAAGAATATTTGTTTGCCTTCCATATGTCAGGTATTGGGGATACAGCAAAGATCAAGACTGCCCCCAGTTCTACCTTCGTGGAGCTAATAGGACAGAATACTTAGATGAAATAGGAAATTTACAAATATGTATTATAGTGTACCTCTACTTTTAGTGTCTTAACTTTCTTGAAATGTTACAACTACAGCTTGAGAAGAAATCAGATTTCCTAGTGTTCTAGGAAACTATTTTAAAACTATCTTATAAAATTCTTTTGTATAGCAGCCGTGTTATTCTAGTGCAGGGTTGGAGGCCAGATGATCATTGTTGCAGAGGGCTGTCCTGTGCATCGTAGTGTTTTTAGCAGCATTCTTGGCCTGTATGGCCTGTACAGACAGTCCTCGACTTCAAATGGTTTGACTTAAGATTTTCTGACTTTAAGATGTTATGAAGGTAATACACGTTCAGTAGAAACCAGCCAGGCTAAGCTCTGATCTTCTGTAGGTTGGATGTATTAAGTGCATTTTTGACTTAAGTGTTTTCAGTTTATGATGTATCAGGGCATACCCCTGTAAGTTGAGGAACATCTATCAGCAGTAAACCTTGCCCACAGTTGTGCCAGATGTGCCCTCAGGAACATAACCAGCCTCAGTTGAAAACTACCACTCTCCAAGCCTGCAGCTGCTGTGAGAGCTAGAAAATTTCTGAATTGGCATGAATTTATGTATTATACACATAAACATTGATAGCCACCTCTTTTCTGACTTTTGTCTATTTTGTCTCAGTGGGCTGTTTTAGATTTGAACGTGTTTGTTTTTATAGCCTCCTGAGACCATAGTCATAATTTAGTTATAAAAGTTACCTAACAGCTCTGTTTTTTCTTTGATGCTTGGTGCTCTGTTGTGAGGATTGGGGCGGGGGGAAGTGCGCTGAAGGAAAGCAAGGCACCATCCTTCAAAAAGTTCAGTGGCTTCCTTGCCAAAGGTAGGATGCTTCAGGTTAATCTGCCTGGAATTAACCCAATTAATAATTAGGGATTTCAAAATATTATATATTTCTTATTTACTGTAGCCCACTACATTAGGTTAGGCCTGATAAGATAGTTAAAAATTGAATATGAAGAGTTTGGAAAATGCAGACTTCTCTCATAGCCTTTAAAGGCAGATCACTGGATTTCTGTTACCAAATAGAAATAAAAATAATTGCCTTGGCTGGTGTGGCTTAGTGAATTGAGTGCCTGTCTGCAAACCAAGGCATCGCAGGTTCAGTTCCCAGTCAGGGCCCATGCCTGGGTTGTGGGCCAGGTCTCCAGTGGGGGCCACATGAGAAGCAACCACACATTGATGTTTCTCTTTCTCTCTCTCCCTCCCTCCCTTCTGTCTAAAAATAAATAAATAAAATCTTTTTAAAAAGTTAAAAAACAAAACTATTTAAAAAATAATCAGGCAAGAATCTAAGGTTTTTTTATGCTTAAGGTTTATTATACCCTTCAGATAGGTAGGTACAAGAAATAATTAAGATGCTAAGAGAAGCAGTTATCTAGAATTTAGTTAATAAAATTTTTAACTCTTAAGAATACAAACAAATATAGCTGATTATTTTCTGTAGTTTTCTTCCTTTTACTCTAAAAGTAATGTAGTTTAATTATGGGGGGAATTGTACTGACTTGTTTAAAATAAAACATCAAAATCTCTTTTTCTCCCTCTTCCCATATTCCATTCTTCAGAGTGAACTACAAGTAGTGTGAATGTCTTCCAAGCCTCACAAATACATTTGCAGACATGCCCAGCAGCCTGGGTGATTCTATACACATTGCTTTTTTCATTAAATACATCATGGTCATGTGTCCATTTGAGTACATAATCTAGTAGCACTATTAATAATAGTTGCCATTTATCAATCATTTACTATATGCCGGGAAATCTGATTTAATTCTCATAACACTCTGAGATACATGAGAAGAACTTGAGACTCAGAGTAGTTCTGCAATGTGCGTAGGGCACGTGGATAGTAACTGATGAGGCTACGATTGATGCCAGGCCTTCTGACATCCAAGTCTGTTTTTCAGCCATTAAAATGGATAATGCTTGAGTACATGTGCATAAATGAATTTTTTTAGGTTTGCCAAAATGAAACTAAGAATCTTCTGAAGGGACTAGTTAATAACTGCAGGAATATGGTTTTACAAATAATTGAAAACTTTAGGTCATATAAAAGTAATTGGGAACAAAACTTTTAATAATGCTGACTCAGTTTATTACTGTTCTCTCCGAAGGAAAAAATGCTCTTGTATCAGCACTGCAACAAAACCAAGATTACCAGACTTTAGTTGGTGTCTTACTTATTTGAGCAGGTATAGAGTAAAGCAATGTTCTGTAACTTTATTGGAGTTTTTTGTAACTGGATCAGAATTATATTTAATAATAATATGGTTCAAGTGAAGAGAAAATAGGGAGTATCCATTTTGACTGGGAATCACATCATAGTTTGCTAGTAACCTTGCTTTGGAATATAAGAAATGTACATTTGTGCCCTGACTGGGTGGTTCAGTTGGCTAAAGTGTCATCCCATACACCAAAAGGCTGCAGGTTCGGTCTCCGGTCGGGGCACATACCTAGGTTGTGGTTCAGTCCCAATCGGGACACGGATGGAAGGCAACCGATTGATGTTTCTCTCTGTCCCCATTTCCTCTCTCTAAAATCAATAAACATATCCCCAAGTGAGAATTAAAAAAAAAAAGAAATATACATTTGTGTTGATTTCTTATTTTTTTCATTGTCTATATAATTTCCATGGTGTCTATTTTTTATTATAGTGCCTAAGGTTATATAGTTCTCCTTTATCAATGACTTTGACAGCCATCAGTGTATCTTGGACTTTTCCCCCAAGATTGCTTTAGCAGTAAAAAGGAAAATCTTGTTTTAGCTGACATTTCCTTCAGAGGGAAAGCCTAAATTAAAGGAAATCTCCCCCATTAATTTCTTTTTCTGTTGTGAATTGAGCCTTCATATTAAGTGTTATTCCCCAGAACTGGATACAAATCTATAATAGGGAAGAACTGTGTAAATAAGAATCGATAGCTAGAGACTGGAGAGGTTTAGGTAAGACCCAGAATGATACCAAAGTCCACTGAGAGAAATGAAAGCACAAACCTGAGCTGTGTGTGCCACACTCTTACAAAACTGTAATTATTGCATTGCTCTTTAAATTATATACATATTTACTTTTGGTTTTTTTCTTACAGGTACACTCTGGAAATGATCAAACTAGTACCACATAATGAAAGTGCATGGAACTATTTGAAAGGGTAAGAGGTGGTTTTTGCTTCTTTTATATATAATACAATCTGTTAATGTGATGCATCATGGAATACTTTCAATAATCAGATTCCAAAAGGGCACTAAAGAATTTTCTGTATTTCTCTGAGAGCAGAAGTGTGTTATGGTAGCACCAAGAACAGTTCCCTCTACCCTTCTCTTCACCTCCCAAGCACATACCAGCGCAGGGTAGTCCGTGAGTAAACAGTAATACAGTTATAATTGTATTTATGAATCCTTCCGTCTTTATGTCAGAGAGTGGGATACACACACTCAGCTTATGTTCCGCTCAGGAACGCAGTAAGGCAAGGCCTGCTGTTTACAGTCAGATTGCCAGCCTTTCTGTTTTTACTTTTAGAGATCTCCTGTTACAAGTCTCACTTGTTAAACTGACATGGTTTCACTCGCATGGCTACTAACATGACCAGTTTCCTTGTTGAACTGAGAGGTCTCAAAGAGCCCAGATACAGAGCCTGGTCACGCTGAGGGGTGTGGCCAGGGTAGGCTTCTCTAGTATCTGGACAGCCGAACTGATAAGGAACCATGTGATGAAGAAACAGAAACATCTCTGTGTTTTCCTCCACTTTTCAATTTTAAGAAGATGATTTATTTTTTACTTTAATTGTATGTGTTGCAGTTTCAGTTATAAATGACCACTTTTAAATTTCATTATTATTTTTTTTTAAGATTTTATTTATTTACTTTTAGAGGGGAAAGGAGAGAAAAAGAGAGGGAGAGAAACATCAATGTGTGGTTGCCTCTCACATTGCGTCCTCTGCTGAGGACCTGGCCTGTAGCCCAGGCATGTGCCCTGACTGGGAATTGAACCAGCGACCCTTTGGTTAATAAGCTGGCGCTCAATCCACTGAGCCATACCAGCCAGGGCCTAAACTTCATAATTTTTTCAAATTGATTTTATTCAGCTCTGAATTATCATGAGAAAGCTCACATATAATTTAAAATGTTCATTTAGCTTCAGCCTCATTCGAAATAAGTCTCCTTTTCTAGTTTATTTCTCATGGGTTATTTCTTGATCTCTCTACTATTTTTGTTCTCAAAATTTAGAATAACCTTTTTTTTTTTAGGATTTTGCAGGATCGTGGTCTTTCCAAATATCCCAATCTATTAAATCAGTTACTTGATTTGCAACCAAGTCACAGTTCCCCCTACCTAATTGCCTTTCTTGTGGATATCTATGAAGATATGCTAGAAAACCAATGTGACAACAAGGAGGACATTCTTAGTAAAGCATTAGAGGTAAGCTGGTGGAACTCGGCGCTTTTATTTTTGGGTTCTCAGAATGGGGTCTGCCCAGTGCTAACATTCATGCCACTTTCAACATGGTCACTCAGAATTCATTGCAGGACTATTTCTTCTGCTTAGGGCACCGCCCACGTCACTAGTGAACCTGGTTTATGACTCTTGGGGCGTGTCTCATCTGAACACCATCTGAGTTGAACTGTGTTAGTTCAGAAGCATTCACCCTAAAGATTGAATTATGCATTTTCTTTAATGATTTTTTTGTTTTTCATTTTTAGTTATGTGAAATCCTAGCTAAAGAAAAGGACACTATAAGAAAGGAATATTGGAGATATATCGGAAGATCTCTTCAAAGCAAACACAGCACAGAAAGTGACCCACCAACACATGTACAGCAATAACACCATCTAGAAGAACTTCATAGAATGCTTTTATTTTTTTAAGAGACTCTAATGCAGGAGTTTAAAACTAGAGTGAGCATTCCTTTTGCCTGTGGTGTAAAACTTGCACAGGTATTGCTTTTTAACAAGAACTAAGTGTAATATTCCCTGGGTGCTGCTGCTATTCATACTAGCTCTAAGTCATTTGATCCTTTTAAAGCAATTTGGGGGGAGGGAAAAGAAGAAAAGTCACATAAAGGAACTTTTATAGTCTCATCAATATTTACTCTAATCCTTTAGTATCAGCTCCTTAAATGGTGTATGCATCAGGATTTGCAGCACTGATGACTGCAGATAACTGGTATGTAACGGATATGACGTAACTTCAATTCCGGTTCAGGGAGCAAGGAATGAAACTGTTACATTAGAGCTGTTATGCCACACTCACAGTATCTCGCTATCACTGTAACCAACTAATGCCAAAAGAATGGTTTTGTAATAAAATTATAGATGTATCCTAAAACAATACCATAGTATTTTGATTTTTTAAATAACATTTAACTGCATTCAAGGGACATTATCTCAGCTTAGAAAAGCAGTTGAGGAAGAAAATATTGATATAAAATTGTAGAAACCAGAAACACGATTACATTAAGGGAAGTGTTATTATAGCTTGAATTGGTCAGTTGACTACATGTAACAAAGTCCACAAAAGGAAGTTTAAACCCAAAGGGTGTATTAAGGTATATAGCTAGCTCATAGAGTGACCACCCAACCCTCCTGGAAGTGATTCATCCCAAAGCTGTACTACAGAACTGGCCCATCAACTCGCTGTTGTCTGTGCTGGGGTCAGGACCTGCTGAATGGGCCTGTCCTCCTCTGCCACGTTCCGTGCGAGCACATCAGCTTCCCTTCCTATGCAATGGAGCTCCCAATTAAAGGCTCCGTCTAGTGCATCTGATTGGAGAGAACCTAAATGACATGTAGAACTGATAATTGTAATCTGGGGAATGTAGTTTACAGCTGTCCAGCTCCTGTAGTTCAGGAAGACATGCTAGGAAGAAGCTGGAGTGTTAAACAAGCTAGTTCTCTGCCTGCATATAATTAAATCTCACTTCATCAGTAAAGAATTTTTGTTCAGTGTTCAAAGCACACTGCAACTAAAATTATATAGAGTAGAAAAGTTATCTATTCTCAAGAATTCAGAAAAAAAGAATAACTTTCTGGAGAAAATATGTGGCATGTTATTTTTAACATGTTAGTTTTTGTTTATAGATTCCAAAAATCTCTGATTTTATTTTATTTTTTTTAAGTTTTATTTATTTACATTTAGAGGGGGAAAGAGGGAGGAAGAGAGGGATAGAAAAGAAACATCAATGGGTTAGAGTAACACTGATCAGTTGCCTCTTGCAGGCTCCCTGACCAGGGGCCAGGCCCACAAACCCAAGCATGTGCCCTGACTGGGAATTGAACCAGCAACCTCTAGGTTTTAGGTCAGCATTCAATCCACTGAGCCACGCCAGCCATGCTACAAAAATCTCTGGTTTTATATTGAAATTGTCATAAGGGTCTCCAATTCCAAAGGTTTCATAAGGTACAAAAAGTGTATAAAGAAGTTTTCATAAGATAGCATTTACTCTCAGATACTATCTAGTCAATGTCCCCAGATGGATTGGATTCAGACAGGCTGACCCATAGCTCCCAGAGACCTCAATAGAAAGCCTAATGGCAGGTTACGGGTTTACATTGAGAAATGTTAACAAGTGCCACTTGACATTTTCTGCCTGAAGTTAAACAAATTGGCAATTCATACATCAAAAAGGTGCTTAGCATGGCATCGGGTGAGGAGGCACCATGATTTAAATGCATGATGATTCTGGGCTTTGACACTCCCAATAAGGACCATCTCCTAATGGGCAACTTACGTTGGACCAACAGTTAAAATGTGGCCGCTTTTCATAGAATGTCCTTTTTACGTGAATGAACAACTGAAAAGTGGTGGTCATTCATACTTTGGATGGCTGGCATTCATTTTCTCAAAAATGAAGTTAGTCTGTCACTTCAAGGAAAACAACTGTTTTGCCAATAATACAATTTGAGATTTCAATTGAAAATTTTAATCTACCACAGTGAGCCTGACAGCTTCCTAATACCTGTAACTTCTCGAATGAAATCAATGTGATGATGTTAGCGAGGGCCATTTTCGATACTGTATAATTAAATATGTCGACAGTTGGGAGATCTGCATAACTCAGCAAACCACTGTTTTCCAAGTGACCCATCTGGAATATCATGCACATAGTTACACTGAAAATCCATCAGACAATTTGATCCTTTCTGCATTTGACCACCAACCTTTTTTTATTCTTCACCTGAGGATATGTTTATTGGTTTGAGAGAGAGAGGCAGGGGGAGAGAAGGAAACACTGATTGGTTGCCTCCCTTATGAGCGCTGACTGGGGGTCAGACCTGCAACCTAGGTATTTGTCCTGACCAGAAATCAAACCTACAACCTTTTGGTGTACAGGACGATGCTCCAACCACTTGAGCTACCTGGTCAGGGCCAAACATTTTTTTTTAAAGAACTCAAAAAGAGTATTTTTTTTAAAACTGTTCAAGTACAGTTTTCTGCCTTTTACTCCCATCCCAGCTCACCCCTCCTCAAGAAGAGTAGTCTTTTATATATACACCAATACTTACCATTTCTGCTATTCTTTCATTCCTGATTTTCCAGGTTTCCTTCTGGTATTTCCTCTTTATCTGAAGAAATTTCTTTCAGCAATTCTTTTAGAATATGTCTGCTTGTTGCAAATTCTCTTAGTTCTGCTACATCTGAGAAAGGCTTTATTTCACTTTCATTCCTGAAGGATGTTTCTCTGGATATAGAATTCTGGACCTAAACAACTTTTTTCTTGAAAAACGTTTTGCCATTCCTTCAGCCTTGATGGTTTCCAGTGAGAAATCTACTGTCATTAGAATGTTCCTACATCAGTAGGTTAGGCATCATTTTTCTTCAGCTACTTTCAAAATGTTTAGTTTGTCTTTAGTTTTCATTGTTTGATTTTGATGTTTGCGCATAGGTATTTTTGGATTGATCCTGTGTGCTCAGCTTGAATCTGTAGCTGTGTGTTTTCACCAAACTCGGGGCATTTTCAGCGATTATTTCATCAAATATTTTTTTCTAGCATTTTCTCTTTTCCTGTGGGACTCTGATGACAGCATATTAGACCTTTTGTTCTTGCCCCAAATGTTATGGAGGCTCTATTCATTTTTTCCCTTTTTTCTCTCTGTTGGTCGGATTGGCTCATTTCTATTCATTGGTCTTCAGGTTCTCTCTGTCTTTTGTCATCTCCGTTCTGCTGTTGGATCTAGCCAGTGAGTTTTTCATTTTAGTTATTTTTAGATTTTAAAATGTTTGATCCTTCTTGATATCTTCTATTTCCTTTTTTAAAGGATTTTATTTATACTTAGAGAAAGGGGAAGGTAGGAAGAAAGAGGGAGAGATACATCAGTTGTTTGCTTCATGTACCCTGCCTGGGAATCGAACCAGTGACCTTTTGGTTCACAGGCCAGCACTCAAATCCACTGAGCCACACCAGCCAAGGCTATTATTATCTATTTCTTTACTGATACTTTCTATTTTAACTTTTGTTTCTAGGGTGTTCTTTGGTATGCCAGTTAGCATCCGATATATGATGGTCAGGGTGAGCCCAAGAGTTCATAAACAACTTTATGGAATTGCTTTCCTGATCTCCTCCCTTTTCACCTTCTTCTCCGTACTTTCCAGTTGCCTGGAGTTCCTCATTTTAGTCCTCTGGCCAGAAACCTCCCATTTTAGGCAAGAAACTGCCCCCTTCTACAGCTATGCCACAGCAACAGGAAAAAACAGAAAAAGCAATGGATTTTGTCCCTGCCCTCTTGGAGTCAGAGTTGCACTGATGGAAAAAGGAAGTGCACCCTCTCCCGGCTTTGACTCCTACTTTTCTATTTCCATCCACTTTTGCTCCTGCGCTGCTCCTGCCACTGGTTTATTGGGAGTTGGGGTGCAAGGGAATTAAGTAAAAAGGAAAGAGAGAAAACAGAATAATTTTCTCCAATCTCCAAGTTGTAGGAGTTGCCATTTCTGCTTTAATAAGCCAGAACCAGAGGTTTTCTCCAGGGTATCTTTCTGTGCCCCCTCACCGCCCACCCCCCACCCCGCCCCAGCCCCTGTGCTTGCTTCCAGGTTTTGGGCTGTGTGAGTTCAGACCAGAGGAAAAACAGTAACATTGTGACCAGTCAGTGGTGTGGGAAAGTCAGGAGTTCTTAGATCTGGTGACATTCACTTTTCAGAGACCCCAGACAACTGTGCAGTGGGTTGTTGTCAGGTTTTCCAGTTGTGTTCAGGGGGTAAGAAATGTTTGCATGTGTTTGCCCCACTGTAGTAGGAATTAGCCCTCTTGTCCCTTTTGGACTCTCTCCCTCATTAGCTTTTACAGATTCTCTGTTCTTTACAAAAATGCCCTCTCGTCCTGCAGTTACAGTTTCTAAGAGCTCAGCTTTGGCTCGCTTCTCTGCGTGTTCTCTCTCGGAAGGAACATCCTTTTCCAGAGCATCACAGGATCCTCTCAGGGAGATAATTCCTTTAAACCGAGAATCCCGATTAGTGTCCACTCACCAGAGATGTAAAGTCCTGCTGGGTATTAACTTGGACTACCACTCCATTTCAAACTTAAAATGTCTGCCCTGTCAGTGATGCTACTGTGGTTGCACCTGAAACGCCCCTAAAGCCACGTCCAGTCACTTCTGCTAGAATGTGATTCTCTGTCCCTATGTCATCATGCTATGCAAAATCACCAAGAGAAACCAGGGGGCTTGTGGTAAAAATGGGGTTAGAGACACAACACTCAAAAACTCACCAGTTTAAAAGAGACACATTCACCACAGCAACACAGTTGTACACATTTCGGCTGTCGACCTTGGAAATACCTGAAGCTTGCCTATGGGGGCAGACACTGGAGCAGGCGTTGCAGCTTGGGAGTTACTGTGAACTGATGGAGGGAGGGTCATCTGAAACCAATCTGGAAGTTGTGACACCGGATGTGGACGAGTGTGGCTCAAACCCCCACGGGAACCAAGACACTGGGAGATGCTGATGGGTGTGCGTGTGTGTTTTGATCGTTCCTATGCAGTGTGGCTCAACCTGTGCAGTTTTCTGCTCCCCTAGCATTTCTCCAGGGTGAAATCACACCTAAACAAATGGAAATCTGTGCAACTCTCAAATGATTTCTTAATACATCAATCTTATTGCAATAAGCTTGCTTTTTAAAAATGTGTTATAGCAGAACTGGCTGCATTTTATTAATTTCTTCCCTCATTTCCTGTCTTGTCAGTTAACTCCTGATTTTCCTATTCAAAGTTTCTCTTATCTCACTCATCTCTTTTTACGTTCTTTGAAAAAATATTATTTAATGGGCTTGTTTCAGGATCCTTCCTCTCATATATATCACATATTGATACCAGGCTCATCTTTCATGTATGTACACACATATGAAGTAATACATGTTAATTACATAAACATTAAGAAATACATGTGAACAAAAAAATTTAAATTGTCCAAAATTCCATTCCATATATTGTGGTTATCACCAACAAAATAGAATTTTTAATAAAGTGGTTATATAGAATTAATAGAATTTTTGTATATAGTTATTTTTTAATGGGATTACTTCCCTACCCTTAGCCATAGTTTATAAATACCCTTTCATGTCAGAACACATAAATCTATAACATCTTTTTTATTGTGGTAAAATATACATAACAATAAGTTGACCATTTTAACCATTTTTAAGTGGCATCATGTCCATTCACATTGTTATGCAACCATCACCATCATCCCTCTTGAACATTTTCATCTTCTCAGAATGAAACTCTGTACCCATTTATACCACCACATCATTTTTAATGGTTGCACAGATGTAACTTCTTTCAGAAAGCCCTATTGTTAACCTTTTAAGTTTCTTTTTTTTTCTTATAAACATCCGTTGTCAACAACACTCCAGTGAGCTCTCTTGCACATTCAATTATTTCTGCATGGTAAATTTCTAGAAGGGGGATTTGCTAGGGCCCATTATACACAGGTGAACTGGTACAGGTTATGCAAATTTACACTCATATGTGGGTGTGGGGAAACGTTTAGATTCTGTACATCAAGAGGCATTACCATGCTTTTTGCTATTTGCCAATCTCAGGCAAGTAGCTTCAAGTTATTCTTAATTTTCATTGTTTGGATTACCAGTACAGGCTCCGTTTTTTAACATACATCATGATAGTTTCTTGATTCCAAACTTGGAAAATGTGTCAGTGTGGAAGATAACACTTCTGGTTTAAACAAACAAAAAGTTATATAATCCTATGCCGAACTTTCAATGTCGCAACCTTCCCTCTAGCATTTTCCACGGGGTACAAACGAGGATGGAACCTGTTGACCTTCCAGCTTCCTGCTCCCTTTCCAGTGCTCCTCTTTGGGGGCCCCTGAACGTGAGAAGCTCAGCTTTCCTGCTCCGGGCTAAGCCTCTTCCCTTCCACCAGCGGTTCTCAACCTTCACGGCATCAGCATTGCCCAGAGGCCTAGTTAAGCACAGATTGACGGCCCCAACCCCCTAGGTCTGGGACAAAGCCGTGAATGTGCAAGCCTAACAGTTTCCCTGGAGGTGTGAAGCATCAGCATTTGGTCTGAGGACCACCCTTTGTAAACCATGACTTTGCACCAACCGGAAGGTTTTTAAAGGGTCTAGACGTTACAGCTCCTCTCTACCGTACTTACAACCAGGCTGGGCGTCTGAACTTAAACAGTGATAGGTCAACACATCATCTACGCTTGTAGAGAAGGATCAAGAATAGGAGAATGACCGGTCGGTGCACCCGGGCTGGAATCTGTGAGGCGCTCCAACTCCTTTGCTGTGCAGCGGCGGGTCTCCGGGGGCCGGCCGACGGCAGACACCAGGGGGCAGCCTAGCGCTTGTCCGGCCCGGGCTCGTTTCCGGCCGCGCAGGCGCAAGAGGCTGCGTGCCCGGCGCGGGGCCGCAGGTAGGCGCGGCGGATCGAGGGGAAGATGGGGCAACGGCGTGATGGGATGTGGCTGGGTGCTCGGTGGGCGAGAGACTGGTGCTGCGGAATGGGTGCCGAGGGCAGCTCTGCCTCCTGCGGGGCTCGTCCCTGGCCCGGCTCGCGTTCCCTAACCCCAAGCCCTGGCAGCCCTCCGCTTGCCTCTTGGGCGGCTAGATCGAAGTCCAGCTGGAGGCCACGCTGGCCGGGGGCAGTCGGCGCCCACCCTCCTGGGCCCTTCTCTATCCTGCCCGGAGCGCGAGCTGGGCATGAGCTAACATAACAGACTTCGGGTCCTTCTCCCGGGCGTTTATTCTGCAAGCAATCATTCGGCCATTCGTGCCAGCACTGCTAGCGGCCTCTAGGTTCAAGCTCTGTGTTAGGTGTAAACACACGCTGCTCTTTTTTTACTGAGCCGTTTTATTTAGTAGTGCTGTCTTCGCCATCCCTTATCTTTACTGCATAGAACCTTAAGGCTAAGTCAGCACCTGGAACCTTTAAAACAAGTATTTTAATGGCATTCCACTTTAAATTCTATTGAGTGACACTAATCCGTGTCGTCTCTGGTTATATAAACTTTTTGTAAGTTAGTAAAAACTCATTTTGTTCCATTGCTTTTCTTTTTCTTTTTTTTAATTAAACTGTGAGTTTAGAGTAGTGGTTCCTAATCTTTCCCCCATTTACCAGCTTTTCCTTATGAATGGCAGGAGTCCTTTTTCTCTAAACAGTGCCTGAATTTCTCCTTCCCAGCTGTTATTCCGCAATTGTTATTCCTTAACTTGCTGGGTTGTTGTTTTTTCCCCCCACAACCAGTGTCTTTTTGCTTATTCCTGGGCAAGAAATTTCCTTCAGCCACACGGCTTATATCCCAGGCTCTGGGCAGCCTACTCTAAAATACACCTTTGAAAGAAGAAAGCCCGTCAGGTGTTGAGGTGGGCTGAAAAGCCTTCTTCAAGAAGTGTGCTTATTGGTGAAAATAAAACACAGGTATGGAAATTATATGCACCAGTGATTCTCAAACTTTAATGTGCATCTAAATCACCTAGAGAACTTGTCAGAACAGATTTCTGGGGCCCACCTCAGAGTGTCTGGTTTGGGAGGTCTAGGGCAAGGTCTGGAGCCAGAACTCGAGAACTTGTATTTTTTTGCGAGTTCCCAGGTGCTGCTGCTGCTGTGGGTCCTGGGACCAGAGTTTGAGAACTGACAACACCAACCTGTGGATGGTGATTACTTCCTGGGAGGGGGCAGTATAGGGCTGGTGGGGGGGGTCCACTGGGCTTCACCTATGTGTGTGGTCTTTCATATCTTTAAAAAAAAGTCTTTTAAAAATGTGATGCAGTGTTACCTGACAAAGCCCAGTGGATGTCCTATTTTTTAGTTTTCTCTGTGCTTGAAGCATTTCAGGAAAGAAAAAAGGCCCTGTTTGCTGTGTGGAGAATGGATTGGAAAAGAGAAAGTGGGAGATGGTGTAGGAAACAGTTGCAGAAGCCCAGGTAAGATGCTGGTGGCTTAGACCAGGGTGGGGGAGCAAGGAAGGGGAGAGGTGAACAGGTCGGAGAGACATTTGGGTGATAGAATGGACTGTATGCGGTGATTGGTTGGTTTGGCGGTTAGGGAAGGGAGGAATCAAGTCACCCGTTGTGTGGGTTGAGGGAGTGGGTGTGCTGTGTGCCTGTCACAGAGAGGGAACCCTGGCGAAGGGGCATGTTGTAGACAGGAGAGACACAGACAGCCTGGACGTGGAAGAGCCCGCTGAGTGAAGCACAGAGAGATCTGGGCCTCTGCAGAGACTTGGAAATCAGTATTTGCGTGGCTGTGAAGGCTGTGTTCGTGGGTGAGACCACCTAGGGGGAATGTGGCGGAAGGAAGCAGGGCCTGCAGCAGACCCAGAGGAGCATCCTCTCCTACGGCCAGCTACTGCCTCACCTGTTTTTGCATAGCCTCTGAGTTAAGTGCTTTTTTTTAACCTTTTAAAATATCGGGGGGAGGGGGGAAGTGGTTAAAAGAATAATTTTTCATGACACATGAAAACTATGAAATCCTAATTCAGTGCCTGTAAATAAAGTGTTTTTATATACAGCCATGCACATTTGTTTGTGTAGTGTTTGGGGCTGCTCTTGCATTCTGGTGACAGCATTGAGTAACTGTGACGGAGACAGCGCGTGACCTCTCCTCCCTTTGCACAGCTGCTCAGCACTCCACAGGGATTATCTCAGTTTTAGCTTCTGGCCTCTCAACCTGGAGAGTTACCATCTGGACCTTTATGGAAAAAGTTTGCTGGTCCCTGGACCTGATGACCAAGTGAGACATACTTGGTCAGCTTTAACTGCTGTGGAAGAGAGATGGCAATTGTTTTACTTGTTTTTTCAAGAGCAGCTTCTGAGGATCAGGACTAGTGGAAGGAGCTCAAGAGCCTGAGGGCTGAGTGGTAAAAGTTATTGTAGTTTCAGCTGAAGCCCTTGAAGATGACGGAATGGACTGGAGAGAAAGATGCAGGCCTGGAGTCTGTGTGAGAAAGGGGAGCAAGCAAGCGTCAGAATGTTGCTGGTTGCTGGGCAGAGCTGGGAAGGCCGAGGTGGTGGGGTGAGCAAATAGCATCGCTTCAAGAAGAAGAGGTTGTTGAGTGATGCTGGAGCCAGGGTTTCCTGGGCACCTCTTAGTGACAGCAGAGATAAGCAAAGCAGCCCTTTCTTCAAGTAAATAGGAAAAACACAGAACTATGGAAGAGGCCATTATTTCTAAAGTTCCCTGCTATGAGAGGAACAGTGTCACCCTCGACCTGTAGCTTCGCTGGCCTGGGTAACGGGAAGAATAGACTTGTCATTTACCGAGACTGCAAACACTGTGAGAACAGCGATTTGGGCGGGAAAGAGTAGGTGCTCCGTTTGGGGAGTATTTTTATCTTTTAAAGTTGGATATTCACATATCATAAAATTTGCTACTTTACCATGTACAACCAGTGATTTTTAGTATACTTACGACCATTACTGCAGATTCTTAAACACTTCATCCAGAAAGCAACCCTGGATCCACTAGCAGCCACTCCCCACGCCCGTTTCACCCAGCCCCTGGCAACTACCAATCTGCTTTCTGTCTCTGGGGATGCGCCTGCTTTATTCATTTCATACAGATGGAGTCAGATTGTACATGGCCTTTGGAGTATGGACAGGCGGGTTTTTTTTTCAGTCTTTAGCTAACACTGCTGTGAATATTCTTCTGCAAGTGTTCTGAATGTGTTTTCTTGGGTATATACCGAGCAGTGGATTTACTGGTTGATATGGCAACTTTTTATTTAACCTTTTAAGGACCTGCCAGACTGTTTTCCACAGTGGCTGCACCATCTTACATTCCCACCCACAGTGCATTAGGGTTCCTGTTCCTCTGCATCCTTGTCAACACTTGTTATTGTCTGACTTTGTTTATGGCCATCCTGTGGATGTGTGATGAGGTTTGTATTTCCCTGATGAATAATAGGATTGAGCATCCTTTGACCTACCTATTGGCCATGCGTATATCTACTTTGCAGAAATGTCTGTTCAGGTTCTTTGCCCATTTTAAAATTGAGTTACTGTATTTTTATGTTAAAGACAAATTTTTTGAGCTGCCCTTCAGATATCTAAATAGAGATTTTAAGGAAGCACATCTAGAGGTCTGAGAAGGCTGGAAATTTGGGAGCTGGCAACAGGTGGAGATGGGGGAGTCCTGAGTCCAGATGGATCACGCAGCCCTGTAGGCTGTGAGTGAAGAGGTCAAGTCCGAGCCTGGGGCACTCCAGCAGCCACAGTCAGAGACTGGGGTGGGGGGGGCTGGGCACCAGGGTGCGGTTCCCTGGGAACCAAGGAAAGAAAGCGATGGGAGGAGGAGGGAGCGATCAGCCATGCCAGGTGCTGCTGAGGGGTCAAGACCAGGACTGTGAATTGACTGTTGTGGAGGTCACCTCGACAGGGTCTGTGTGGGCAGAGTGGCAGTGATTTCAAGAGAAACGGGGCAGGTGGATATAGTGAGTGTAGGGAGTTTTTAAAGGAGTTTGCAAAAGGGAAGAGAGAAATAAGGCAATGAGTGGAGGGGAAGTAGGGTGACGGGAGGGTGTTTGAAATGGAGGGGAAGTTAGGGCACACTGGTCACGGTTCAGGAGAAGGGGGTGTCCTGCTGGGGTGGCACCAGGAGCGAGCAGGCAGGGAGGGGTCTGTATGGGCACGGGGCTGCAATGTCTGGCCTGTTTTGTTCAGAGTCACAGAAAAGACGGATGGGGAGCAGGAGCCTGCAGTGTGGTGTGGGGGCTCATGACAGTGCTCTCCGATTGCTTCTGTTTTCTCAGGGATGTAGGAAACAGGAGCATCAGCTGAGAGAGAAGGTGGGGTGGAGGTGATACAGTTTGAAGAGAGGGGGACCCAGGCCATGGGAAGGAACCTGCAAGTTTTATTGACCCACTGCACCGAGTGACCCTCACAGCGTTGGAACCTGGTGTCTTAGTCAGGGAACAGAGAGTTGTTACAGAATTAGGGGGGCAGGCGGCATTTAGGCAAAATCGAAACGATGCTTTATTTTGATGGGCTCAAAGGCAAGCAGCGCTGTCTGTAAAGAGGTCAAGATCTGGTCTGCATCGCAAACGGACCCCAGGGCCTGGATTCCTGGGAGACTGCAGAGTCACGTGGTTGTTCAGCATCGTCTCCAGACAGGCCGATGGGGCTTCACGACTGCAGCCGCTGAGCCGTCCTGGGAATGAAGAGCCGGAGGGACACCCAGACACAGGGAGGGCCCCAGGAGGAGGCGAACCATTTCTGCTATTGCCATTTGTCTGTGTGAAGTTTCAATTTTTATTTAACGAACCCTTTTGGCACTTTGTGGCAGAGTACTTTCTAACCAGTGCCTGGGGCCATCCCGAATACTGACTGACCCAGGTGTCTGGATGGAGACTTGAACCGGCAGAAGGAAGACGCACCTAGGAGGTAACCCTTCATGTCACATGCATCTCAGAACCAAGAAGTGCAGGGTCAGTCCTGTCACTGCTGTCCCCACGCCTCTCAGTGCTTATCTTCAGCGGGCACACACTAACCGGTATGGCCGTATCCCTCGCCAAAGTACTGACACAGTTCCATTCTGGTCCATAATAGCCTCTGCTTCAAGCACCCTGAGAGTCAGGCACCCGGTGTCCAGGGTCCTTCCCGAGCCCTCTCCCCTCCCTCCCCATCCAGCAACTACAGCTGTGGTGCCTACAGCTTCACCACTATCCGCACCCCGGCTCCAGTGCTGCAGCCTGCGCCGTGGGTTTGGTGAGTAACCGCGCCTTCGGTGGTCACCTAGTGTGCGGTCCATCTCTGCCTCACCCTCTCCCCACTCTCGCCACCACGGTTCTGGCTCACACGCTCATCAGCTCTTATCCCGGGTGGTTGCCAGGGCCTCGTAAGCAGCCTCCCAGGCTCAGCCCCTTCCACCCCTGCTGAAGAGTAGCCTTTGCTGCTTAACAACATGGAGGAGCTTTTGCGTACCTTCCAAGGAACATCCCAGTCCCTTAGGTGGGTTCGAGAGTGTCCCAGCCCCCGCCCACCACCCTAGCAAATCTCCTGCTGCTCTCCTTTGTCTACCTTCTGTCCCGGCCCCACTGGGCTGACATCCACACTTTCACTTTGCTCACTCTTCATCGACTGTGTCCTCAGTGCAAGCACTGTGGGAGAGTGCGAGACAGTCAGACACACGCCCACACCTCCCCTCTAACGGAATCTAAAGGAGATGAACCACGCGGACCACGGCGTGCAACAAAAAATTCTGATTCCGAGAGCAGCTGACACTGAGCATTTAGTGCGAGCCCAGTACTCAGTGCCTTCTCTCACCCTCACGCTGACGCGGAGGTGCAGGGTCCTTGTGAATAAGAGGCATAGAGGGTGTGTCACCTGCAACCCCTCATCGTCCAAACACCTTAATGGAGATAAAAAACGACTGTTACTACTTGTTGCATTTTGTGTTGTAGGAAGTGGCAGAGGATACCAACATGGAGAAGAAGCCCCAGGATGGCAGGAAAGGCGCCCCCCACAGAGAACTGCCCCCCATCGTGGGGCTATTGCTGGCCATGGCCCTCATGAACCTGCTGCTCTACCTCTGCCTCGACTGGCTCTTCATTTCCCCTCGGCGCGCCGCCCCGGGCCCCGGTCACTGTCCCTACGGCTCCTTCAGAATGGGACAGATGAAAACCTGCTCCCCGTGGCTGTCCTGCCAGGAGCTGAGGACAGAAGTGAGGCAGCTGAAGCGCGTTGGGGAGGGAGCTGTGAAGAGGGTGAGTGCCTGCTTGGCTTCTGTGCTGCCGCCCCCCCCTCGAGGGGTGGCCCTGGGGAAGGCAGCCTGGCATTAGGTGTTAAAAGCCATCAAAGTGTTTGTACCCTTGTGCCCAGCAGTGTCACATCTGGGACTTTACCTGATAAAATAATCCAGTGGAAGGAAAAAGTTAAATGCTTAAACAGTTACTTTGCCTTGTTTTTTGTAGTAATAGCAAACTGGAAATAATAACTATAAGGGAACAGTTAATTAAATTGTGGTGCAACCACTTGATGGAATATTCTGTAACCGTTAAGTGTAGTTAGGAACCTAGGCAGCAATATGAAAAAATTTCATGATGATAAGTGAAAAAAACAAAATATGAAATGGTTGAACATACTGTTTCCAACTGCAAAATTAGCATTTATGTAGAAAATATAAAAATGGTAGAGATTATGCTATAGTGAAGGAGGGTTATCAGCAATTTTTTCATTCTTACTATTCAAACTCTGTGATGATATATTGGTGTTTAAGTTTTTAATTTTAATAAGAGAAACCAAAGGGGTGAATTCACTTCTCAGACAGAAGCCTCAGGAGCCCCCGTCTCATCGGCTGGGGGTGTGCTGCAGTCCGGTGGCCGTCATTTCTGTGGTAACCGAGGCTTACTGATAGGCCGAGAGCGACTGTGGAGCCAGTGCAGGGACGTGGGAGAGAGACAGCTCCTTGGTGAGGCTGCACTAAATGACCGATAGAGAAGGAGGGGCAGGAAATGCAGCCGTGAGCCTGCAGTGCGATAAAGTGCTGGTCCTTATTTTGGGAGACCGGGGAGCCGTGACTGCTGGCTGATTCCAGGTTTGCGGAAAGGAGGAAGTCTGACAGGGAGAAGGGACAAGCGTTTATATAAAGTAAAACCGTAAAACAAGGCAACTGGTTCCTGTGAAGATTCGCTCATTCATCTTTATGTGTTAGGGGTGTGACGGCAAACGAAACAAAGGCCCTTGGAGCTTGCCTTCTAGTTGGGGGTCAGACAGTCAAGACAACAAGAACAGAACGTCCTGAAGTATGTCCGTGACACGTGCTGTGAAGACACAGCAGAGCTAATGGCAGGCTTGTTGCTCTAGGTGGCCAGAACCATCTGAGAGCAAGCCGTGTGGACATTTGAGCAAAAAGATGTTCCAGTAGGAAAGACGGGGGCCAGCAGAGGCCCCAGGATGAACTTGCTTTGTTGTCCGGGGACCAGGAAGGACTGGCGTGCCCAGAGGGCGGGGTGAGGAGGAGAGGTAGCAGCTGTGTCCAGAAGGACCCGAAGTGCCTGATGATTTCGTTACGTAAGTTATTATGGAATAGAAACCACCCAGAGGAAATCTCCTCATCTTCCTCTTGGTGGACCTTGAATCTTCCAGCTCAGGTGTGGTCCCTGACTCCTCACAACTCCCCTCACTTCAGCTTTTCCCAGTTTCATCACCAGTGTTTCCCACTCCAACGAATGTTCCTACTGGCACACAAACACACACTCTTTTAAAAAAGAGCATCCTGGCCCTGGCTGGTGTGGCTCAGTTGGTTGGGTGTTATCCCACAAACTGAGAGGTTCGGGTTTGCTTCCCAGTCACAGCATATGCCTGGGTTGCGGGTTTGGTCCCCAGGCAGGGAGCCTGCAAGAGGCAACCTTTTGATGTTTCTCTCTTTTTTTCTTGCTCCTGTGCCCTCTCTCTGGAATCAAAAAAAAAAAAAAAATTTAAGAGTGAAAAATTTAAGCCATAAAGTGAGAAAAAATATTAAAAAATAAAATTAAAAAAAGAATATCCTCTTCTATTGATTCCCTCTCCTTCTGTAGTAAAACCGCCAAGCGCAGTCTCTCCTCCTCCTCCCATTCATTCATCTGTCCTCTTCCTTGTGGCTTCCAAACTCCGCCACTGCTATTATGCAGATGCCTGCAGATTTCAGGTTGGACGTTTCTGTCTTCCTCTTGTTCCTTCTCACAGCCCTCCATGCAGCTGATTCCTCTCTCTTTGCAACCCTGGCTCTTCCAGCTGCCGCCTGTTTTTTGTGTTCCTCCTCCCTCACTGGCCACTCCCGATTACTCTCCTTTCTTGCTTCTGTGCCCCATCTCGCCACTGAATCAGCAGTGTTCAATCAGAGGCCATTCTGCTCTTGGGGGACATTTAGCAATGAGTAGAGACACGCTTGAGGTTGTCACACTGACGAGCAGAGGAGGTGCCATGGCCCCCAGTGGGGAGAAGCCCGGGATGCTGCTCCGCACCCTGCAGGGCACGGCCAGCCCTCGCCCTCCACGCCTAACGCCCGGCAGTAGTGCTGAGGTCGGGGACCTTATTCCTGTTGCTTCCTTCCTGGATCCTCTTCTTTTGTCTTCCCTAGATACACTGTTAGGTGATTTAATCTGGTTCCATTGCTTTAAATACATTGTACATGCTGGTGACTCCCAGATTTACATCTCTACCCCATACCGCTCCGCTGAGCCACGGATTTATTGGTTTATTATCCAGCGATGATTCCACACCTCTACTTAGAGGTCTCTAGAGCATCTAAGTACATCCCATTAGGAACTCTTAATTCCCTGCTCTGAAACCTGTCCTTTGCTCACCGAGCTGCTCGAGCCAAAACCTGGGAGCCATCCTGAGTCCTCTACCCACTTCCCCTTAACCAAGCCAAGAGAGGTTCCGTCGGTCATATTTCGAACACACGTCCCAAACTTGTTCGACAACCTGTGTGCCCTGACCCATGTTCATCAAGGGCGCTGTTCGCTCCCACCCTGGAACAGGCCTCTCTACCTTGCCCTTCACCCTGCACCAGGCGGAGGCACTTCTAGACACAACTCACATCATGCCGCTCTCTTCCTTCAGACCCCTCGGTGGCTTCCCACTGTGCGTAGGAAAAAAAACCCCCAAACCTCCTACCAGGATCTGGGCCCTGCTGCCTCCTGAACTCAGCCCAGACACCCTCACTCCCTACCCTGCGCTCTCCCTGCCCTCTCGCTCCTCAATCACACAGCCCTTTCTCAACGTAAGGCCTGCACAGTCGCTCCTTTCTGCCTGGATCTCTCTTCCTCCACCCCTGACGCGGCCAGCTCCTCATCATCCAGGTCTAAGAGGCTTTCCCCGACCCCCCCCCCATCTAAACCCCCTCCTCATGAACTTCTCATCTGTCTGCGCTGCTTTGTCTCACAGTGTAAGTTCCCCGAGGGCTCACAGGGCGTGTCCTCCACAGCTAGCCCAGTGTCTGCTTCAGAAAACACATGTACTTGTCTCTCTATATTTTGTTATATTTTTTAGTCCTTTCTTTATTTTTATTTTTTTAATTAGTGTTTTTTCACAGTATACATTTTAGGGGCTTGCAGTCAAAGGCTCATTTATTGAATTCTCAGAAACTAAAATAACCGGCTTAGCTTTCATGGCTTCCTCGGTGCATAAATGCCCTGCCAGCACCTTCTCTCCCCAGTGTGTGTATTTGGGTTTGGGTTTGGGACTGCCAGGGCACGTGCCCTTGGCCTGCAGCAGTGCCGTCAATTGGTGCATGAATTATATATTTTGAAGAACTGTCCATTTCTCAGTCTCCTTTGCAGGATCCACCTCCTCACCCCACTTAACCTTCGACCTTCTTCTGTGCTCGCCCTCTGGATGGCCCTATCCAACCGCAGGCTTTCATCTGCAGCTGAGACCTCTCTCCTGGGCCGTCTAGACTTTCCTGTCCAGCTGCCCACCGCATGTCTCCACTTGGATGCCAGAAAGGCCTCTCAAACTGAGTGTGCCCCAGATCGTCCCCCCAGACAGCTCTTCCTTCATTCTCCCATCGCAGTGATGGAGGGCTCCTTCTGTTCAGCTGCTGGGGCCACCGGCCTGGGAGATGTCCTCGACTCCTTCTTCTCTCACATCCACCTCCAGTCTTTTAGCGAATTGTCCTGTCTGTGTACTCAGAAGAGATTGTAGGGATTTGACCACACTTTAGACTTCTTGTATCCCTTCCTCCCCATCCGTGCCACCATCATCTTGTGCAGTGACCTCCAAGTGGTCTCTGCTTCCACCCTCATCCTCCTTCCTTCCCCTTCAGTCTCTTCTTAACACAGCAGTGAGAATGCTGCTCTTAGCTGATACGTCAGCCAGTGTCCCTCCTCTGCTCGGATCCTCCGGTGGCTCCTGTCTCAGTCTGGGTGAAGGCCAGAGTCCCTTCAGCAACTGAAAGGCCGCACAAGGTCTGCGCCCCTCACCAGCCCCTGTTCTGTTCCCTTGCTCATTGCACTGCAGCTCAGCAGCCCTGGCCTTGCTGATTGGCAGCCTCTGGGTGCACTCTCTCCACAGCCTTTGCCCTGGCTGTTCTTTCTGCCTGGCATGTGGGTCCCCCTGAGATTTTATGGCTCCTTCCTCTCCCTCCTTCAGCTTCTTGCTCAGCCGTCACCTTAGCGAGAGCTTCTCTGACACTATTTAAAATTGTGAACCTTCCCAGTTTTTCTCCAAAGCACATTTTACCTTCCAGTATACTTCATACGTTTCCTGTTTATTTTTCCTGCTGTCTGCCTCCTGCACCAGAATGTAAATTACATAAGAGCAGGGATTTATTTCAGTTTTTTGATTGACACAAAAACAGTTGGCCCTTGAACAATGCAGGGTTGACCCTTGAACTGCATGGGTTTGCTTACATACAGACTTCTTTCAGTTAATCCACACTGTTCAATTGGCCTCAGTTTAAATTCAAGTTGTTGTCAGGTCCATTGGCAGTTGGGAACCTGTGTATGTGGAAGGTCAACCCAAGTACATGTAGGTTTTCGACTTCACAGGTGGTTGGCAGTTCTAATCCCTGCATTGTTCAACATCAGCTGTACTTGTTAAATGAAAGACAGATCTGACTACATAACATTACATTCTTTGTATTACCAAAGACCATATAAACTAAGTGGATTATTTTCTAAAATTTGTCCTATACATTTATAATCAAGGATCACCTGGATAATATGTAAAGAGCTCCTAGAAATTAATAAGCACAAAGCAAACAACCATATAGAAAATTGGATAAAGGACAATGAACATCTTTTCCACAGAAGACATAACAAAATGCCAATTAAGATGAAAAGCACTGTTTCAGTAACCAGGGAAGTCGAAATTGGAACAGGAAGTGTTTTTGATCCCTCAGATTGGCACAAATCTCGAAGATCGATAACATCTGGCAGATTAGGCCTGTAGAAAATAAGACTCTGCACACGACTGGCGAGCGCACTGGCACAGACTGTGGAGGGAGGGACTGAGGGCTGCACCCGCTCCCTCCCCATCCAGGAGGCTGCTGGCCACCCAGCTTATAACGCTCCGTGCAGATGTGCGCAGAAGTGTAGATATAAGGCTATTCATGGTAACGCTGTTGTTAAGAAAAAAGGGAAGCAATTTTTTTTAAAGATTTTATTTATTTATTTTTAGAGAGGGAAGGGAAGGAGAAAGAGGGAGAGAGAGAAACATCAATGTGTGGTTGCTGGGGGTCATGGCCTGCAACCCAGGCATGTACCCTGACTGGGAATCAAACCTGCGACACTTTGGTTCGCAGCCCGCGCCCAATCCACTGAGCTACGACGCCAGCGAGGGCAAAGGGAAGCAATTTAAATGTCTATCAGGTCTTTAGAAATAGATCACAGAAGATGGTGTTACAGGTCCATACAAAATCACAGACTAGGTGGGAAAGGGGACCCAGTCCATTACCTGGGTTTTTCTATCAATGAATTGCCCTGTGCAGATCCAAAAGAAATCTAAGTCCTCTAGCCAACCTCCATTTCATATAATGTTTCTGAGTTCTTTTTTTAAAACTGTTTTAAAACATAAAAGTAATATATATTCATTCTGGAACAGATGGACAATAACCAAAAGGTGTAAGGGACAATAATCACCCATAGTCATACTGTAAAACTGAGAGCTGAAACACGTCTATTGCCTTCTATTTCTATGTGATTTTATATCCTTTTTCATTTGCAGCATAATTTTATCTGGGAAAACTCTACCTATATACACATTTTGCTGATCCTACTATAACTGAACTACTCCCCAGTCTTTGCTGGATGGGTAGATTCCAGTTCATGGTTTTATAAATAATGCCAGATTTTTATTCCTAGAGCTTTTCTTTAATTTACTTTTTAAAGATTTTATTTATTTATTTTTAGAGAGAGAAGGGAAGGGAGGTAGAAAGAGAGGGAGAGGAATACTGATGTGTGAGAGAAACATCTGTTGGTTGCCTCCTGCACGCTCCCAAAAGGGAGCCTGGCCCACAACCCAGGCATGTGCCCTGACCGGGAATAGAACCGGTGACCTTTCGGTTTGCAGGATGATGTACAACCCACTGAACCACACTAGTGAGGGCTCCTAGGCATTTTTAGATAGGTTATAGACTTAGATGTTAAAAGCTCTTGATAAATGATGTCCCAGATTGCCTTTTACTTTAACTATGAAGAGGCAGAAGCCCAGAGAGACACAGCCCACTGGTGGCAGAAGCCTGGAGCAGCGATCTGACCTTCAAGCCTGTTTTCTGCCTCTCTTTTGGGGATGTAAGCAGATGATCAGAGGTTCTGAATTGCAGTGCTTCCTGTGAGCCTCTGGAGCTAAGAACGATTGAGAACCCCAGGCAGTGCCACACAGTTTCCTGGATGCTGTGTGCCAGGATGTGCGTGGCGTTTCACCTCCTGCTTTTACAGCTGAAGTCACACTAACCCACAGTGCCCTGTAAAAATGCTTACTTTACATAGGACTATTCTTGTGGTTTGCTGTGCTACCTTTTAAAATTAATGAGTAGTCTTGTTACGTGGGATGGGCTGGCTGGGCTGGACCCCCCACACAGGGTTTTCTGGTCTTCTCTCCTCTCCCACCCTCTCCCACTTTATGCTGCAGTATTTGGGAACCAGCAGTCAGCCTGCCACTCCGTGCCATTACACAGTCAGTCCCCTCTCCTGGGGATGTGCTCCCCATGCTCCACATCACCCTGCAAGCCCGGATCATCCTCAGAGCAATTCACAGGAGCCTGCTGGCACCCTCTCCCAACGGCCCCTGGCACCCTGACCAGAGTCCGCCCCTCCCACCTTCTCCCTTCCTGGGCCTTGCTGATATATGGCACTTGCCTCGCTGGGTATCTTGTGTTTGCTCGTAAGTGAATCTTTGTCACTAGACTAAGAGCAGCCCTAGGGCTGGGTCTATGTCTCATTAATTTCTGTATGCTCTGCACCAGATCCAGCACTTAAAAGATGTGGAGTTGTTTCCTGGCGCCTTAAGACAGGTGATGTTCTTTGGCTCTGTTTCAGGTCTTTCTGTCGGAGTGGAAGGAACGCAAAGTCGCCCTCTCACGGCTCACTGGTCTGGAGATGAAGGATGATTTCCTCCACGGACTGCAGATGCTGAAGTCTCTGCAGAGTGAACATGTTGTCACGCTGCTCGGCTTCTGCGAGGATGACAACACCATTCTTACTGAGTATCACCCCTTAGGGTCCTTGAGCAGCCTGGAAGAAACATTAAACCTTTCCAGGTACCAACATGTAAACACCTGGCAGCAGAGGCTGCAGCTGGCCATGGATTATGTTAGCATCATCAACTACCTGCACCACAGCCCCCTGGGCACACTGGTCATGTGTGACTCCAACGACCTGCCCAAGACGCTGTCCCAGTACCTGCTGACCAGTAACTTCAGCATCGTGGTGAACGACCTGGACGCCTTGCCCCTGGTGAACCGCAGCGCCGGGACGTTTGTGAAGTGCGGCCACAGGGAGCTTCATGGGGATTTCGTGGCTCCAGAGCAGCTGTGGCCCTATGGAGAGGACACGCCTTTTCAGGACCATCTCATGCCCTCATATGACGAGAAGACTGACATCTGGAAGATTCCAGATGTCTCCAGTTTCCTTTTGGGGCAGGTCGAGGGGAGTGATATGGTCCGATTCCATCTGTTCGATATTCACAAGGCCTGTAAGAGCCAGGCTCCTGCAGAGAGACCCACGGCTCAGGACGTCCTGGATACTTACCGGAAGGTGATGAATTCACTCAGAGATACGGTGATGTCTCAGACAAGAGAAATGCTCTAAAAACTAGTGCAGTCAGGGAAGGGATTTAAGGGACACGTGGAAGAGTGACACAGTTCTGCTCTGACGGTGAGCTCGCTGCTCCGTGGCTCTTCCTCTGCACACCCCCCCACCCGCCCAGCCACCTGGGCGGCAGTTGCTAAGCAAGAGCAAAGCAGGCTTAAGTCTGGTTTTACTTCTAAAAATAATCCCTCCCAGGTGAAGATGCAGAGAAGCAGTGAATTTTAACTCTATCTGAAGGAAGTAACAAAAACGTAGCTACAAAGAGGCTTCCCCTATCCTAAGTAATTGAGTTTGTAAGCTTGTAAGAAAGGTAGATAGAGAAGATTTTTAAATGGCAATATATGAAAGAAACATAGCTCTGGCCAGGTAGCTCACTTGGTTAGAACACTGATCCTGATATGCCAAGGTTGTGGGTTCAATCCCAGTCAGGGCACATATAAGACTCAAGCAGTGAATGCGTAAATAAATGGAACAACAAATTGATGTTTCTCTCTCTCTCTTTCAAATCAATAAACAAAAATTAAAAAAAAACATGGAGTAGTTCTCCAAAGAATTTTTTTCCTCGTTTTTTTTAGATGATAATCAACATCCCGTGTCATGGGAGTATTTCTGGTCTGTTTCACTGGCTGCGGGTGGGGCCATCTTTACTGTTGTGCCCTGCTGAAGGATTGAACTGTTGACCCTCCTGTGCCATCCTCCTTCCTAGGAGCTAAAGGAGAACCATTAGAGCATGCTCTTTAAAATTGTGAATGGATAAGGAATATTTAAAACAGCAAGTATGAGGGATATATGCGTCACTGCCTTGGTTGATACTTGTGTGAAATGCCTATTTACCTTCCTGCTGGGTTTTGTGTGTCTGAAATTAATTTTTGTGAACATTTTACATCAGCACTGCCACTTACTACTGCGAAGTGTCAAACCTGCCCGAGTTGCATGATTAAATCTTTCCAAAAGCTCTTTCCTTGCTCACTCACCCTCACTGGCAGAAGATGATGGGTTTGGTGCACACTAATCATTCCTGGTAAGGTAGCTAAAGCTGACATGGGGGCAGGATCGCTGGAATCACGGGGACAGCACACCCAGGCAGTAGGATAGGGCAGCGTTATCGGTCTTGTCCTCTACTCACAGCCCTTGGTGGATTGGGCCCTCTGGGTGATGAGAGAATATGCTTGACACAGTATTGTTTTAACTCCTGCTTTTCGTTATAAAAACTCCACCACAGCCACTGGGATGGCTGTAATCAAGCGGACGGACAGTAACAAGTGTTGGTGAGGATGTGGAGAACTGGAACCCTTGCATTGCTTGTGGGAAGGTGAAATGGTGCAGCTGCTTTAATAATCTGGTGTTCCCCAGAAAGTTAGAAATGGAGCCACCATGACCCGCAATTCCACTCCCAAGAATTCACCCAGGAGAACTGAAAACAAGTCCAGAGTAAGGACATCTCACATTCAACATTTCCCAAATATCTTCTCTGCCCCAGATTTGCTTTTGTGCTTCATACATCTGTAAATGGCACACCATTCACCTGATTTTCCAAGGCAAAAACCTGGTTTATACAAAATAAACTGCAGCCATTTCAAGCGAACACTTCAATGCACTTCAGTAAACTCCCATACTCACGCCACCACCCTACAGACGAAACACGAAACGTTCTGTCTGCTGGAACTTCTGAGTCCCATCCTGCCCATCCTTTCCCCACTGCTGACCTAAAGAGGAGAATTTTTTACCCAGAATTTCATGTAATTGGAACCATACAGCATGGTATAAACCTTGTTGTGCCTTTTTTCATTCACTGTAATTTTTTTAACTGTTTATGCTATTATAAGTGTCCCATTTAACCCTTCGCCCCCCTCCACCCAGTCTGCCCCCCTTCCAATCACTCTAATGCTTTCAGATCCACCCATGTTGTTGTTTATATCAGTAATTTATAGCTTTTCATTGGTGAGTAATATTCCATTGTGTGTGTGTGTGTATATATATATGTACCACCCAGCCACCCGCTGATGGACATGGGGTTGTTCCCAGTTTGGAACTATTATGAATAAAACTGCTGTTAACATTTAAATAAAGTCTTTTGTCTTGGGTAAATACTTAGGAGTGTCCCAGTGATCACCTGTAAGAGTATGTTTATAATAAACTTCTAAACTGTTTTCCAAAGCATCCAGCAACACATAAGAGTTTCATTTGCTGCACATGATGTAGCCAACACTTGTTACTATAAGCCCATTTAATTTTAGCTCTTCTAGTGGGTGTGTAGTGGCATCTCATTGTAGTTTTATTTTCCTTTTTCCCCAGAGATAAATGATGCTGAGAACCTTTTCATGTTTATTGGACATTCACGTATCTTCTCTGGTGAAGAGTCCAACTATTTTGCCTATTTTAAAATAATTTGCTTATTTTTAAATTGTAAGAGTTCATTATTTAACCTGGAATTAAGTCTGTTACCAGATTTATCTTTTGCAATTTTTTTCTTATAGCCAGAGGCTTGCCTTATCATTTTCTTACCAGTGTGTTTGTTTATTTTTAAATGGTTATATACTGTTTAAGAAAGCTTTACCTCACCCAAGGTCATGAAGATTTTCTCCCCTATTTTCTTTCAGAAGTTATTTTATAGTTTTAGCTTTTACATTTAGGTCTATAATACATTTCTAGTTCAACTTTGTGTATGGTGTGAGGCCAGGGTTAACATTCACTTTTTTCCCATATGGATGTCCAATTGTTCTAGCATCATTTATTGAAAAGATTATTCTTTCCCCCATCAAATTGCTTTGGCAACTTGGTGAAAAACCAGTTATGTGGGTTTACTTTTAGGCTCTCTTACTTTATTGATCTATATTGCTCCTCTTATACCAATAACACACTATCTAAATTACTATAGCTTTACAGTAAATCTTGGACTCAGGTAGGGAAAGACCTATAGCTTTGTTGTTCTTTCTCAAAATCATTTCACATTTCCACATAAATTCTAGAATCACTTGCCAATTTCTATACACACAAACACACATACCCACAACAAATGACCTGCTGGAACTTTGATTTGGATTGCACTCAGTCTATATAGATCAGTTTGTGGGAAACCAGCATCTTAACTAACAGTAATGGTCTTCTAATCTATGAACACGGTAGATCTCTGCAACAATTTAGGTCTCCTTTAATTTCTCTCGATGTTTTTAGGGTTCAGGTCTTATACCTATTTTGTTAAATTTATTTATGTATTAATTTAAAAAATTCTATCGTTGCCTTGGTTGGTGTGACTCAGTTGGTTGAAGCATCGTCCCTTAAACTGAAAGGCTGCCGGTTTGATCCCTGGTCAGGAGCGTCCCTGGGTTGCAGGTTTGGTCCCTGGTCCCGCACGTATGGAGGCAACCAACTGAAGTTTCTCTTATGCAGATGTTTCTCTTTCTAAAAGCAGTGAAAAAATGCCCTCAGGATGAGGGTAAAAAAGAAATTCTATTGTAAAAGCTATTTTTAAAAAGTCAAGTTCCAAGTTTGTTTATATCTAGGGTATGAAAATACAATTGATTTTTGTATATTGACTTTGAATTCTGTGACCTTACTAAATTCACTTACAAGTTCTGGTACTTTTGGAAGGTAGGGGGAGATTCCTCAACATTTTCTGCACATTCTTTCATGCCATGCTTGAATAAAGCCAGTTTGTATGGTTCCCCCCCACCACCCTTTTTCTTGCCTTTTTGCACTGCCTAGGGCCTCCAAGACAATGCTGAGTAGAAGCGGTAAGGGTGGATATCCTTGCCTTGTTCCTGATGCAAGGGGGAAAACAGTCTTTCAAGTATCATGTTAGCTATTAAGTTTAGTGTTTGTCTTCCCTTACATGTCTTTACACTTTTACTACATATGCATATACCCCCAAACAACATATAGTAGTATTTTTCTTGGCTTTACACTTTACACGTAAGTTATTACGGAGGCATTTCTGCAACTTGCATTTTTCCCTCTGTCCTGAGTTTCATCCGTTTCGATACATGTTACTCTAGATCATTACTACTGCTTATACATTATACCGCAATTTATCCACTTTCTCTACTGGTGGACATTCAGATTGTTTGCAGGGTTTTGCAGTTACAAACCATTCTGCTACAACCATTATTATACACGCCCCTTTATACATATGATAGTTTCTCCTACCATATAGCTGGGAGTGCAACTGCGGGGTCATGGTGCCTGCTCGCCTTGAGCTTTATCAGAGACTGGTAACGCTCTTCAAAGTGGTGGTACCACATGATGGCTTTTAAGTCTCATCTTGCTCTCCGGATAGTGACCGTCTTGGGATGGGGCTCTGCCTGTCGTACTCAGCTTGACATTTCCAGAACAGTGGACAGAGGACACTAACACCCATTTTTCTGTATAGTGAACGGCATACAAAATTTATAGGAATTCAGCAGAAAGATGCTCAGGGTAGTGATCAGAGACGGGAGCAGTGGCTTGTGGCCCGCGGAAAGCCTCTCCTGGACGTTTCCCAGAGGACAAAGAGCACTGTGCAGCGGGGAGGAAATCTTGGCCTTCAGTAAGCTTCCCCGAGCCTTGGGCGGAGAGCGGTCCGGCCCCTCGGACTTTCCCGCACCAGCCGGCACCGCCCATTCCCCCGCCCGCCCCCCCCCCGCCCCCCCGCGGGTGACTCAGGCGGCGGTGACGGCGTTCGACAGCGAGGCAATGACGGGCGCGCGGCCGTGCGCGGCGAGGAAACGCAGAGCTCGGGAGCGCGGCGGCGGCGTCGGAGGAGGAGGAGAAGGAGGAGCGGTGCCCCAGGCTGCCCCCAGGCGGGAGCAGCGGCCGGTGGAGGCGACGGCGGGCAGCATGAACTGGGCGCGGGCCTCGGGCCGGACTCTGGCCGTGCTGTTGCTGGTCGCGTCGGCGTTGAGCGCCACGCTGCTGGCCCCCGGCGGCTCCGTGGAGCGCGGCCCCGAGCCCGCACCGCCGCGAGGTGAGTGCGTGCCGAGGCCCCGGCCGGGGCGGCTCGGCGGACCCCGCGCCCCCTCCTGCTGCTGAGCCCGCTGGGCGACGCGACGCCCCTCGGGGCCTGTGACGCTCCACACGCGGGCTCTCGGAACAGCAGTTCCCCGGAACTGGAGTTTTTGTTTACACCACGCAGTGTGACCATGCAAGAACCAGGAGTCCTGCGCGCTAGCACGTTAGGCTGCTGTGGCTGGCCACGGTTCGGGCTGGGGGCAACATCCGAAATGCATCAACCCGAGGCCGAAAGAGCGGGGAGAGTGGGGCGGGAGCGGAGCGCGGGTCCTTCGGATGGCCGCGGGGCAAAGAAGCCCCTCGCCCGTCCGCCCCGAGACCGCGGGGCACCCAGCAACTAGCACTCCTCTGATCCGGAGTCCAGTCCCTCCCCAGTGTAAAGCTAGATGAGAGGTGGACTGGTCAAGAGGGGTTTACCCAACTCGCGACGCTCCTCCAGCGCACTTTGTGACAGTTCTTCCGCGCAAATGAAGCCCCTTCCCCAGAGGACAGAGGATTTAGCGGTTGGCCGAGTGCGGGGCGGGAAAGCAGATGCTCGGGCGCCGCCCTGCCCCGTGGCTAGAATGGTGGGACTCGAGTGTGTGTCAGCGGGAGTCGAACTGGATCCCAAAAGACCTCGCTAGGCACAGGGATTACACCCTGGAGTGACGGGCAGCGCGGGGAGGGCGGTGATTGCAGGAGTTGGTAGTTACACTACCAGTCAAGTCTCCAGCGAACCTTCTCCCCACTCTCCCCGCCCCCCGCTCCCGCAGCCTCCCTCGGGGGGGCTTTTACTTCCGAGGTGACATGAGGAACAGTCGAGGTTGTGGTCTGCCCGCGGCGGCACCCTGCGGTTTGTGGGGACGCCACTGAGCGAGCTTCGCGGTTCGCACGGTGGAGGGGCTTGGCGGGGTTGATTTTGCCTGGATGGGGAGTGATTCCAATGTGCGGCCGAGAGAGGCAGTACGCTCATCTATTTCCCCTAACTTCTCTCGTCTCCGAACTCACCAGGGGAAATGTGAAAAAATGCAAATTCCAGAGCCCTTCTCTAGACTTCTGGAACGAGGGTCCCAAGGCGCTCTTCTGGCGATGCTTCCGTCAGGGTTTGTGAGATCAGCCAACTGTAGCAAACCCTGAGCAGGTCAGCGTTTGGGGAGGGTCAGGCTATCCACTGGAGGGGTGAGTCACCCACCTCTCTTCTCCCTCCTGTCATCCCCTCTTCTGTATCAGAACTTGGGGTTTTGGGGTCAGGGTGAAGTTCAGATTGTCGCTCCTCCCCAGTCAGAATCTTGTTGGGTATGGCAGAATAAATTTTGAGAAAGCATCTTAGCTGATTACATTTTGTATGCTGCCACCCCCACCCTCGGGCTCATCCCTTCTCTCCTCTCCTTTGATAATTTGAGGAAACAGAGCCTGAGAGGTAACAGAATGTGTCCAGTCACAGTTTGTCAGGGACAGATTCGTACAATGCTCTTTTTTGTATTTTAGCACCGATTCATAACCATAATTATTTTAGGAAGAAAAGGTAGTTTGTCAATAGTAATTGTGTGTAGTGGGGGAGATCATAGCATTCTTCTTTTTTTTTTAAGATTTTATTTATTTATTTTTTTAGAGAGGGAAGGGAAGGAGAGAGAGAGAGAGAGAGAGGGAGAGGGAGAGAGAGGGAGAGAGAGAAACATCAATGTGCGGTTGCTGGGGGTTATGGCCTGCAACCCAGGCATGTACCCTGGCTGGGAATCGAACCTGCGACACTTTGGTTCGCAGGCTGCGCTCAATCCACTGAGCTACGCCAGCTAGGGCTTGATCATAGCATTCTTAATTGATGCACCCCAGAACCTTCACCAAGCTGTGTGGAGAGGACACCCAGACTCTCACTACTACCTGGAGCGCAGGTTTGGGCTGAACAACTGCCTACAAAGAATTCCATCTTCATATATGATCTGAGGACTCACGTTTACTTCAAAAGAGAAAAAAAATTGAATACAATATGTCCTTTAAAATATGCCCAGGAAAGACACTTCTGAGCAGAGATGTAGCACGAGAAGTTAAATATTTGGAAATGGAATAGAAGTCGAATATACAAACAGCACGGTTACCCAGGACTATTGAGAGGTGACTTTATTTGGTTTATTTCATCACCAAAGCATGTAGACAGGAAGAAGAGCAGGGGGTTATTCTTTTGTGGAAATGCTCCTTGAGTGTTAAGCTTGGTATTTCTAAAGTCAGCTGTGTCTGAACTTGGCAGCCTTTTCTTGAAACTGAGCATCAGGTTCAATTCCAGTGTCATTGGATAGCTTAGGAATTGCGTCCCTTGTGTGTTTGAGTAATACAGACTCATTGGCTTAAAAAGAAAACTATGCTCACATAATGATCAAAAGTACAAAGGTGTCAAAATCCCCTGGCTTTGCACTCACAACCTCTCTAGCTGTTGTTTTCATCCTTGGCTGCATAATAGAATTATTGATACTTGAGGAGTTTTTGTTGTTACTTTGGGAAGGGAGTTTTAAAAATCTTGCTGATTGTGTGCAGATTCTGATTCGGTTGGTCTGAAGTGGGGCTTTAGTTTGTTTGTTTGTTTTTAGCCCTGAAGGAAGCTTTCATATTATGAAATAAGAGGTTATATTATTACTTTCCTAGTTAGTTTCCCATGCTTTCCCTTTGCCTAGAAGCTAGGAGATACATTAATTTCTCCTTCATATAATGTAATAGATGGAAATGGCCCAGTTGGTCTCAGTGAAACATTTTGTTTTCATTTTAGTTGATAATAGTTCCCTTTGTTTTTCTCCACATTTGGCAAGCTTAAATTTAGAATGTGCATTTCTTGGTGGACTTCTAAAAGCATCTAATGAAGTGGGGAGCTCTAAGCTTACCCTCTCTCTTACTCCCCCAAAATCTGCTGTGGAAACTAGGAGATTCAGAACTCCAAAACAAAGCGATACAAAGCAGACTTTGAAGGGCACACAAGTGCCCCGCTAGGTCTGACCTGCTCATCCCAGCCCAGCAGGCCTGGGGTTCTGCAGGTCTCATGCTGCCCACCGCACGCTCAGAGCTGAGTAACATGATCAGGGAAAGTTTGGACTTTCGAATCTCCCAATTGGGTTCAGAACAGTTCAAACATTTCACAGAAAAGCTCTGTGGCCATGGACAATTATCTAATCCTCATGACCCCAATTTCTTCATCTGTGAAATGGAGAAAGTGTCTAGCTCATGAGATTGTCTTATTATCAAAATAGAAGATACATGGAAACTATTGTACTAAATTCAGTGCCTATCGCATCTTAGCAATTGATGAATGCACACAGTCCTTTTATACACTGGGTGTGGATGGTGTTGGCTAAGTCCTCATGTGCAGTAGAGACACCTGTGCAAAGGGGATCTGAGTGTGTGTGTCACATGCATGTGTGTGTGTGCATGTGTGTGTACACACAGAGCAAGGGACCAGAGACCCCAGAATGCAGGTGTTTGAGAAGCACTCCTGTGAAGCCACCATTCACACGGTATACTTTTTCTTTAACACATTTTTAAGTGCCTTGTTTTTCTTTTATTTTTTAAAACTTTTTTTCCTTAATTACTAGATTTAGACAAAAAAAGACACATAGAGCTGAAGATGGACCAGGCTTTGCTGCTCGTCCATAATGAACTACTTGGGACGCACTTGACTGTCTACTGGAATTCGGAACGCTGTTATCACGTAGGTATACTGTTCACGCTCACAACTGTGTTCATTGTGGGGATGGTTGTACGTACCCCTGATGCCCTCACACCTGCTGTTTTATCAGTAAGGAAACAAACAGGCTATAGAAGCAGAACTGTAATGAGGGAGAATGCCTAGCAAAGAGCAACATTTGTCTATTTTTTCCACAACCCATTTTAAAAAAAGCAAACCAGTTATCAGTGATGAGTGGAATCAAGGGAGCATATTTTGTTTTTCTCCTTTGCTTGTGCCTAACCCTCTTGCTGGAGCAGAGGAGGGAGTGAGACACCTGAGTATCCTCCGAGGGCAAGGGCGGTGAGGGCGGTGGCGAGGTCATGTGGAGGCAGATGGCAGTTACTCCAGGGATCCGCCTCTCTGATGATACAAATCATTTATTTTATCTGAAGGGTTCACTCCTATTCTAGGCCTTTATGCTTTTTTTTAAGCATAAAGAATGAGACCATTCTTCCATGTAGAATAAAATATTCTTTATTTCTAAATAAAATCAAGAGCTTCAACTTACCCGCTCTGGAGGAGGAATTTGAATGTATGGTGTACCCCTAGAATGGGTACCAGCCAAGAAGGTGGAGGGGTCCGTGATGCTTCCTCCGTTTGGTTAAACCCATGGAAAGCTTGGTAAAGTAATGTGAAACAAAGAAAATCTATAATATTAAAAAGTGTAGCTTACAATGAAGAAAAGATTCAGTCTGCAAGAAGGACCTAAAGAAAAAAATGAAAAAAAAAATCAACAATAGCTAAATTAAAAAGCTATAAGAGTCATACATAATTCAGAGAATGAGAAAAAATGTTTTCTAAACAGACTTAATAAAGGTCTGAAATCATTGGGAAACAAATTGAGGGGGAAAAGGTATTAGCCATAGGTAAGGGTAAGGGCATCTCTAAAATAAAAATAAAATCATTGGTACAAAAATAGTGACACTAATGACAGACTGAAGAGTTAAAAAACAGGAAAATTCACTACTAAGACTAACTCAGGAGAAAAAAGGCGAAGTTATTTAAAAGAGGATGGAGATAATTATGTCTAGGGAAAATACATTTCATAGAAAAATCTTTGCTCTGGCAAAAGAAATTCTGGTGACATGTTGTATTCAGATGTTCCCAATAATAAAGGTCATGACGATAGAGGTTGCTGCTGCTCTTTCCCACGTTCCGTGTCTCAGAGATGCTGTGTCTCATTTAGTCCTCACAACAGTCTGGTAGAGAGGTTGTACCAGGATTCTGCAGGTGGTGATGTTGACATTGAGAGAAGTAAAGTGACTTTTTCCTGGTGTACCCAGCTGTTAATGTGGATTTATATCTCTCTGTTCTTAGGACCCTGCTTTATGTTAATCAGAAAGAAAAGGGAAAATGCAAGGCTGCTGAGTAGGGATCTCACGGTTTTGGAAAGCAAAGTATCATCATCCAAACAAAGAGAAAAAAAGAAAGCAATAAAAATGACAACTATGTAAACTAGAAAATGAAAAAATCCAAATAGGAACAAATCAAGAAATGATATTTTAAAATAAAAGCCACACAATTGGTAATTTATTGGGAAATTTAAGAGCACAATGGAAATTAATAAAATTAGAAAGTAGGATATATAACCACTATAATTGAAATAATTATGAACCAGTGAACAATTACAAGCTGATAAATTCAGCATTCAAAAATTGATTGATTTCCTTCAAAAATACATGAAGGTTGATTTAAGAAATTGAGAACATTAATAGATCAGCAACTGATGAAGAAATCTGGGAAGTTGTAGTGAATTCCTCTACTCAAAAATAGGTAAAATTTTCTACATTTTCCAATAGTAAGTAATTCTCAAAGTCTGTATGAATTGACCCAAATGCAACCACCTCTCACAAATGATGCTTGATACTGGATTTATTCTGCACTGTAGATAGGATGTTCACCCTCAGACCTGGCAAGGGTATGACAAGAAGTGCGGGCAAACTTTTCTAATTAATAGGGGTTCAAAAATCTTAAATAAAGTTCTACCAAGGAGGCTAAGTTAGCATATTGAAAGATTTATCTATGTTGACATTTTTATCTTTGAGGAATCTTTAGAGCTCATATGAAGAGAAAATGATGAAATTTTAATGGGAAAAGTAGAGATTAAAGGGAGCGATCGCCAGTGCACTCTGATAGGACGACTGAAGAGGAAAACGACCGTACTTCCAAATTCATACATTTTACACAGTTGCTGTTAATATATCAGTGGGTACTTTATAGAATCTGCCTAAGTAATTCCCAAATTCGTGTGAAAAAGTCAGTAAGCAGGGAATCAAAGGGCTGCCCCAAAGGAGAGGGGCATCGTGGGACTTGCTGGACCAGGTCAGATCTGTTTCGACAGGTCAGTGGTTTCTGTCAGCAGAACACGGGGAGTGAAGGCTGGACCAAAGTACGTGTAGGAAGCAGAAACTATTTTGCACAGGAATGTAACATGTTACAACTCAAATCATGGGGGAAAGTGTTTAGGATTGTCATATACCATCTACCAAATGCTCCAAGTGGATTCAAGTTTAAAGAAACTGCCACAGATTTAAAAAATACTACAAAAGGCAGAATACCTGTTTAAAGTAATGAAGCAATGGAAGACATGACAAACCAGATTACTATAACTGTGTAAAAGTTTAAATGAATAAGAGCTTCATGTATAGATCTTTAAAAACAATATAGCATGTAAACTATAGATATATTTACTTATAATTAAGTTATATAATTTTGAAAACTATAATTTATATAAATCACATATAAAAAGATAAAACAAGCTTTGAAAGCAGCCCAAAACTCACAATTATAATATTTCATGGAATATAGTACAGTTATTAAAAATTATAAATATGCAAATTGGGTACAATCATGGAAATATATTTGTTAAATAATAAAACAATAGAATACAAGATGCAAGGTATGCTATTATTTGTCAGTCATTTGAAAAATCTACCTATGAATAAAGGTCTAGCTCCATAACAACACATTTAGGCAGCATACAAATTTTACCTAAATTATTGAAATTTTAAAGTTTTTCCATAAGTATGAAAGAATAGAAAAAGATCTTTGGTTGGGTGTTCACATCCTCAGCTTGCTGTGCGTTTGTTCTGCAGTGCTTGCCTCAGGCTCTGGTGAATGTTTCCGGGAGTGGGAGGCCCGGGCAGCCCAGCACTGCTGCTGTGGCCGTGAGCACCCAGCACCGGTCCATCCTGCAGCTGAAGGACTCCTCGGAAGAGAAGGAAGTTTGTAGGTTAGTACCCACTTCACTGTGATCTGCTGAAGTGTGTTTTCTCTCTACTTGTCTTATTGTTTTTTAGCTTTTTTTCCTTCAAAATATTTTTAAAATCCAATTCCTTTTTTTTTCCTAATCTAATCCTTTTCCTAAACTTTACCTAATTTTCACAGGCTGGAATACAAATTTGGCGAATTTGGAAACTATTCTCTCTTGGTGAAGCACGCCCGCAGTGGAGGCAGCGGTACTGCCTGTGACCTGGTTGTCAATCAGAATCCGGTTGACAGCAACCTTCGTATGTATATGCTCTTTGTGGACCTCAGATTTTTGTTTTCAGATGTTTTAGTTTTTGAGTGCTGTTTGCAACACTTTGTGTAATTTAAAGCCTGGATTATAGGTTATCTGTCTCATAATTATGGTATATTTGTTGTGTCAGTGGTATTTAAATTACCAAGAAGATTATGTGTGTATAAAAAAATTATATATCAACATAGTCTTAGTTGTTTAATTATAAAGCATAAATAAGCCAAAAAAAGTTAATGCCGTGGAAAGAAACTATCCAGTGTCTTTCCTTGTTTTGGGATTTAGAGTCCAGTATTTCCTGTACGGGTCTGCCGTTGACAGTCCAGAGGTCCCCGTAGGTTAAGAAGGGACTGTTCGTTCTATAAAAACGCCACTGAAGAGCATCTGTCACTCTGAGCCCTCCATCAGACAGTAAGCCCCTAGGGTGTTAGCAGGCGCTGCTCCCAGTGAAGCTATTGAAGGCCGTGGGGCCATGTCATGAGAACATGAGAGCCCGTATGAAAGGGCCAGTGTGGGGCAACTTAAGTATTGAAAATAATAACGAATGTAACTGATGGGAGCACATTGAATATACAAAACCCAGTGAGTTCATTGGGACACTAAAAAGAGCAAGGCCCCACTCCCCAAACAAAAACAAGAACAGCACTTTGGTTGCCTTTGGAGGCAATAGCACACCCGATGTTAACTACCCTGATGTAAAGTTGTCCATTGAAAGGAAAGATTTAAGTATTTATCCTGTTTTTCGTGTTTTAACTGTATTTTAGGATAATTAAATAGCTCCAGATGGACAGGTGAATTCTTTAGAGAATTCCAGTTAATAAAGGGCAGAATGACAGAGTACTTTGCAACCTAATGAAATAATTGCTGTAGGCAAAAAATCATGAAGGGGCGACACCATCAGATGAAATGGGAACTTTACTCGGGACGAATCCGGCTTTCACTGGCTAAACACGTGCATCAGGCAGGTGATTGGTGTTGGGGCAGCTTCTGGTGTGGTGCAGGAGGGAAGACACTGCACTTCCTGTGAAGCATGCTTCTGGAAAGCTGAACTTGTCGATCAGGCCCTCATAGCCGACTTCCCGTGTGCAGAACAGGTGGAGGCTGGACGAGAGTTCAGTGACGCCCTGAGGAAGCGTGCTGACAGGTCTGGAACACGAGGCGTTTGGATTGATGGCAGCTGACCTGGGGGTTAACTCCAGCCAGTGGCTGCTCAGGACTGAATGGGACTTAGGAAACAAGACAAGCAAATGCAGATGTGAACCTCGTTTGGACCCTGATTTGAACATACTGGCTACAAACAGCTAGGAAATATTCATTAATTTTGTGTGACATTGTGGTTCTACCACCAAAGGTTCATTTTTAAGAAACTTTTAAATTCTGAAATAGTTTTAGACTTCTAGAAACAGTGCGAAAAAGTGTTCCTGTGTACCCTTTACCCAGCGTTTCCAAACCCCTACACTATATCATCATAGTACAGTGCTCCCACGTACAAGTTCTGAAACCAGGAACCTAATATTTGATACAGTGCCGTTAACTGATCTGCAGACTCTTCAGTTTTCCCCAGTTGTTCCTTCTGACGTGTTTTTCTGGCCCAGCATCCAGTCCAGGTTCCCACAGTGCATTTATCTGTAATTGTCAGACTCCTTCCTCTCCTCTAATCTCGGACAGTTCCTCCGTCTTTCTTTGTTTTTCCTGGCCCTGGCACTTTTGAAGAGGCCTGGCCAGTTAGTTTGCTGTTTGGATTTACTTGCTGTTTCCTCAAGATGAGGTGTAGGGCGTGCTGTTTGGTGGATTCCAACAGCACTGACGCTGTGCCCTTCTCGGTGGGTCACGTCAGGACGTGCGTCATGCTGACACGAGATGCGACTGGAGGTGTGGGGAGAAATCGCGTGTGTCTGGGATTTGCTTAAAAATACTTTAGGCAAAAAAAAAAAAAAAGAACAGGAGACAGTGGTAATACATAAAGCAAGAGTGACAATATTCTGGTAATTCTAGAATTTAGGTGATGGGTATTTGTGGGTTTATTGTACAGTTCTCTGTGTTTGGTGTTTTCCATAATGAAAATTGCACTCCCCTTATGAAGTGTTCTCAATTGTTTATAGGAAATTTAGCCTAAGAAAATAGCCTTTACCCTCATTTGTTTTTATTTTTTTGCATTTTTCATTTACAGATTACAAGTGATTATGTGACAACTTTGGCTCTTATGATGGTACTTTTGGTGACGACATCTTTTCTGTTATTTTTGTAGCCGTGTGCATTGCGTTCCTGGTTGGTCTAGCACTCGTGATTGCTGTGTGCTTTCTGAGGTTCTTGTTGAGGTAAGCACAGTCGGGGAAAGGGGAATATAGAAAAAACATATTCAGAGGGCAGCATGACCCATCAGATGACCGTCATTCTTTGATGGAAGGAACACTGAGTGTCCACCCTGGCCCGTCCAGGCGTAGGGATTCAGAAGATGATCCCTGACGTCAGGGAAACCATAACCTAGTTCTAATGGTCATTGCCTTCAGTCCTCCCTAATGGCTGAAAAAGTAGAAGCAAATGCTTGAGCAATACTTTCCTGAAGAAATCTCACTTCCTGTTTCATAATGAGTAGAAGTGGGCTGTGATGGTTTTAGGAGGTGGCTGCCACGCTGGACTTTTCTTCCCTCTCTCTGGCTCTGAGCCCTGAGGCCACCCCTCTAGTCTGGCTGCCCAGCTCCCGGCTGCCTTGGGTCTTTGGCAGCAGAGATGGAGGACGAGGTGCAGTCCCTGCAGGTGGCAGCCCAACTCCTTCCCTTTGGGGGGTTAGCGGGGTAGGGGGGTGGGGGGGAGGGGGGAGGGAATTCTTTGGTTAACAGCAATTCTGGTGAGAGTGAATTAGTAGACTGGATAAGAAAAAGAAAGTAAAGTAGATCCAAGCCTGGTAAATCGCCTTTCAAAGGAAAGTTCTAGTATGTTTTAAAAGGAGTAAGATGGATTTTTCATGTGCTTAGCCTGTTAGGGTCTCAGAAAGGACCTCAAGATTTTACTGGTGAGCCGTATCCAAGTTGGGAGAAAAAGTTAGCCTTTCAGTTTGCTGGCTTGGGGAAACCCTGCAACTTTGGGGAGTTTATGCACTCTGACCCTCTACCTTCATGCATCCTAGAAATAATTCCATATATGAGAAACCTGACTGCACGTACAGGGGTAGAAGGACTTGCGGCTCAGTAGCAAATGTGTAACCTCTCTGCTTTTTTATCGTAAGATTATATTTAGACAGAAGGGAAGGGAGGGAGAAAGAGAGGGAGAGAAACATCAATGTGTGGTTGCCTCTCGAGCGCCCCCTCACTGGGGACTTGGCCTGAAATCTAGACATGTGTCCTGACTAGGAATCAAACCAGTGACTCTTTGGTTCATAGGCCGGCAATCCACTGAGACACACCAGCCAGGGCAATCTGTCTGCTTTTTCAGGAACAGAATATAATCCTAGCAGAGACTTTTAACTTATTTGAATTAAGATATTATCTTGTCAGTCTTCAGATAAGATGCAAATAGTGTTCCAGTTTATTAGGATTTTTTTCATTTCGTGCTCTGAATGCAGATATATCCATTACATCACTTTCTAAAGTAACTGGTAGCTGATATCTGCCTCTTGCAAAGGAAGGAAATACCACCTCACCCCACTGTGGAATTGAAGCCTTCCTCTGCGTGTGTTTTCACCTTTGCAACCTCAGGCAGAATGCTCTTGTTGGCAAAGCAAGAGGCCCTTGCCCTGGCCCCATGACTTTCCAGCCTGCCCATGACGTCCAGGGAAGTTCAGGTTTGTCTGAACCAGAAAGGATCTGAAAGAGTAGTGAGGATACAGCTTCTCTCCTGTCCAAAAAAATTTAAGTGCTTTTTAAAAATTTTAACTTCAACATATTTTAACTTCTTTTCACCCTTCCTTAGATGTTTCTATTTTAATGTTTTTCATGTAATAGTGATGTTACCGGTGCTGAATAAACTAGAAATAGAAGTTTAGTTGTGGGGGGAAAAGGGAAGAAATTAAAAATATATGCATTGTCCCTGACTGGTGTGGCTCAGTGTATTGAGTGCCGGCCTATGAACCAAATGGTTGCTGATTTGGTTCCCAGTCAGGGCACATGCCTGGGTTGCATGCTGGGTCCTCAGTAGGGGGCACTTGAGAGGCAACCACACATTGGTGTTTCTCCCTTTTTTCCTAGAAACCTTCCTTTCCCTCCCTAAAAATAAAATCTTTAAAAACATTAAAAATATATATATATGTATTGGATATATGAATCATGTTTGGATACTGATTTGAGCAATTCAATTGTAAGAAAAAACTTAAGAGACAGGGAAATTGAACTGGCTATTTGATAATATTAAGGAATTTATTGATAATACTTTCAAATATAATAAAGGTACTGTACTTATGTTTAAAAACGAAAAGATCCTGCTCTGGCTGGTGTGGCTCAGTGGATTGAGTACCTTCCTGTGAACTATAAAGGTCACTGGTTTGATTCCCTATCAGGGCACATGCCTGGGTTATAGGGCCAGGTCCCCAGTTGGGGGCTCACAAGAGGCAACCAATTGATGTTTCTGTCCCTCTCTTTCTCCCTTCCTTCCTCTTTCTGAAAATAAAATCTTCAAGAAAATTAAAATAAAAAACAAAAATGAAAAGGTTCTTATCTTTTGGAGATATATGCTGAAGTGTTTGTGGATGAAATGTTATGATGTCTGAGAGTCTTTAAAATAAAAGGGGTAGTGTGTGGGAGTGTAGGTGAGGTAAGGCCAGCCATGTGTAGATACTTGTTGAAGCTGGGAGATGTGTCCACGGAGGTTTATTGTGCTAGTTTGTCTGCTTCTGCATATACTTGAAACTTTCCAAGATAAAAGCAAGAAAAGGGAAAAAATCCTATGCATTCGGTAATTCAAATGTGCTAAGTTTATGTAAAACATGTAGGAAATGTGCCTTGGCTGGTGTGGCTCAGTGAATAGAGAGCCAGTCTGCAAACTAAAGGATCACTGGTTCGATTCCCAGTCAAGGCACATGCCTGGGTTGCAGGCCAGGTCCCCAGTGGGGGCGCAAGGGGCAACCACACATTGATGTTTTTCTCCCTTTCTTTCTCCTTCTCTGTCCCTCTCTAAAAATAAATAATTAAAATCTTTTTAAAAATGTGGGAAGTAGAAATCTCATCTTAGAGAAAAAGTAGTAAATATATTTATCTTTTGTTAATCATGTAAATCAGTATAATATCATCTAAATATCTTTTGGAACTAAAGTACCTGTCTAGAAAAAAGAACCCGATATATTAACTATTTGAATTACTCCAAAGTTACTTTCAAACTTTCTCAGTATGCATGCATGCATTTTTACTTACAATCAAGTCTGTATAATGGGTTTTTGTTTTCAGTAGTTTATATTTATATTTCTTTGTATGCAGAAAGCCCACATTCTTGTTATTTTATTTTATTTTAATTTTTTAAAGATTTTATTTATTTTTAGAGAGAGGGAACATGAGGCAGAAAGAGGGAGAGAAACACCGCTCGGTCGGCTGCTGCATGCCCCCCGACTGGGGACCTGCCCTGCAGCCCAGGCCTGTGCCCTGACTTTGAACTGAATGGCGACTTTCTGCTTTTGAGCGTCGCTGCCCAGCCAGCTGCACCATGCCGGTCAGGGGGTCAGGGACGTTTATGTTGTTTTAGTAGCTGCCTTTTGCCCTGTCACACAGCCATCATATCCTGCGTGTGGTCACTTTTGTTATGAGCGTGTTTGAAATTTTTTACTATTCTAATTTTAATAATAATATTAATAAGAATTCTAGCCCTGAGGAATAATGATTTCATTAAACCCTCACAAAAACACTTGAACGAAGCCTCTATCTTTATTTCTGTTTTTATTGATGAGGAAATGGTGCTGTAAGGATTGAGCATTTAAAAATACTGCTGCTATAAACTTTGATTTCTACTTTTGTTTCATTAAAAAACTAAAATGTTTAATTCTCTGACTCATATGGGATATGGAGTTTAAATGAATATACTTTCTTTTTTTTGGAACATAATATTTACTTGTAATATGACTTATATACATATTTTTAATTTTTGGTTTAATTGTTCAAATACAGTTTTCTGCCTTTCCCCCCATATACTTTCAATGTGATATCCAGTCATTTTGAAAATTCTGCCAAAGAAGATAAATTCACCGAGGTTTTTCTTTCTTTACAGTTTGGATGACTTTAATAACTGGATTTCTAAAGCAATGAGCTCCCGGGAGACTGATCGCCTCATCAACTCGGTGAGTTACCAGAATGTGTCACGTGTGGTCTGGGTAGATTTTTAGATTCAGCATTTGCAGTTTCCTGTTTAAAGGAAATCTTTACTATCTTTACTATCCAGTTTAATTAATCTTATTTATATTGTGGAAGGCCGGGTCTATGTTATGTCCTGTTTTCTCACTAAGCAGCAGCTTTTTCCCAGCTTCTGAGAGGGGCACTGTCCCCTCCTGTCTCCTCAGTGAGGCAGGGACACGGGGTGCCCCGTGAGGCGCGGTGTGGGGACGTTTCCACCCCGCAGGCGGCACTGCTGATCGACCCCGCTGAGGGTCGGTATCGAAACGAGATACCAGTATTGAATCTGTAAACACAGTGGCCTGCTGAAATGGCTAAACATGTTATTTGTGCCAGTACATTCATTGTGGACTATTTTTGTCCACTACGAACGTAGTTCCTTGTACACTTACACCAGCTGCACTTACGCACCAGTTCTTTGCGGTCATTTTATCAACACGGGCACAGCAAGCTCGGCGGAAGGCACCAAGTCAAATAAAGCGAAAAACCAAACCTCTGAGTGGGATCTTCACAAAAGCAAATTGAAGTATTGTTCAGAACGATGACCTTTAACTGTCCACTCTGTTAATTTCTCTCTAAACAGTAGAAAAGTGAAATTTATTCCCTAGTATTATGACTTGTCATTGTCCTTCTCCCCTTTTTCCGGAAGGAGCTGGGCTCCCCAAGCAGGGCAGGAGAGCTCGGCGATGACGCGCGACCGGAAGTGTGGCGTCCGTCTGCGGCACCCGTGCGCCTCCGCTGCGTGGACACGTTCAGGGGGTACGTGGGCTCCCTTGTAACGCGGTGGGCACAGGTAGTCCCAGTTACGTGGTTACACACGAATGCACTTTTATTGTTACGGATTTTATTTATTTATTTTTAGAGGCGGGGAGGGAAACATCAACGTGAGAGAGAAACACCCATCAGTTGCCTCTCACACACAACCTGCAATCCAGGGGTATGCCCTGCCCAGGAATTGAACCAGCAACCTTTCACTTCGTGGGCAGATGCCCAAACAACTGGGCCATCCTGGTCAGGGCACATAAGCATACTTTTAAATTAAGGTAGATCTTTTACTTTCTAGGCTAGAAAGGATTTCTTGCAATAAAAGTAAAGCAGCAGCCTCTCTCCTTTCTTGAAAACTGCGGTGATAGTCTGTACACTCCGTTGCTAGAGAGGAGTAGTGGGACGTGACCAGAACCAGTTTCTACTGGTATGTAGACTCTGCCGAGTCAAGGTCATTGCACTGGGTCAAGGAGCTGTACGTGGGATCCTGTGTCCATCGGCATCCCCCATGTCCCGTCACCAGCTTGACAGGTGAGAAGATGAGCCAGTCTAGGAAGGAAACTCCAGATCAAGGAGTCAGTCCTCATCCTTTACCACTGTGGACAGAACAGCTAGAATATCGGACCTTTTTGATAACAAAACCACAGTATCATATAGTAAATCGTTATTATGTTATAGTTCTGGTAGAAGATCGAAGGGCAGGACCAATCTCCAAAAATAAAGTATAAAACTAGTAGCTGGAAATAAACATCTAGGTATCAGGTCTTCCATTTCTACTCACCAGGGACTTTTAAACTCCAGTGATGACTGAGTAACCCTTTCCCAGCCTCACCAGAGCTCCGAGTGCTCCTGGCATGTATACAAGAAACCAAATAATAACAACAAACGTGATAATAGTAACAATTGCGAACAGTCTTGAGTCTCACCATGTGCCAAGCACTGTTCTGAGTTGTCTTTTTTTTTTTTAAGATTTTATTTATTTTTAGAGAGGGGAAGGGAGGGAGGGAAATAGCAACTTGTGGTTGCCTTTCACCTGGCCTACAACCCAGGCATGTGCCCTCACTGGGAATCGAACCAGAGCCCCTTAGGTTCAAGGCTGGTACTCAGTCTGCTGAGCCACACCATCCAGGGCTAACTTGTCTTAATTTATTTGCTCTCTTAAAAGCCTGGGAGGTTTTTAATATGCCTGTTTCACAGCTGAAGAAATTGAACCACAGAGTTAAGTAACTTGCCCAAGCTCACGCAGGGACTAAGGAAGACAGCCAGGATTTGATTCTAGGCAGTTTGGCTCCAGAGTCCCCACAAATTACTCCATTAACATACTAAAGCCTTCATTCCCTGCCTTCTGCAGAATCAACATCAAACAGTAGCCTATCCAGAACTGATTTTATTGTGTTTCTCTCTTTGATTCTCATTGCCGCTTTCGGAGATAACATGTTCACAGGTGGACAGGAACTAACGTTTATTAAGTGCTGAACTTGTCTTAAGTGCTGAACTCACCACATCCAGTCAGGTCCTGTACCGTACAGTATGGTCAGGAGTCCCGAGGCCCCTCTGGGAGGCTCGCGCTCTCTGTCACAGAGGGGTGCACTGAGGTAACTGGCGAGGGTTTCACCCAAGGCCTTGTGGCTCACAGGAGAGAAGGACTCAAGATTTGAACCCTCAGCTCTGAGTGTAGTGGCTGTGTGCCTTCTACTACAGTTCTTTAACTTGAGACACCTAAATAATTAGCACAAAATGGGAGATTGGAAATGTTTTGCTTTGTTTTCAAGCTGTCCGGTTTACTGTCCATGTACATTTTTTTTAAGACTCTATCATGTTGGCTGTATCGGCCACAGGGGCACTTTGGCGCAGGGCCCTATTGTACTGATGAGACGTCGTCACTCCTTGCTCTTTAAGTGTCCTCTTGTGTCGTGACTGTGCCTCATGAGGATACGTGTGTCCCTGGCAGCGGGGCCATCCCCCATCACCTGTGTGTGCCCTGAAAATGCTCTTGCTTTGCAGGCTGGCTCTCATCCTCATGGTTTTCGTTAATTACGGAGGAGGAAAGTATTGGTATTTCAAACATGCAAGTTGGAATGGTAAGTCCTTCCCTAAAGGTATCGTTGCTTAAGTAGGACCCCTTCAGAGAACTGTGGGCAGGAGAATCACTCAGTGCCCCCAGGGGATCCAGAGCCGAGGCCCCTGGCAGCCTCCTCACAGCCACTGAGCTCCTGCCCAGAATAGAATGACCCTTCTACTATTTTGTTGTTCATTCTTTTGTGTTCTGTGTCTCTGCACTGCTTCACTATGATAATGCACAGACTCCGAAGGTCTCTGCAGCAGGACTGTGGAGCTCTGCAGAAGATGCTAAGAACTTAGTTGTAAATGGTCCTTGTCATTTTCTAGACATGCCTTTCCGTACAGCCACATGCACGCCTTCTGAGACTCACAGTCCTCCTTGGGGTGCCCTTGGCCTGAGGTTGGCCTGGGTGTGCTGAGTGACGGCAGTGAGTCTGCCTGGTGGTTGGCTGGACGGTGGGTTTTGAGTAGCGCCACTTAAAGGTCACAGACTTGTCCACACACTTCCAGTGTGGTTCCCCCGGGCCTAGTGCCCTCAGACGACGCCCTCGGCCCAGTGATGGGCGGCAGAGTCCCCGGAAGCATCTGTGTCTCTTCCTTCCCAGTGTTTTCCTTGGGCTCTCAGTTTACTTTCCTTACTTATCAGAATATAATGGGGCCACTCTAGGTTTAGGAAGTATTCCCCTTCCCTCACTCTCTGTGTTTTTCTGCAGGACTGACAGTGGCTGACCTTGTGTTCCCATGGTGAGTGGGCAGTCCGCCGCTAGCTTTTCTGTAGGTCGTCTCCAGGTTTTTCTTTTCAACTGATGCTGGAGCCTCTCTCCAAGACCAGCCTTGAACTGTGGGTCACAGCCTGCGTTACTCACAGGCCTCTGCTGTTGTGAGCGCCTTCCAGAAGCTGTGGCACCGACTAATGCTTACGCTTGGCATAGTGCCTCTCTGAGGCACGCACGCACGGATAAGAGACGAATGATGTCAGAGGGAACATAACACAACATACAAGGTCCTGGAATCCTGTAGGAAATTATAAATTCTGTGTAAATACCACTAATCCTGAAAATAAGCGTGAAATCATTTCTAAAAGGAAGGTAGTGTACTGGTATCAGGGAGTTCTGAGAAGTAGGTAACAGGACAGCTATACTCTAACATTCAAAGTGAGACCGGAGTGACCAAACACTGCTGTCACTCCCCTGTGACCTGCGGATCTCGTTGCGGGACCCCGCCTTCCTGCTCAAGGTGGACTTCGTGTCTCCGCTGTGACACTGGAGCAACCGTGCTCCATCGTCAGGGGCTCAGCCTGGCTGTGGGTTCACGTGTTTGGTCTCTTGTGTTTCATCACTAACGTGAACTCGGGGCTTTTGTGGGGAGGGGATGGGGGTTCTTTTTTGAGGCGAGTTTGGGTAGGAGGAGCTTTTGCAAGCCTGCAGACCTGGTAATTATGCATCTTCTCCGTGAGGTTCCCTATGGGAAAGTGGCCTGGCCCCTGTTACCAGAGGCTCTCATCCGATCCCGTGACCCCCAGAGGCAGCCGGGGGACGGGGGGGAGCGCAGCAAGAGCAGCCCGGTCTCTGTCAGCCCTGCATCAAGGAACTAGACAAATTACTACTCTGGCTTTTTTAAAAAGAGGTACTTTTGTATGGTAAAGAAAAAAAGGAAAGAAGGGTGTGTGGCTCAGACAAAATCAGGGGGAAAAAGTTTTCATTTTTCTTTTAGGAGCAAAAGTGAGGTTAGAAGTGATTGGAGCGTGTGGTCTCTTTCTCAAGGACTTTGAGGGTGCACTGAGCAGTGTGGACGCAGCGTCTTCATCGTCATTTCTCTCTGACAACTAAGTGGGGCAGCTGCCCCAGGACGAGACGTTGCGCTTGGCACTGAGGGGCGTCCTCTGAGACAGGACTCGGAGGCGCACGGACCCGCTAGCCCGCGGGGCCCCGTCCTGACGTTTCCCCCACTGTGAACCCAGCGCCACGCCAGGGGTTGGCTACTTCAAAAAATCACTTGTTGCTTCTCTGTTGGGAGACTATAAACTATTAATGGCATATAGACAAAAAAAATTGGAATGATTACCTAGTAATAGCTGTTTTTTTTCTAGGTTTGTGTTTATTATGGGAACCTCCATTTTTCTGTCAATGAGTTCCATACTGCAGCGGGGATGTTCGAGATCCAGGTTGCTGGGGAAGATTGTGTGGAGGAGTTTCCTGTTAATCTGTATAGGAATCATCGTTGTGAACCCCAACTATTGCCTTGGTCCATGTAAGTATTTTCCCCTCTGTTACTATATGCTCAGGTTGAAATACAGAAATTACGTGTTGTAATTCGAAAGACGTGTAACCCCTCTATCTCAGGTACCTGCAAAAAGAACAGTTATTAGAAAAGTATATGCAATGCTTGTATAACCTGGGCCATTACTGTTGTTACACCGGACGTTTAGACCTGGGAGGAGCCTCCAAGATGACCCAAACCCGTCTCTTGCCACGAGAGACTGAAGCGCTTTCTCCAGGTTAGCTGAGTGTAGTGAGGGGCAGGGTGGGACCGGACCAGGTCACTGGGCTCTCAGACCCTGCCCTCCTGCTGCTTTGGTTTTATCAGCTTTCACAATAGGGCTGTCCTGTGGTGGCTCAAGAATTCACCTTTGTCACCACTGGTATGCCAGCTGTGTGGCTGGGAAGGAATGACATCCTTGTCATTGTTTTAGGTGTGAGTGAGATGGGAAAGCTGAGGGAAGGATTTATAGGAAACCCTGTGTTTGGGACCGGGCATCAGAATTGAGGAAGGCAGTAGTTGCTGTCCTCAAGGGGCATTAAACAAAGAGGACACAGGTATCTAGACGCCAGCCAGAGGAACCCCCCTGGCCAGAAGCACTGAGACTTTAGGCATTGTGGGGCAGAGGTCCCTTCCAGTTGGGTCATAAGGGAAAGTGCCACATAAAGTTGATTCAGTGGATCTCCAGAAGCGGGCCACTGCCCACAAACAATACATTCTGGGGTCCGTTCTCGGGTTCACACTTCCAGGGACACAGTCATGTAGCGTGTGGGGTAGGGGGAGTCTGTCGGGGCCTGTGCTGGTGCTGCAAGTTCCCAGTGGATGTGCAAGTGGCGTCCATACGGTTAGGAGAAAGGGCCAGGAGATGAGCTCTCGGGGCCAGGGTAGTCCTTGCTTCATGCCCACACCTGAGGGAGGGGGCACTTCGGTTTTCATCCCAGCCTCCCAGCCGGCCAGCTTCCTGCTGTGATTGGGAGCCGTGTGTCCTGACCGTATGTAGTATTTCCATCTCTGAGACCCCGAAGAAGACTCACTCAGGTGCCATACGGGTGTGTCTCACCCTTAGAAAAGGTCACGTTGTCTGGGGTGAAACGAGAAATACTGGCTAACATTCTCTGCACTTGTACCTCCTGCAGTGTCCTGGGATAAGATGCGACTCCCGGGCGTGCTCCAGCGGCTGGGCGTGACCTACTTCGTGGTGGCAGTGTTAGAGCTCCTCTTCGCAAAGCCTGTGCCTGAACGCGGCGCCTGGGTGAGTGACCCCACTGTTTTTAAGCAAGAGAGAGCAGGAAATAGCACTGCGTAGTTTTTGGAGCTTTCTTTAGTTCTGAGTGCAGTACTGTACACTTCAGTAGGCTCTTTAATGCTGTTAGGCAAATACTTTCTTTTTCCCTGCAGTTAGTTAGTTTTATTTAGTCTTTGTATCAGTAATTTTTTTTCTTGTGATAAAAAAAACCCACATAAGATCTACTCTCCTAACATATTTTCAAGTGTCCTGTAATCAGATGCATTTGGATGGCGTTGATGTAATATCACCATCCTCTGGTTTGCTAGTTCAGGCTCTTTCATTGCCCATGGTGTACAATATATTTTAAAAGACTTACATAACATATTAACACCTATTCAAAAGGCCGAACAGGTTCACCGTGGAGGACAAGTGCCAAGCTAGGTGTGGGGGAGTGACAGTGTGTCCTTGGCTGTTTCTTCTTTGTGAGAACTATGTGGGTCACTTGTCTGGTGATTCCTTTCTGTCTTCCTGTAAGTTGCTGAGTTTACCCTGGTGACAGTTGATGCGTGGGTCACCGGCCAGCAGTGATCACGGAATGCTGCGGATGGCTCGTCGAAATGCGAGAAAAAACATGCACAGAGACAGACCAGTTTCTGTGGAGAAGTAGGGATGGAACCGCCACCCCCTCTAGTGGGGAGCGCGCCGATTTACCGTCCAAACCGGCTTTTATTGGGTTCGTTTTGCATAAGAATTCAGGTAAAGCACATTACTCATTGCGAGGAAGTAAGGATCAAACGATAGGTAACAAGGAACTCTGAGGGTCTATTTTAAGTCAGGGTCAAAGAGCTGTAAGACTTTAGGGAACAAACTAACTTCTTCCTTGGACCCTTCTCATTCAACTGAGAGCATTCTAAACAAAGAAGATTTCACAGGAATTTACATATTCTTTCTTAGGCCTGATCACCCGGGGAATCCACCCTTTCCAGCACAGGGCGGCACCACCCTGTCATTGTTTCAGGCTTAGGTGGAGCAAGGGAAGTAAGGCAGCCAAGAGATTAAGAGATCTTCTTGCTTCCAGAGTAGGAGGACTCGGGCTTTGTCAAAGCCAAAGGGCAAGAGTCCATCACCCTCTTTTGCTGTAGCCCGCAAAGTCCTTCTTTTGGGGGCCTCCCACGTGATCGTGCCTGTCTTAGATCGTTCTCCTCTTGGGGAATCTTACCTGTCATTGGCTAACTGACCAAGCACTGGGGTCCAGGCAGTGTGAGGTATGAAGGAGCAGAAGCGGCACTCCTGCCAGGGAGATAACCTTGTCTCCTTGCTGGCTTACAGTTCCAAGGGCGTTCCCTCAGCCTTAGCCTAGGCAGGGGTTACAGCTTCTGATACCAGGCAGGGCGGTTCCCAACAGACAGAGATTTCTTTTTCCCTGATGGAGGTAACAATTCAGGTGGGAGTGTTTAAGCCCTTCCATTTGGGGTCCTACTAAACAATAAATTAGTAAGGCTGTACCTGTTTTCTAGCTTCTTTCTGCTTATGAAATAAACTTGCATGCAATTAACAAATTCATCATCAAATCTCAAATTCTCTTGGTTGCCCAGTTACATGTTTTTGGAGTGTGTTTAATCGTCATTCCTTTACCTCTTCTGCCCTCACTGTGACCTGTCTGTACCCTCCAGTGTGGATTTCCTTAATGTGCAGTGAGACTGGACCTGTGCAGGTGAACCTGAGTGTGGCTAGCCGCATGAGGGGCCTCAGGGACTTCGGAGGGTCGTCCGGGCTCTGTCACTGGCCGTCATGCTGGAGCCAGGGGTTGGGTGGGACCCTGAGAATAGGTGGGTTGCACCCTTTTTTCTTTAACCAGAATAGTTGCAAAACTTTAAATTTCATTTTCCTTTTTCAAGATTTTATTTATTTATTTTTAGAGAGAAGGGGAAAGGGAGAGAAACAGCAATGTATGGTTGCTTCTCACGTGGCCCCCACTGGGGACCTGGCCCAAAACCCAGGCACGTGTGCTGATTGGGAATCGAACTTGCGACCGTGCTCAATCCACTGAGCTACACCAGCCAGGCTCATTTTTCTTTTAAAACGTTTCTTCTTTAACTTCTTTTAACTTTTAAGAACAGCTTTATTGAGCTATATTTCACATACCATAAAGCTGACATGTTTGATGTGCACAATTTAGTGATATTTAATGATACTTGGAGTTGTGCACACATCATCCCTATCTCATTCTAGAACGTTCTCACTACCCCCAAAGAGACCCTGGTGCTCACTGCTGGCCACTTTGTCCCCTTGCAAGTCCTCTAGCCCAGCCCAGCCTACTTTTTGTCTCTGTAGATTTGCTGATTTTGGATGTTTCATGTAAGTGGAATTACATAGCGTGCAGCTTTTGTGTCTGGTTTCTTTCACTTAGCATAATATCTTCCAAGGTTTTTCTGTGTGGTGCCCTGTATTAGTGTTGGATTCCTTGATGAATAGCATTCCATTTTGTAAATGTGCCACATTTTGTAACCCTGCTTCAGTGGATGGGCATTTGACTTGTTTCCAGTTTTTGGCTATTTTGCAGTTTAACAATTCTGTGCTCGTTTGTGTCCAAGTTCTGTGCAAACACCTGTTTTCATTCCTCTTGGGTAGGGGATCGGAATTGTCCATTTCATTGTGGTGTTTCATAGAGAGGGAACATCTGGGTCACAGAATACAAATGAAATAAACTTGCACATATGTTTGTATCACTACAGTTAAGTCCAAGAGAAGAACTTCAGGGACTTTTCCAAATACCTGTACTGCGTATTAGTTCCCCTTCTACTTGGATTTGGTTTACGTGTATTTCTGTGCTCCTCGCTCAGGAGGGAAGATGCTGGTCTCTGCAAGACATCATATCCAGCTGGCCGCAGTGGCTGTTCATCCTGATGCTGGAGAGTGTTTGGCTGGCCTTGACATTCTTCTTACCTGTGCCTGGGTGCCCCACGTAAGTGCCCTGTGTAGGTAATCCCTTTCCGCACGTCCTTTTCTGCTATGTCAGACCTTTTGGGGCTCTGCTTTCAAATTTCCCAAGTCAAAGGAATCCTTGTCCACTCTTTCTTCTCCTTTGAAGCCTGTTTTGTTTGGGAAGGAAAATTTGGGTGAGTGTCCAGTGGAGTATCTGTGTGAGGTTGTTTTCAGGGTCAGTTTGAATGGAAGTTGCCAAACCTTAACATGTGGGGGGCAGTCGAGTCACAGAGCGAGGGGCTGTTCCTAGGCCTGTATGGGTTCGAGGGTCTTTGTTGGGCTGCCGACACAGCCAGTGTGCACTCTTCCCCCGCTGGCATCTTGTCTGTTAAGTGTGCGTTCTCTCTCCCCCACAGCGGCTACCTCGGTCCCGGTGGCATTGGAGACCTGGGGAAGTATCCAAATTGCACTGGAGGGGCTGCCGGCTACATTGACCGCCTGCTTCTGGGAGAGGATCACATTTATCAGCACCCTTCCTCGACCGTGAGTGACTTGGGCTTGCGCTCAGAACGGAACACACAGGAGCTCTGAAGGGAAGGAAGACAGGGCTGGGCAACTTCCAGTCGTGTCTGTGGAATAAACTGTGATGGGAACCAGTCTTTATTTGAAAAAGGAACTGACTGTAGTGACTTCAGTGTCATTGTGGGGCAGCACCTAAATATTACTTGGGTCCTAAAGCGAGAGCACCTTGTATCAATGTGCAGTGTGGTGCTTCTCTGTGTCTCAGGCTGGATTTCCTGGCAGCTGATGCTGAGACAGAGATTCACGTGCTGGAGGTCTGTCAGGCAGGCAGCCCTCAGGGACCAACGCCTGCTGGGCAGTAAAGGGCAGAGGAGCCACCGAACTGCACTGCAGTCCAGCGAAGGCCTCAGCTGATCTCCCGAGGGGCGGGGTGGCCCTTCCGAGTTGTTGTGAATTGAGGGGAGGGATCTGGCCCTTCTACCACTGCCTGGGTGGGACTGCCCCCAGCAAGGGGATGCGACTCCTGGAGAGGCAGCTCTCTTCAGTCAAGGACAAATCCAGAAGAGGGTCTTGGCTGAGAGCTATTGGCCATTGATACTGCTAGCAGCTGAGGAATGAAGGCTTTAGTCCTGAAAGGGGTGGGGGAGGGGCATGGTTGGGTGGTACATTATTACAACATCCACACACTATTTCCAAATTTCTACGCTTTCTACAATAACATTTATAATAAAATGATATGGAAGTATTAAATACGATTTGTCTTAAAAGAAGGTAGGAAGCTGCTGAAGTTACAGTAGGGCTGACCACAAAGAGTAAACTGGGAAATGGTGAGGGTGTTACACCTGGTGTGTGAAGCTGGTTCGGGATGTGTCGTGTCGCTGAGCCGCCGGGAGGCGAAGTGGCAGCGCTGGACCGCGGTGCAGCCTTGGTCTCTGGGTTCCCTTCCGAAGTGTCACACGGCACACACTTTCTTGGCCGGAAGTATTCTGCTTATAAGCCCCAAAGTTGGCAATGGATTGGTTTCTGCAGTAAAAACAAAGCACGCTGAGTGTTGCAGGGCACTGAAGTCTGTAGTTGGTCTGCGGGCTGTTGGTGTGCGTTTTCGAGGTCACTGAGTGCCGCTTCTTGTCCTGCGCTGTTCAGGTGCTGTATCACACCAGGGTGGCCTACGACCCGGAAGGAATCCTAGGGACCATCAACTCCATTGTGATGGCATTTTTAGGAGTTCAGGTATTTGTACATTTCATTAGGAGACTCTGTGACAGCCTGTGATTGATGATTTATCACTAATTCAAAAACTACTTTATTAAAGTAAGAAATTGGAAACATATCACCTTCTGTGTATTATAGGTCTAGTAAATTGTTTACATTTAACAGGTTGTCAAAACTAAAAGTCACAAAAATTCAGCACATTCAAATAATTAGGTATAATTTCTATATTCTCAAAGTAAATTCTTATTTTTCTCATGGCTCTTCTTAGAAACGGGCACAGCAGTTTCTGCATAGAAGACTCCCTGCTGGACCGGGCAGAGGGTTTGGGTACTGGCGATGCTGGGAAGTCACAGATCACATCTCTTCTTTCTTTTATTTTTCATTGACTTTAGAGAGAGAGGAGAAGTGAGAGAGAGAGAGAGAGAAACATCAATTTGTTGTTCAATTTATTTATACCTTCACTGGTTGCTTCTTATATGTTGCCTGACCGGGAATCGAACTCACAACCTTGGTGTATCAGGACGACGCTCTAACCAACTGAGTTACCAGCCAGGGCTCCTGGCATGTTTCTTTTGTGTACACTTTACATGGTTTCAAGTTGTGCATTTTAAAACATATTTTTAAATGTATTTATTTGCTTTTAGAGAGAGGGGAAGGGAGGGAGACAAAGAGGGAGAAACTTCAGTGCGTGAGAGAAACATCAATCAGTAGCCTCTCGATTGGTTGCCTCTCGCACGCCTCCACGGGGGACCTGGCCCGCAACCCAGGCATGTGCCCTGACTGGAAGTGAAACGGGTGACCCTTTGGTTTACAGGCCCTCAGTCCACTGAGCCACACTGGCCAGGGCTGGGAGGATTCTTATGCAAAGTTGAGATTTTATTCTTTTTAAAATGTTTCCTTGCCTCCAGTTCCACCCTGCCTGTCCCTCTTTTATACCACCGCCAGAGTGGACCATCTCGCAGGCCAATCTGATAGGGTCCCTTGGTACTGTTTTGGTGGGGGAAGTGACTTTCCTTGGCTCCCAATCACCTATGGGGGAGAAAGTGCCTCTCAGTGAGACTTAAAGTCAACCTGACTGTCACCTCCTCCCCTCCTGACCCTCCCCACCCCCAGGCTTTCTGAATGACCTGCAGCACCTCAAGGGTGCTCTTCCCGCTTTGCACACCTGTCCTCCTGCTCTAGGACCCTTCCTTTCCAATGTCTTTCTCCCCGAAGGTGGTCCCACGTGCCTCTCTCTCAGTCTCCACTAGTCCAGCGCAGGGAGAGCAATGCCTTTCCTCTTCGTGATCCCAGTGTCTAGTGGTGTGCTGGCAGATGAGTCAGTCGAGTGATTAAGATAATGGGTGGATAGGAAATACGAATATACCTTAGGTGATTCTCTTGGTCATACTGTGTTTTCTCTTCCAGGCAGGAAAAATACTCTTGTATCACAAAGAGCAGACCAAAGACATTCTGGTCAGATTCACCGCCTGGTGTTGTCTTCTAGTGAGTAACCGACATTCTCCCCTAAAATGCCTTTTCTTCACACAAATTTAAAAGAAAAAATGTTTAGCAACACTGGTATATCAGCTGTCACCATAGGTAGCGTTCTTCACTTGAATAACTGAGAGGAACAAATCTTTACACCTAAATTCTCATTTTTTAAGGGAAATGTTGTTAAAAATAAGTCAGCGTTTGCCATCAGCCAGCCAGCCAGGCAGCAATGCGTGGAGACCGGAGGTTTGGGTCAGGGTGGGAAGCCGCACCCAGGCAGGTAGTAACCGGGCTTCAAGGTTTAAAGGGGATGGAGGGGTTTCAAGGCCAACTGCTCTCTGGCCCCTGACCTTGCACTCACGTTTCCTCCCGGTTTCACTTTCATTTATCACTTAGCTTCCCTTCAACTCCGAGAAATACTGAAAAGATGCTCTTAGAGAGTATTTTTAGTCACGCGTCTTAAAAACTTTCTCCAGTTAAAGGAATATGACAATTTTCAGCTCCCCTGCAAACAAGTAACTAATATTTTTCAGATTTAAAGCATAACTGTCTTTTGAAATAATGTAACAAAACTTTAACATCTTTCTCCCCCATGATAGGGGCTTATCTCTGTTGCTTTGACGAAAATTTCTGAAAATGAAGGCTTTATTCCAGTAAACAAAAATCTCTGGTAGGTACAGAGAACAGTCATTTCTGTGCTCGCGACTGCTCGTGCTGCCTCCACGGTGCGCGCCCTGGAACAGCTCGTTCCCCTCCCCCTAGGTCCCTCTCCTACGTCACCACGCTGAGCTCCTTCGCCTTCTTCATCCTGCTCATCCTCTACCCCATTGTGGATGTGAAGGGCGTGTGGACAGGAACCCCATTCTTTTACCCGGGTAAGCTGCCTCCAACCCCAAAGTTGACGGTAGTGACCAACCGACCGGACTGGCCCAGAGAGACCCGCTGGGCACGCCCAGTGCCAGGGCCTCGAGCCACAGCCCGGGCGGCATGTTACCACCACGTGTGGGCTGAGGGAGAAGGCAGCGGGGGCCACGCAGCCCCAGGCCATGCAGCTTGCACTGGTCCACTCTGAAGCAGTCCCCCTGTTTTACCTGCTTACATTGGTATTTGGTATTGATACCTCAGGCAACGATTTGGGGACTATCATTCAGTTTCTGATGTTTCGGGAATGGGGTATACTTTCTGCCTTAATGTTAGTGCACTGCTTACAGATGACACATAAGATATAACAAGAGTAGATACCAGGAGATAAACAGAACAGTGTACATGCCGTTCTGCCCGGAGACTGCAGGGTAGACTAGGGAGCTCCAACGGCTCGTTGCAGCCCTCCGATCCCAGTAATAGTTACTGGCTTTGGACCTCCAGCTTTCTGTGAGAGAGTGTAAGTCAATAATTTTGACTTTCCTTTCAGATTTAGCATTCAAGAATTACACTGTCGGGAGTATTTCCTAACAATTTTTGAGATAGTTTGCACTTGAGTATCTAAGATTATGCGTCACTTACTGTTGGCGCTAGAGGCGCGTGCTTTCGGGTTTTCACTGCACTAAAGTCCATTGTCGAGAACTGAGCAGAGGAGCAGAGGTGGCGTAGGGAGACACGATTGCCTGTGTCCCTCCTCAGGCATGAACTCCATCCTGGTGTACGTCGGCCACGAGGTGTTCCGGAACTACTTCCCCTTCCAGTGGAGGCTGCAGGACACCCAGTCGCACAAGGAGCATCTCATCCAGAACATCGTCGCCACTGCACTCTGGGTGCTCATTGCTTATGTTCTCTATAAAAAGAAGGTTTTTTGGAAAATCTGATAGCTCCAGCCAAAGCGTGTTGCTGGCGGACTCTCTGGTGGGCCTGGGGGACAGCCTTTATTAAAGGGACCGTTAATGACACGGTCAGTGGGGCATGCGTTTCCAGGTTACTGGGGAAGGTGCTGATGTGGTCAGGCTAGTGGGCTGGGGTGGGACTCTGCCTGCAGGTTTGGAACTTAAATGTTGGAAGGTACTACCTTTTCCCTCCATTTTCTGTGTAAACGGATGGATTTAGAACTCTAATGTAAGGGTTTCTCAGATAACTTTTGCAAAGGCAGTCGCCATGGATGGGCGTTTGCCTCTGTGGCGGATGGCACAGTGTAACTGACATCCGATTCTCGCTGAGCTGGCGTTTCTGCACACTGCCTTCCCGCGCCGCCACGAGTCGGTCGTCTCCGTTTGGCTGACTGTAGAGCTGACTGAGATGTGAGGTGTAACAATGGAGTGTAATATTTTTTAGTTAAATTTAATGTTTTAAAAAAGTCAGGGTAATTTACCTTTCAGGTCTGCAAGACATTGGTGGGTCCAAGAAAATGCCTTTCTGTCAGAAGCTACTTTCTTCTTTTCCTACTTGAAAAAAAAAGTTAAAATATAAATGTGTTATTCCCAGCCACTCTTGCTTAGTTATACACTTACGTAGCTGTGTATTGCCTTGTCTGTCAGTCACCTGCCTACCTACCCACCTGCTTACCTGCCCAACTGTCTCTCTGTGTATCCAGACGGTAGCTGGTTCCCAGGGACAGGGCTTGGAAGAGATTAAAGCTCACTGTCTTGCCTGTGGCTCCGGCTCTGCCGTCCTTGCTGTAGAGGATGCCGGCAGGTCCCCAGGCCTGTCTGAGTCTCAGCTTCCTCATCTGTGAAGGGAGGGAGGCAGTGATGACCTCTCAGGTCCCTTCCAACTCTTAGGACTCAGTGAGGTGGGCAACATAGATAGCTTTTCTGAAATCCTTAGAGAAGTCATTTTATTACAGAGAACTCTTTAAGATGAGCGATAACGAAAAGTTTCAAAAACTCTCGTTGGAGCAAGTCTTTTCGGAGCGACCCTCCACAGTGGAGGCACCTTTCCTGCGTGGAGCCACACCCCCGAAGACGTACTTCCTCAGCAGTGAGGGAGGGAGGGCACCCGAAGAGAAGCCGCACTTTTCTATGATGCATCATCATACTTGTGAATTTTCCGTGAGAACTCCGTATTTAAGGAAAATGTGACAATAGCTTGTGCTCCAGAGCATCCTTCTGTGGTGAGACGGGGCGTCCGGGCGTCCCTTTGCCTGGCGCCGCTGCACGACGACTGCGGGTCTGCACTTCAGCCCAGACCTCCACCCTGAACGCTCACAGGCCTGTCCCCGCCCCCTGCGCCCTCCCCCTGGACGTCCGCCTGCCTCCAGGCTTGCCTTCCTCCTCCGTTCCCCCAGATCAAGCCTTCTCCTCTTTGGATTTTCCCAGCTCTGTGAACGGATCATTCTCATCTGTAGGGATGAAGCTGCTGCCACCTGTCACCCACTTACCCCGGTTATCCCCACCTTTCCCATATTCAGTCAGCGTCTTCATTTCACTGGCACACTGCCTTGTTACTCCGGTCCAGACCCTCGTGATTTTTTTCAAATGGACCCCTTCCCTCAACCCCTCCTGTAGTCACTCTCCCTCGTGGCTGGATTAAGCTGTATGAAGCAGAGTTCAGAGCACATCGCCGCTTTATAAAAACCAACACTGAAGCCGATACAGCTTCGCCGGACATACATGACCTTACTCGGCTGAGCCCAGCACGCCCTGCCAGCTCCCTCCCCCGCCCCCATGCCCACCCTGCTTACTCCAGCCCCACTGGAGCCCCCACCCCGTCACTTGGCCAGGACCTCCTGCTCCTGACCTTGATTACAGCCTTTTTCCTGCATTACTTTTTCCTCTTCATTTTCTCCTGTGTATGTTTGGCCTGTCATTTTAGAGCCTCTACTTCTAAGGCACCGCTCTAATCTCTTGTCTCATCCAAAGGTAATATTTTCTTCCTCTGGCTTCTCGTAATACCTTGTTGGGACCAATTTCATGGCCCCCATCACTTCGTGAGAGTTATTTGTGTACATGTCTCGTTTCCCACGCTGGACTGGGAGCTTGCTAAGAGCAAGATTATGCCTTGTTCTTCTGCATATTCATGGCACAAACAGTGCCTTATGCATAGCAGGCACTAAATATTTATTAAAGCAAAGCAAAACAGTGGCTGTCTTTGTTTTTACTATGTAAGTGCTGATATGTAAGCGTCTGGCGTGCCCCGTGACAATGGTCTTAGTTGGAGCTAAGGTTTGGGGACAGTCGTTGCTGAGGAGACCTGCTGCTGCCCTTCCCTTCAGGGAGCCATTATGGATGGTCACAGCTGTCATGCAAATCTTAGCAAGTGAAGCTGGGCGGGCCTTTCCAGATGAGGTAGGTGTCCAGAAACCTTTCTTAAACTGGGGAGTGTACAGTTAGTATGTTTTGAACCCTGGAAACGGGTCCTGGTTTGGCCAGGTTATAAGGGGCTTCACCCCCAGCAGAAGCCTTGACGTGGGCTGGCTCCTGCATGTCCATTTGGCTCCGCCAGCTCCCTCGTGGCCATGGGCGGGCTGCCGCCCTGACACTCGGCCGTGAGACACTCACTGGACAGAGAGAGGGCCCCCCGCAGCCCGGTGGCTTTTCATTTCACCAGCCAGGCAGCCCTCCCCTGAGGCCTCGTAGGCCACCAGTGTGTCCCTTGATGAAAAAGCCAGCAGTGACGAGGGAACCGGTTTAGACAAGTCTGTGGCTAGGTGGAGGGCTGTGATTACCTTCTCGGGAATCACACAGCTGGTGTTCGTCTGTAGTTGCCTCGTTTTATACTCTTACACCAGTGTACCTAGCCACACTTTTCTTTTGGTAATCAGCTTTCACTGGCCATTAGTTCCAAGAGTGTTTTTCTTCAGGCCACATGCATTTTCCAAATTCAACGTTGATAGAAAGGTACGTTTGTATCATGTCATGAAATGCTTTGGACTTCACAAAGCCCTTCCCTGTGTTTGTCAAAATGCCGTGACAGACAACGGTGCCACCATCACGCTGGTGCTCCAGCCCCACAGCTTCTGGTACCGTTTGAGGTTCTGCTGGAATTCTGTCCTGACTCTTGGGACTTTCTCTATAGAAATGTTTTTCTGGTTTTCCCCACCATTCACAGCCAGCTGTCTGTTATTCTGTCCTAGCTGACCTGAAGCCACCCCCACTCACTTCCCCTGCAGTTCAGCATGCAGCGGTGGCACCACTGAACAAGTAAGTGGAAGTTGGTTCTTTGCCTGGTGCCATGCCATTTGGGCATTAGAATGTTCCGTTTTGATGTGTGCTGCCTCCAAATGCCAACGTGAAGGTGTCAGAAAACCAAAAGGCAGGCGAGTGTTTACTATGAGAGCTGTGGAGGGACGATACACTGTGATAAAAACAACAGGATGGTCCGTATATTGTAATCAACTCATCACACTGATAAACACTAAAATGAGCTGGAGGAAACATTTTCTGAGATCAGGTGTTTACTACTTAAACCATTTCATTGATTTTAGTATATCTGTAAAAAGGGCCTTTTCAGAAAAGTTTTCTAGCAAAGTAACTGAGTAACTTAGCTCTTTCATTTTTTTTTAAAGCTACCTTTTTTTAAAGGGTTTTTAATTTATTTTTAGACAGAGGGTAAGAGAGGGAGAAAGAGAGGGAGAGAAGGTTGCCTCTTGCACTCCCCACACTGGGAACCCAGCCAGCAACCCAGGCATGCGCCCTGACCGGGAATCGAAACAGCGACCCTCTGCTTCGCAGTCCGGTGCTCAATCCACTGAGCCACACCAGCCAGGGCAGCTCTTTCATTCTTACAGAGCCCTTAGAAACAAATGTTTGTGTGCTCTTTACTGATATGTTTCTAGAAGAGCAAAAGACAGAAAGGGACCCAGCAGCCAGTACTGGCTGAGCAATGACCAGTGTGAGTCACTCTTCCAAGCGTTTCATGTGAAGTCACGTGTGGTCTTTCCAACCACCACCTGTGAAAGGCGTGCCTTTGCCTTTGTTTTTCAGACAACAGGCTCGAAGCACCGAGAAACTGTCCCTGGTAGGTGGCGAGTGAAGGGCCATCCAGAGGCAGAGCTGGGTGCTGGGCAATGTGGCCCCACTGTCCCCATAGCTGAAGGCCGGAGGTGCTTCCCCCCACCGCCACTCCCTCTCGTGGGCTGTTTGGCAGATGCCCTCGCACACATGGCTTCAGTAAATTCACTCAAGTCTATTTTGGCATGAAGGTTTTTGGTATTAAAATTTCCAGAATCAAAAAGCCTAGTACTGTGTTGATATGTAGTATTTAACCAAAGCCTAACTCTGGAAAGTCAAATATTGAGGTCATGGAAGGAATAATGTCTTTTTGTAAGTAAAGTCCACCTTTGCTCAGAAACTCCTAAGAATTAAAATAAATTTTTAAAACCTCCAAATTTAGGATGATTTTTATTTACAAAACAGGTTGATTCTGTTGTTTTTACAAAAATTACAAAAAATGACTTTCAAAAAATAGAAATAGCTTCTCAGGTTCTTGGAAACTACCTTTAAGGAGTTAAAACTCAGATGGTTTTCTTTTTAAGAGGTGTAAAGCAACGTTTATCAAGGCTCTGCGTCCTCCCCACACTCCCACGGCCGAGTGCTCTGGTGCAGAGGCCCCGGTCAGGCCAGCGTCTGCAGGAGCAAGATCTTCTCGTTGATGCAGAACCTGTGCAGCACCGCCATCAAGTTCTCGCCGCAGCGGGAGACCTGGCGCTCCATGGCCAGGCGGAAGTCCTCCTTCACACCCTTGGTGATGCCTCGAGTGACCGTGTGATGCCTGAGGGCAGCGACAGGGGAACAGATGACACCACGGTTAGCACCGGTATCCCAGCTCCGTGTGTCTGGGGTAGGAATAAAGCCTACCTCAAATCTAAGTAAACACATTTAAAAAGAAAAGCCCTAACCAAATCGCCCCCGGTGCCCATTCCTTCCCAGAAAGACTTAAAACTATAGAGACATCTTTCCCACTCAATGAAAGAATATTCTAAAGATCGAAATGCTCAGTAAAACATCACCTGCTTTGCTTGTGAACTCCTGTAGCTCTAACATTACACAACCCTACACTGACTTGTGCAGTTGTAATTCAGTTAGTCTGGGCCAGGGGGCCGTACAGCTGCAGAGGCAGCAGCAGGGAGGAGGGGAACCAAAGGATGAGTCAGCTCCCAGCTGCAGACTGAGCTTAGGCACCTGGACCCTTGGGCTGGTTCTCTGTGAACGGCTCAGAGACTGTGCATGGCCACCTAGTTGCAAGCCTCTCGGTCCCCATGCTGCCAGAGCAAGCCAGCGGCTCTAAGTGCTGAGGCCAGCCAGACTCAGGCCTGCCTGAGAAGCAGGAGGAGCTGGGGCACCGAAGACAAGGGTCAGGCCCAGGTGGGGAGAGAGAAGCAGAGTCACTGAATGGCAGCCAGAGGCCAGCAAACTGCAGAGCAGATCTGGCCCATGTGCTCGGGAGACCAGCACGTTGGTGGAAGGGCCGGTGGAGCACAGCCAAAGTCTCCGACTACACTGGACATGTTGTACTCTAGAGGGGGAAATCCCAGAAAAGTGAAGACACCAAAATGAAAGGAAAAGGCAAATCTAGGAAAAGTCTACGGGTGCAACTAAAAGAAAAGGATTTTTAATACTTGTGCAGTAATTTGGTGGAGTTAGACAAACAGAAGCCACCTCCAGTCCCTACCCCTTCTGCCTCACTTCCCTCAGACACGGTAAGAGGGATTTAAAATGAGATGTTCCTGTATCGGCCAAAATAAGACTGTTGAAACCACTCTACAAGGTTTGTTTTCTAGAACTTGTATTATCATTAGTACAACAAGCTCAAAAAGTTGCAATGCAACAGAAGGAAAACCCAGCTTTGTCAGACCACTGAGGACGTGACGGGACACTGCAGTGCCCATGGACGCCGTGGTGAGACAGCGCTGCCATGGAGAAAGCAGTTCTCCGGGGACGTTTCTCATCAAGTCTGGCTGGTTCACTGGGACAGTGTCAGTGGGGCTGAGGCCATGAGTCCCACACCAGGAACAGACACAGAGGTTTTTAGATTGTCCTGAGACACTGCATTTCTGGGAGCCAGACTGAATCCCAAACTGGAGCCAACTCTCTGAGTAACCGAAGGAACGTTACCGGTACTTGCAGACAGTGACGGGCATTGATGTTTCAAAGCAAACTCTCCTGTTAATACTAGTGAAAATACAGTAAGCTGTGTCCTGCTGATCATGGTTCAGTGTTACTGTTTCCATGTATAAATAGCAGCTCAGCTCAATTAGATTTGTACTGGAGCCTCTATCCCTCTGACAAATTTGGAGGAAGGAGAGTATCAGCTATTGTGGTTTAAATGAGCTAATAAACGTGGCATTCTAGCCTACCCAGTATTTTCAGTTTAGAATGGTAAGGCCTGAAAAAAGTGTAATGGAGGACAGGCAAATACTGGGCTAATGCCTGCTGAAACCAAAATCCTAACACTCATAAGAATTTAAGAGTAGATGTTGACTTAAGAGAAGTTTCACTGTCCTTCAGTGTTTGTAACGGAATGAATGCCTCATGTTCTCTCGGAGGAGAGGGCTCAGTGCCTAACATGCACTTGATCTGACCCAGTTTTATACAACTTTCATTTTTTTTTCCAGATCCATAATGATTTTTAAATCGAACACAAAACACTGGCAACTTATGGAAAAAAATAAGAAATGTTACAATATTACAACCAGATGGTTTTGCCAAGGAATGCAGAACAAATTAGAAAATAAAGAAAGCATGAAAAAGAGCACTGAGGAACACAGAGCTGAAAACCATGGGCAGTAAAACATGTTGACAAACAGCACACTATGAGCAGGTGTTTTTCCACTTGGTACCTGTCAGCAGTCTGTATGCTGGGCTGAAGCACAGGTAAGAATTCCTGCTGCAGTAACCCCATGGGAGGGCTAGTAGGCCTTTAAAAAACAGCAAACGGCAGCATTCAAACACCCACACCGACTCACCCTGCACTGCAAAAACAACACTCCAGAGAAAATGCACAAGACTGGAAGCAGACCATACAGAGACCCCTTCACCGCCATAGGCCCCTGGCCGCAGCGCTGTCAGGAGGACGAGAGAAGCTACCGAGCTCTCTCACTGCCCCTGCTGCTGGGCCATGTTCACGGGCATCTTGGTTCCTG